CTGTTAATCCACCCCAAATCATCACGAAACCACCACCAAAGCGATTCCTCTCCAAGACACAGGCCAGTGCATAACGTTCTCCACGCGTCTATAGGCACGTTGACGTCCATCACTATGGGAAATGTTAAACCTGGACTCATCTGTAAAAACAACATTTTTCCACCAAAACTAGGGTCTGCGGACATGATTTCGGCACCACATTCGGCGAGCTTGTCGATGACGTTGTGTCAGGATAGGCCGTATGGTAGTGGACGTCAGTGGTCTTATACCGTGGGCAGGGGATCCGTGTATGACTGTCGAACTGAAGGGTCAGGATGGTATTGGGTCTGTATGGACTTTATACCGAAGGAGGCCGGGATGGCTGTATTACTGTATACTGAAGGGCAGGGATGGTAGTGGATCTGTATGACTGCATACTGAAGGGTCGGGATGGTGGTGGATCTGTATGACTTTATACTGAAAGGCCGGGATGGTAGTGGATCTGTATGACTTTATACTGAAGGGCCAGGGTGGTACTGGATCTGTACGACTTTATACTGAAGGGCGGGGATGGTAGTGGATCTGTATGACTGTATACTGAAGGGCCGGGATGGTAGTGGATCTGTATGACTGTATACTGAAGGGTCGGGATGGTAGTGGATCTGTATGGCATTATACTGAAAGAGCCAGGATGGTACTGGATCTGTATGACTTTATACTGAAGGGCCGGGATGGTACTGCATCTGTATGACTTTATACTGAAAGGCCGGGATGGTACTGCATCTGTATGGCTTTATACTGAAGGGCCGGGATGGTACTGCATCTGTATGGCTTTATACTGAAGGGCGTGGATGGTAGTGCATCTGTATGGCTTTATACTGAAGGGTCGGGATGGTACTGGATCTGTATGGCTGTATACTGAAGGGCCGGGATGGTACTGCATCCGTATGGATGGTACTGCATCTGTATGGCTTTATACTGAAGGGCCGGGATGGTACTGCATCTGTATGGCTTTATACTGAAGGGCCGGGATGGTACTGCATCTGTATGGCTTTATACTGAAGGGCCGGGATGGTACTGCATCTGTATGGCTTTATACTGAAGGGCCGGGATGCATCTGTATACTGAAGGGCCGGGATGGTACTATGGCACTTTATACTGAAGGGCCGGGATGGTACTGCATCTGTATGGCTTTATACTGAAGGGCCGGGATGGTACTGCATCTGTATGGCTTTATACTGAAGGGCCGGGATGGTACTGCATCTGTATGGCTTTATACTGAAGGGCCGGGATGGTACTGCATCTGTATGGCTTTATCGGAGTGGTATGACTTTATACTGAAGGGCCGGGATGGTAGTGGATCTGTATGACTTTATACTGAAGGGTCGGGTCTGACATGATGCTACGTCTGCATGACCTTATATCGAAGGATCGGGTCTGAAATTGTACTGGATCTATACGACCTGATATGAAACTATCTGCATGACCTTGTACCGATCGAGAGGGTGGGGGCGGCTCTGAAATGGCATCGATTCTGCACTACCCTATACCGACTGCTTGGGAGTGGGGTTGAGGGGAGGTTAATAATGGCTTGTCAAGTCAAGGTTTAGAACAATTTGTTTGACACTTCAGCCACTTAACTCTAATGTAGATAGGTGTGTGACTGTCAGAGCTTTCAGTGTGTATTGTTGAGTGGAATGTGAAGCTGTATAAGAATTCTAGCTGTTATAGTTTGTTAAGTGAAACGTCTACTAAGTGTTTTCACTACGGGACCTTTCATAATTTATGGCTAGGATGGGTGATGATGATTTTTATGGAGTTCCGTATACAATGCGAATAACTCCCTCCCCTAAAGATGTATGTACAGGAGTGACCCTCTTGCATGTCATGAACAAAATCAATGAACCCCCCACACACCTTCCCATAATTGTTCTTTAATATTATGTGTATACAATTGCTGACACCCCCACCCTCACAACCCCATCCCCGGTACATGTGTACAATATTGATGACCCCCTACCTCACAAGAACAAAATGGGTGACCCACCCTGAACATCATCATCACACCCCTAGCCATAAATTATGAACGGTCCCTAAGGTCTCTTCCTCCAGCATGGTATATAATCAGCGATGCCTGTTTCTCCAGAATATACCACTTCCAATACGGAAACACTTTGTTAAATATACAGTCCTTGTTAATGTGTAACAAATATTCAGATCTTCTTTATTTCTGATGAAGGATATATATCCGTTCATGTATATGTAAAGGGAAATCAAAGGGATCATATAGATCTCCCGACCTATCTGCCTGGATGATCGTGACAATATTTTGCCCCTTCACTGAGTGAAAGGTGTAACTTACACCTACTTGATTATATACAGTCAGGTTGTGTTTAGGATTACAGTACAGGGTTAAAATGATTATGGGATTAACTAGGCGTGACAGCAAATTGAAAACAGTATTTGTTCTGCGTTTGATGACCTGGAACAGACATAACATGTTTAGCAAAAATAACAACAGTAGTGTCTGTTTGGCGTACTGATTGCTGTCCATATACTTTGAGTACTTCCTGTGTGGGCAGCTGCCTTGGGGCCTGGTGTCTGGCTTGTTTCATGGGATCCTTTTTCAACCTACGGTTGATGTTTGTGTAGGGGCTCTTGCCAGGAGTGTTTGGTCGAGGTTGTTGGTGCGGTGTTCCAATAGTAATGATTTAGCAACAGGCGTCTTGTGTACTTTGATTCTTGTGCCAATGGGAAATGGTGTTTCGCCAATAAATGTATCGACAAGAATTGTTTCTCCAAAATAGATGTCACCATAGTGAAGTCTTTTGAGGGGCGTGGCAGGCTGGGGAGAACCGTCACCTTGAAGATGTTCATCATGATCTTGTCAAAGACCAGGATGTTTTAGGACACGTGTTCCGTATATTTCCCCCCATCAAATCTGTAACCATGGCGATTGTAAACATATGTTGGCAGAAATAAAAAGAAATATCTTGAACAAGATGTGCATAATCCTATTGTTGAGTAGGAGAAGGAGGAGACACTTGTGTGAACACAAACATCTAACAACCTGACCGAGATATCCCATGTACGAATCTTGCCTCAAACACACAGGTCAACACTGACATCATACTGCAAGGGTCAGAGGATAACCTATATATCTGTCTCAAACTATAAAACCTGTGGTTTCGACGAAGAATAAACTCAATTAGTTAGGTAGAAATCCTGAAGTTTAACCTGCCTTCGTGAACTCATCTCAGTGGCGGCCCTTGGTCACAGGTAATAGTCAGGTGCTCTCCCTGAACTTTTAACCAATTTTACCTCGGTCTGATCCAGACTAATAACCTAGTTTAATTTGGTCTGTTCCGGATACAGTGACATTGCTGCGTTGTGACTGTGATATGACTGTGATATGACTGTGATATTGTCGATTGCAGACTCTGTTGACACATACCTCTACGTTCCCTCTGTTACCTGAAGTAGAGCCATGATGTTGATAACGGATACAATAACAAAATCAATTTTGGGAACGAAACAACATATTGAGGACATAGTTCTACTTCGCCGGATGAATGTTTCAGTTTCAAAGCCAGTAGAAACAATGGCATAACTCTATCATAGGTCGTAATTCAAAACCATATCTGCCCTTTGGATGTTTTCCACCGTGTAATCTACAGTCAATCAAAACTTTGAGGAAAGTGTTTTGACGAAGGGCTGTAATAAGTGCTGTCACAGATCTTGTTCTATATGGTGCAGTGTAGACGGTCCTTGTTGTTCTAGCGGGTTAACGTCCGTGGTTGTTGTGAATGTAAACGAACATCACATTAGGAGGGTGTCTATTTGCTTGAGATTATCTTGTCTTTGACGTTGTTAGCACACTGCGTAGTGAAAACACTGCCAAGGATTATCAAATTCCATCTTTGAGTTTGGGCACCCTCCCCATAAGGGTTATACAGTACACGTAGTAAGTGGATATTTGTTTGCTGTTAATGTTTGCTTTGTTTACTTTCGTCTTTACTTTAAAAGTGTGTACACTGTGTGTCGCCAGTCAGCAACATTCCAGCTATATGACAGCCACAGGTAACCTTCTAGACCATACAACGTAGTGGCTGATAGCTAGAGCATCTCCCCATACCGTCCCTGTACAGCGACATACAATAGACAAGGACACCTTCTACAACTAACCGATCCTATATTTGGCTCCTACGATAATGTTGTACCGTGGATCTATTCCGTCTCAGATTTTGGCTAACACCAGCACGTATTATAACTACATACTTAAATGCCGTTTTTATTCCTAAAGGATGGATTTTGCCGGTGCCCTTATATCCACCAAACTTATAAGGGTTGCCTGTAACAGCTGGCATGTGTATAACCCGATCAGTGCAAGTGAGGTGACACGAAACTTGTATCAACATACTAGCAACACTATCACGAGAATCACAACACATCGCATTTACTCATTGTACGCATGCAAGGAATCGAACCCAGTTCTTTGGAGTGACTAGCGAACGCTTCAACCACTACCAAACCATCTTAGAATCCGATCAGTAAAGATTGGAATGATTATGGGTTCGAATGGTTCTCTCTGGCTTCGGACCGTCCTCCCCATTAGAATTTATGTTTGGTCCCTTTGGCTAAGGCGCCATAACTCGCTGTGCAGAGTTGTATCCCCTGTGATCCTGTTATCGTAGGTTCGAATCCAAGATTCACCCTCATCATTATCCATTGTTTAGCAGGCATATTTTCATGCATGTGACTTTCTGTAAAGTTCTAACAACGACCTTTTGAACTTCAGGCTGTCGAACAAGTTTAAACTTGATATAAATTGATGTACTGTTCCATGAGGGTTACCCTATCGTCTTCCAAAATAACCATTAAGCCAATAACTTAATGTGGTCGAGCAGTATATTTTGAAGATCTCATGGAATGGCAGAAGTCTGTAATGGTAGATGTTTCAACGTTGTAGGTAAAGTGTGTATATATCCATTGATTCTGACACTGATGTGTTTTGTTTGCAGCTCTGTCCGTGAGGTTCCTGACTAAACGGTTCATCGGAGAGTACGACCAGTCTATGGGTAAGTGCATCCTTTCTTCATCATTAGAGATTCGTGTATCAAGTAATGATTCGCCATTTCACGTTATATTTCCCTTTACACCCAGCACAATTCAATAAAGGTGATATATAGTCATATTCCAAGCCCCCTCACCCACCACTCAAAACCAGTTATTTATATTTTGCTCATCAGCTTGACTGGTGACTGTTGCTCTTTTGAGGTTTTTTCTTAAATTTATCGTCTCATACTTCCATGGAAACATTCTGGACTCGTACACAGGGATTTTCCCCAGACATAAATTTTTCTTTTCATATTTTGTTCTAATTTTTTTCTTTTGTTTCCATGGTGAAAAAGACCTTTAAGTTTCTCTCCACTAAGCATAGAGCTACTGATTGGGTGCATCTACTTGCACCTATCCTTACATTTATAATCTCACAATCTATCATCCAAACTGCTGTTGCAAGTTTATTCTTCGTATCTGCCTTAAAGAATCAACTTAACGCCAACTGTAATGATGTTTCATTAACGCATTAATATAATTCTGTACTAGTAGTTTTTGGCTATCATTTTTTTTCAGTTAAACGAACACTTTGGGTGACAACGAGAAGTAATGCACAAAAAAGGACAAACACATTCTCATCGTATCTCAAAAACTGATTTAGAAACATAGTGTTGTTTTTGTATTGACTGTGTCAGTACATATGTAGATAGAAATGAGTGGTCGTCATGGTTAATTAGAAAAGGAGGTTATAGAGGTGAGGATGAACATCTCATAAGTAATTCAACATGGCTGCATAGATATATCCCAGTAACACGTGGCTGTTGGTACGTTCTGATTGGTACGTTCTGATTGGTGTTCGTCGGGTTTAACCTCATCTAGGTGGTGGTAATGATGTACCTTAACCTTGATGCACTAGACGTACAACCGACTTATACCATTGGTAGCCACAGTACACTCGCATCCCCAATAACCCCATGGAGGTAGATTCCCCCAGGTGGCGTGAACTGCGTGGTGACGCGTTATCAGTGGTTTTCTTGTAAAGGTTTTGGTTTTATAAAGTCCATAGTCCAACTTGGATATTGCTGATTCTGCAGTGGTGTGAACAATAACCCACTGTCGCTACAATCCACTGTCACTACCCACTTTCACTACCACTACAATCATCACCACTATAATATTCTCACTACCACTAAATATTCCACTTTCACTACCACTACAATCATTACCACTATAGGGGCGGTACTACCACTATATAGTGGCTTTCAAAGCGCTACAATAATTTCACGCCGAAGATTCCGGGTTCGACTACCCTACATAATTTCACTACCACTAAATATTCCATTTCTGGTGTCCCCCGCAATAATTGTTGCTACCACTATATATTGCTAAAAGCGGCGTCAAACCAAACTCACTAGAGGACACCACCATTACCACTATAATATTCTCACTACCACTATATATTCCACTTTCACTACCGCTACAATAATTTCACTACCACTATACATTCCACTTGCACTACCACTACCACAAATCACTGCCACTAGAGGACACCACCACTACCACTACCGCTGGAACCAACTTTAATACAACCCACCACAAGCACAGAAACAGCAGACATGGTGACATATATAGCGTGGGTCAGTACTGATGTTATTAACCTCTAGTTTTACTTGCCAAGACGCCTTTACTTACTACTAGTTTGGTAGCTTTAATGTCATCATTGTTGCTGGATACTTCGACAACTTGAGGCTCCTATGCACCATTAAGTCATTATTCACTGTGTCTACACAGGTAAACTCGGTGTCTTAGAGACAAATTAGCATCCAAAGTATAAATTTAGTAAGAAGGTTGGCATTGATTACCTAAAATTGAGCTTCCTTAATCATGTAACAGAAATATGTTTTTGAGAAATACGCCCTCCAGCACTCCTCCGTAAACGTTGCCAGCGAGAGATGTATGCACACTTCCAAGAATTCCTGAGCGGAACAGCCCCGAATCACGTTGGTTGAACATGCCCGATCATAATTAGGCTTGAAGTGTCTTTGATGTGGGTAGTCGGCGGTTGTCAGACTCTTCAGAGTTTATTGTTGGAAACATATTATCGTGCTTTCCCTTATATCAAATTATCGTGCTTTCCCTTATATCAAACAAACATGGTGTTTCCTATCTTAATTGTTATTACTTCTCAACGGAGTGTCTTGGATATGTCTCAAGGGACAGATGTTCCATCTCTTCAAACCCATTATATTTTGGTGCTGTTTGATGGAAACATGGCAAACTTAACCTTTCCGTATAATTTCTATTTTGAAGATATTATCGTCATTCTTGTACATTCCCCTGGCAGCATGGTTCCACAACCAACAGGTGCATGTCATCTATACTGCTCAAAACATGTTAAAGAACACCGACAATTGGATGGATGTATGTTGCAATGCTCACCAGTGAGTGCAGATTAACTACAGTCGTGCTGAAATATCGGGTGTTCATGCATGGGCGGATCCAGGAATTTTGAAAAGGGAGTTCGAACCCCTGAACCCTTCCTTGGCTCCGCCAACGCAAGAAAAATTCTTCAATGTGGTCTTTAGTCATTTTCAAAAGTGTGTGTGTGTGTGTGTGTGTGGGGGGGGGATCCCTCCTGGATCCACCCATGTCATGTCCTTATATTTGGACACGAGGCGGTTATAAACCAAGGATAAGGAATGTCGGTACCAACAGTACATAGACTATTAAAATAATTGTCGTGTCAAGGCTTATTTTCTCTTTAGATAAATCGTCCTTTTCACTCATTTCAACAATAAATGTGTAGGTGGTCCTTCCATCGTGTGATAACTTAAAGCACGGCTAGTTGTCACTTGAACCTGGCTGATAATTGTCGCAAGAATATATCCGTAGCAATAAGTTCCCCTGAACTTAAATTTGGCATTTTCAGCACCCGAATAATTATTCTCCATTTCTTTGTACCCACGGCTTCTATATCAGAGAAAATAGAGGAATTCCTTAACTTGGGATTAGATAAATGTAAATATTGACTTGTTCATGCAGTACACATCTGTATGATAGTGTGAGGTACGGGTGTGCACAAAAACCTCACCTCTCCATGCACGGAGTCTCGTCTGTTCTTGCAGGAGAACCAGTACACCAGCATTCCATAGACAGCTGCAGTGATCAACGCGATAACACCACGGCCAGATAGCGTAATTTAAAACCACTCCTGGAAGCCAAAAATTAAAAGAAAAATAATTAATTATGCCAATTCTAATTTCTAGACTGAAAATTTGGGTGAAATTGATCAATGCATGTAGACGTGTTTGAAGTTAGCGTCGTTAGGTTGACGGAATCTTCAGATAGGAAAAACGCACATAATGAGTGTGGAATATTTGGTTAAAGCGCTTGTTTCTTACGCCGAATACATGGGTTCAATTTCTTAATACCCGTGAAGGTCCAGGTTAGAATATTGATCTTCAGTAACCCATGCTTGTCGTAAGAGGCGACTAACGGGATCGGGTGGTCAGGCTCGCTGACTTGGTTGACACGTCATCGGTTCCCAATTGCGCAGATCGATGCTCATGCTGTCGATCACTGGCTTGCCTGGTCCAGACTCGATTATTTACAGATTATTCACTCACTCAATTCCTCAAATGGGTACAATGTGTAAGGCCCGGTGTCTACCACAGTGATATTACTGAAACATTGCAAAAAGTGGCGTAAAACTCACTCACTTCATGCTCTATGTGTAGTGTTCCTCCATAAGCCCCCAAGTTGTATGAATATTGATAAAAGCGTACTAAAACAACCTTCACTCACTCACTTAACAACCTCTTTGTGTTCTGCAGAGACCAAGTACAAGTGCACCACAAGCATAGAGGGGGAGTCTATAGCATTTGAATTGCTGGACACTCGATCATTTGTAAGTAGAGTTGTTGTTTTTCCATTTTCCCAAAAGTCCACCTCCATGGTCTAAAGATAATAGCGTCTACGTCGAATATTTAGTTGTTGGTGCGATCCCCAGGCCGCGTCAAAGAAAACGACGTAAAGATATTTGTTGTTGCCCCTAGCTGCCGCGAGGCACGAAGCGGATGGAACAAGGACTGGTTGGCTCATAGTCGCATTAGTCCTAATGGAATGTTAACCCAGGGCCATGACGTTGAAGAAAAAGGAAATTGCCACACAGGTCGAAGAATTCGGATCCCGTAGCCAACACCAGTTAAGTTGTTCTGAACAATAAACTTCAAAAAGGGTTCTTTGGCGTGCTGTTATTCCACCCCAAATCATCACGGAACCACCACCAAAGCAATTCTCTCCAAGACACAGGCCTGTGCATAATGTTCTCCCATCGCTGCCCATAGGCACGTTGGCGATGTCCATCACTATGGGAAATAGCCAACCTGGACTCATCATCTGTAAAACAAATATTTCTCCACCAAAAACTAGGGTCTGCGGGCATGATTTCGGCACCACATTCGGCGAGTTTCGTCATTAGACGTTGTGTCAGGATAGGCCGTATGGCGGGACGTCGATGGTCTGATCCCGTGATGACGTAAACGTTGTCGAACTGTGTTGGGGAGGGTGGTTCGGGCAGTCATCACTGCAGTCTGAAGCCTGTGGCGAAGATGGGTCAAATCTCTTGATAAATGTAAATATTGACTTGTTCATGCAGTACACATCTGTATGATAGTGTGAGGTACGGGTGTGCACAAAAACCTCACCTCTCCATGCACGGAATCTCGTCTGTTCTTGCAGGAGAACCAGTACACCAGCATTCCATAGACAGCTGCAGTGATCAACGCGATAACACCACGGCCAGATAGCGTAATTTAAAACCACTCCTGGAAGCCAAAAATTAAAAGAAAAATAATTAATTATGCCAATTCTAATTTCTAGACTGAAAATTTGGGTGAAATTGATCAATGCATGTAGACGTGTTTGAAGTTAGCGTCGTTAGGTTGACGGAATCTTCAGATAGGAAAAACGCACATAATGAGTGTGGAATATTTGGTTAAAGCGCTTGTTTCTTACGCCGAATACACGGGTTCAATTTCTTAATACCCGTGAAGGTCCAGGTTAGAATATTGATCTTCAGTAACCCATGCTTGTCGTAAGAGGCGACTAACGGGATCGGGTGGTCAGGCTCGCTGACTTGGTTGACACGTCATCGGTTCCCAATTGCGCAGATCGATGCTCATGCTGTCGATCACTGGCTTGCCTGGTCCAGACTCGATTATTTACAGATTATTCACTCTCTCAATTCCTCAAATGGGTACAATGTGTAAGGCCCGGTGTCTACCACAGTGATATTACTGGAACATTGCAAAAAGTGGCGTAAAACTCACTCACTTCATGCTCTATGTGTAGTGTTCCTCCATAAGCCCCCAAGTTGTATGAATATTGATAAAAGCGTACTAAAACAACCTTCACTCACTCACTTAACAACCTCTTTGTGTTCTGCAGAGACCAAGTACAAGTGCACCACAAGCATAGAGGGGGAGTCTATAGCATTTGAATTGCTGGACACTCGATCATTTGTAAGTAGAGTTGTTGTTTTTTCCATTTTCCCAAAAGTCCACCTCCATGGTCTAAAGATAATAGCGTCTACGTCGAATATTTAGTTGTTGGTGCGATCCCCAGGCCGCGTCAAAGAAAACGACGTAAAGATATTTGTTGTTACCCTGGCTGCCGCGAGGCACGAAGCGGATGGAACAAGGACTGGTTGGCTCATAGTCAGTACACTTGTTATCTCAATGGGAGATACCACTAGTCCGGCTACTATAAGCAGCCATGTCCACACACGTGTACGCGCGTCACTCTAGAAACCTCTTCTTCCTATTTTAGTAAATGATGAGTTTTTCCGAGTCGTGGTCGCTTTGTACCAAGTTTTAATTACTAAAATTGTACTAGGATTCTATTATGATTGTGTTATTTGACCAGAACGATGACCACGGGGCGAGAGAGGAGGTACTACGTTGGGCGGATGGATTCATGTTGGTGTACTCCGTGACCAGCCGGAAGAGCTATGACATACTGCAGGATGTGCGGAGGAAGATAGAAGAAGCCAAAAAAGCCGCTCACGCACCTGTCATCGTTGTCGGGAACAAAGCTGACCTTGCTCACGTGCGTCAGGTCACACAAGATGAAGGTCAGTGATACGATGATATATTGTATATCGCGATGGTGGCCGTCTTATTACTTACAATATGTATAATGGGTGGTTGCACATACGTGTAGTGGAAGCAAAACGGTTAGTTGGTCTGTCCTTCAAATACATGGTCCTTTGTAAGACGAACAATTTCGTGCTCTTGATTAACGAACACACAAATGAAGATTAGTTGTCCACAATGTCTGTGTGCAAGACGGCCAGTCTGTTCTGACTGTTTTATCTTCTTGCTGCAGCGCGGATCGATGTTGCTTATCAGTAAAATATTACATACTGCAGGGATGCTATTGTCGAGTTTGATCATATAGGGCTCGTAAGTAGGTCACGGCACTTTGCGAGACTTTAGTACTTCCGGTGACAAACAACGTTTTACGGCAATGGCAGTAGCACTGTTACAGGGGGCATGCCTGGCTAATACTCGACTAACGCTGTCTCAGAACACTTTCACATTCAACCGGCTTCAAAAACACTTGGACTATGTTGCACGAACAGCACGTATATAGGTATCAACAGCTGTGCAGTCAGGCTTGACAGTACACTTGGTCCAGTCTAGTGAAGTCATATTTTGCGGTCGCGCAATTTGGAACCAAAACTGGTCCTTGAATACATGCATGTCAGCGGAAATCTGTTACCGGAAGTAGCACCTCGCGCGACTTGCGGACCATGTTCCTTTCCATGGACGCATTAGCCACTTCAGTGTCATGACGTCGGAAACTGAGGTCACCATCTCATTGTAATTAGAGTCGATGGGTATTTTCAGGCACTGGAATCGAACTCAGAAGGAAGTGACAGTTACGAAAGGGGCCGGGGTAGAATGCGGTACTAGTTTCTTGATATAATCAGGGATTCAATCCATCCATGTTTTCTTTGTTTCCAGGACAGAAGCTTGCCGCCGAATTCAGCTGTGCCTTCCTGGAGGTATCGGCGTCCGAGGACGTCCTCAAGGTCATCGAAGCCTTCCATATCCTGTGTAAGGAGATCATCGAGTTTAAACGTCGGTCAAGGACATTCTTAGACAGAGTGTTTGGCCTGAAGAAGTCATGACGTCATCAATGTGTGTAGAGCCATCATTCCATTAGCGGCTAGGTCGTGACGACTGGATGCCGGACGCGTGCAATTACCGGAATTTGTGACATTTTGGGTATTGTTTACAACATGATCTGTCCCAGGGTTTATAGTGTGTCGGGTTGACAACTTTGCCAATGTCCCGATTTGGACTTCAGATTTGGAGTCATACGTAGTGTCCGACACTGTCCATGTTTGTTATCACCAATGATCCAGTATGCTGGCTTGACAAGGTCAGTTCTGCACCACTGCATGACCACCCATGGATATAGTGTAATCACAAACACCACCAACAGATATAGTGTAATCACACAGACCACCAACAGATATAGTGTGATCACACAGACCACCCATGGATATAGTGTAATCACACAGACCACCAACAGAAACGATGCAAAGACACCGACAGAAGTTATGTAGAGTCCACGTACAGTGCACGAATGCTGTGCAATGTGTGTATAAGCCCTCAATCAAAGTGGTTCTTTGTTCATTTGACTCTACTGTTATTCTGTAAGCAACATTATGGCGAGAATTCAAGTGACCCGGAAATATTTGACATCACATGGTTCTGAAACATCACGACCTAATCAGTGAACAGTAAAATGACGAATTATACGACTCAAGGCAACACTCATAGTTGGACCACAAGTCATGGTAGATTACCTACAGTCATGTGAGAATATCGAGTGTTATTTTGAGTAATATATATCTGGTGCATGTAATTCCATAGTAGGGCATGACAGGTCGCTACGTTGGACACGTGTTCCGACATGGATATGTAACCGGGACAAATCTGGAGTTTGTTATAATCCCAATGTCCGTCACTTGGGCCACAGTGGTGGACAAACAACTAAAGCATGTGTTCGTCAATCACTATGCGCCACGGCATGGTATGTTAGTATGTGTGTACAAGGGGTTGTATCACTTGTTTTAGACGGCAGTCGACAGTCATTTGCCTAGTGTCAGTTTCTCATAGTACTGACTGCCAGTACAGTGTGGCTGGATCCCTGTGTTAGGATGACTGATTCAACATGACCGGAAACCAGATGCACTTGTGTCACCTCCTTGCCTTAGGACTGTATGCGGCCCCGAATAACTGTACTGTCTACTAAACAGCATTGTTAGTGGTTTTGATTCTGTTTATTAAAACACCTCCATGTGAAGTTTAATGGTTTTAATGAGTTCTTATCCACACATTGTGAGAGGGACCTTTTGTGAAGAATGACTTCGCCCCTCTATAACGCAGGTCCTGCTGTGAAGTGTTATAATGAAAAAAACACTGTTCTTCCCCATCCTCGGTGATGCAGTGTATTATATCTCCCAGTATGATACAGATTTTTTACTCATTTTTTTACTAATTCGTTTATAGTGTGTCGGGTTGACAACTTTGCCAATGTCCCGATCTGGACTTCAGATTTGGAGTCTCCCAGTATGAGACAGATTTTTTACTCATTCGCCATCATAAGGTTTGTATCTACATTGACACATAAAGCTCAGACGTTCTCTCGCTCGTGGGATACAATTCGGCAACCTGTCAACTCTTTTTCGGGGCAAGAAGTTAACATATATTGGTATTGTAAACTGAGGTCTCGTACGAGCGAATCCCCGATCTAGTTGAACTACACTAAACGCCAAAAGAAACGTTACCCTCCTACTGTTATGAATTACTTAAAAACTATCAAAGATATGTTAGAAGGTATTAGTTTACAAGAAAGCTTAACAACACAGCTTTATGCAAGTCACGAAAACAATGTCTCAAATGCATTCATATTTAGGTGAAATGCATCTTTTTCAGAAGAGTTAGATTGTCCTATTTACGCCATGAAAGAAATAAACCAATAACAGTGATTTAGATGTCCAAAAGAAAGGTTGAAATAAAATTCTGCTTTAAGACAAAGATACACCATTTAAAGCCACAAATTTTCAACTATTCAAACAAGAAACAACTGTTGTAGAGTGTGTAAAATTGCCAAATAATCATTCCTATGATTTCAGTCTTTCAAAACATTTTCTGCTGATTTGCATTAGTGAAAACAAGTAAAACGTGTCTGATTTTGTGAAAAAGTGTTTAGGAACATCTAAAATTATCTTTGTAAACATTTTTGCTTGCAAAGTACCATTTTTCCATTTTCTGTTTACACATAGCAATATCAATAGCCAAAACGCAGCAATATTCAAGCAGTATTTGCATCCATTTCACGTATAGAATTATTCTACAGCGTATAACGAGAGACTAGAATGCATGATATGATACACAAGTACGAGAAATATGCCACGATTAACAGCTGAAGAGAGAGAAAGAGCCATTGGGATGGTGCAGATGGGGTCGACATACAGCGCCCTCGGATGTCATCGTATCACGGGCTTATTCAGGGCTTCAGACAGGCTGGGGTCATCATGGACAGACCAAGAAGTGGACGTCCACGCATCACAACGCCAGCTGAAGATAGGTACCTCCGTCATTAAGAAAGGAGGGTAACGTTTCTTTTGGCGTTTAGTGTAGTAATGTCGCCCCATGTATAAGTCATGGAGGGACAATACAAACTATCAAAAGAAAGTATACACTTGAAAAGGGATTTGACCTGAATGTGTGAGGACAAGTGTCCAAGAAACGAAGAATTTGAAGAAAGGCCTCGACTAGTATATTAGAGCTTGTTTCATTAAACACCTGAACGTATTCCGTCGTGTGTGTTGTCCCGTTGCCACTTGGTCCATGGTTGTCGTCGAGCTGAAAGATGTTTGTTATTGGGGTTTACCAGAAGGAACGCTTTACGAACTCATACCCCCCAAAATGTTTATACTGCTGCTAGAGCTGGTCATTACCGAATAGTTCTGTGTGCTAAAGCTTGAATATCACGGGTTAAGCTAAACTTTACTCATACTTGGTGCTGGTTGAGTGAGTTTCCCCGCAAGCGATGCAATTTGCTCTCTCAGAGTATCTATTGCCAGCTTCATAGTCGTACTTTCTGCAGACTGTGGAATAACTGACCTGGCCAATCGCGCAAATGAGACTGCCTCATTAAGCACAGTTGGTTGTTTCATTAAAACATGTCGCCTAGTGTTGTCATCCAATCCCCGGACAAAAGCGTCCATTAAGTCCGTGTCTGATTTTCCCAACAGGCTAGCCGTCTCAGTCAAGTCCGCCAAATAGGTATCTATAGTTTCTGTTGGGGATAGCTTTCGACTCACAAAAGTTTCCAAACGGGCCCAACGGTTAGTGGGATGGACATACTTGTCCTTGAACAATTTCTCAATCTCATCAGAACGGACAATTTCTTCCTCTGCCGATTCTATAAGATCTTTGTACCATAGATACGCCGCGTCCTCTAAAACAGAGTGGGAAATCTTCAATTTTCTGTGCATCGGTCCACCTTTTAAAGTTACCAAAATGAGCAAAACGGTCAAGCCACTCGGCAGCATGAGACGTGTCCCTACCTGTGAAATGTTCTGGCATTAAAGTGGAATCGCCCATATTGAAGTCAGGGGCATAAGAACTATTGGTAGATGACAAATCTAAAGAGGAAAATGACAATTTTAAATCCTCCTGAGAAAGAGATAGGGAGAGGTCATAGGGAGCAGATGGAGGGTGAGACGTTGACGTGGGTGGTTGTATTATACCAAGTCGGGCGGGATTAGTAAAAATGTTAGAAGTGATGGGACGAGATTGGACCGGACTGTCATAGGACGTAGATGAATCTGAATCATTTCCACGACAAAAATTTCCATTACAAAAATTCCAAATATCCTGAGGGAAAACTGCAGATAACATATCCCAGCCGCGAAAAGGGAACCTACCGTCAAACGTCAACGGAAAGGAATAAAAGGGTAGGAACGACCATACGAAAAACAGCGAAATGGATTGTCTTAAACATTTTGTTCAAGAAGAACCCGCAGACTCCACCATGTCATAACTGGCGTTTGGGTGTTAGTAAACCCTACCACCGTTACCTATTAATTATGGTCGTTCCACATTGTTCGGGGAGATGGTAGCTCTGGCGCTCCACTCGCTTGGTCCGTTGCAGGATGTTAAGTCAAGGAGTGAGGGGTCGACGACCGTGACTCCTAACTAACCACATAACATTCAGGTACTGGTACACATACATTCAAAGATAAGCGCAACACCAAATTTAAACTCACATAGTTTTTACTCTGTCTCAGTCCATCTCTCTAACTACAACTTCAACAACAGGCAGGGCAGGTTCGTACCACACGGGCAGCTGAGTGGCGTGGATTAGCTTCCTGAATGTTGAGCTCGATCAACCCGCACACTGAGCTCGTAGTGCCAAACATGTGTTTTTAAATGGTTCGAACCTAGCCTGATTTTTGGTCACATGCTTCAACGCATCGTTTTAATTCGTTAATCCTGTATCCGAGCTTGCACTCATGTATGTCGTGATTGGATGAATATTGTGTGTTGTGACTGGATGAATGTCGGGCAGCACCGTTCGGTGACTCACCTCTTTTAATTGATTTGGTATTGTTTCAATGTAAGATTAATCTCTTATGTATTTCACGACAAATGTGTTCTGTCTCTCTTTCCATAGCCTACGGCTAAACGCCATTCTGAGGAGACTTTCCGTCTCCATACCGTGCCTAACCGTTATGATTCATGAGCAAAACTGCAAATCTAAATACGGAATCTGATGTAATTCTCTCATGGTTTTAGGGATGCATTTTTACCTTATAACACTATTTATAAGTGACCGCAGAGGACTCTTGGTGAAACTTTGACACCCACGCTGTCTTGGATACAAAACAGCTTTAGTATTATCTTTGTGATAACACCTTCTCTCTAAGGTACGATTTCTCGTAATTTTATGGATTCGCATCCAGGATTGGCACAATTAACCAAATACTGAGGCACCAAATCCCCGGAACACACAGCGATCTAACCCACTGTGACACTGGTGTAACGTAGCTAAGCCCCATCCCTGTTCTCGCACGCTACTTTGAAAGTACGGTGCCCTGACTGAGTTGAGTGGATTGTTTCTCATAAACAAGAGGCACCAGTAGGGCGTGTAGAACTAACTGACCAAGGTTATAATCGTGCAGACACTGAAATTCAAGGGTTGACGCCTGCTTGACAATTGCACTTGCACTGTGAAACCACTCGAAGATTACACTTCATCTGTGAAACAATGGTCGTTCAATTGTGACGTCAAATCACCAAGACAACCATATTCGGTTGATGCATCTATGGAATCGATATCAAACTGCCACATTAACAGCTGAAACAATTTGTGGTTGACATCAATTAGTGGCAGAGCCGTGCACAACCGGATGGGGAGCGCATCTGGCCCTGACATCCAGCACTTCTCTCAGTTGATTCCACGTCCCGTCAGTCACGCCATGCATGGTGTACACAGCATCTGAAGTTCATAAATCAAGATCAAAGAGTGGAGGCTTCATCTGGACAGCACTGATGGCCGTGCAAGGGTCTACAAGTGTCCAGGAAGACGTCACCCAAGGTCGTCACTCTGAGGGTGGACGTGTAATGGAATGGGGTGGCATCGCAACACATGGATGAACACAACGCGTCACTGTCAGTGCCAATCTAAATGGCGCAAGCTACCCAGTGTACAAATGTAGGGACGTAACCTCACGTTGCAGCGGAATAATCAGACCACAGTCGACCATGTGTAGCAGAAAATGTGCATTGTTAGTTGGCTTCTTTTATACTGTAACGTCAGAGGCGGGAACTTATGGGTGATGAGCCTTCACTTTGGGCCATACATACGTCACGCGGAACACGAGAGCTAGTGTTTTATAACAGTATCAACAATATTCAGCCCACCATTAGCCTACAGTGGGAAGGTTGAGGTGGGGTAGCCTAGTGGTTAAAGCGTTCGTTCGTCATGCCGAAGACCCGGCTTAATTGATTCCCAACATGGGTACAATGCGAGAAGTCAATTCAAAAGCGGTGTAAAACTAAACTCACTCACACTCCTACAATGGGAAAGGGACCGGAGACGTTGCTGGCGAATGATGACCGACTCACTTTAAACAGGGAGTGTTAATAATGTTGATCACACTGTCTGTTTGGACATTACTTTCTTTGTCACTAGTTTTCTTCTAAATACTGGCTGAGCCAACATGATCCTAAACCTTGTACCTGGCAATACCACCCATGAAGATGCGGGTCAGACTTGGTTAACACTCATCGTATCCAAATGGTGTATAGCGATGCTCATGCTATTAATCACTGGATTATCTGGTCCAGACTCGATTATTTACAGACAGCCGCCATGTAGCTGGAATATCGCTTAGTTGCGGCGTTAAGTAACAAACAACGAACAAACAAAACTCACAATACAGCCACACCTTTTCTCTGGAGTGTTTTGAGTCCGTGGGTTGATGTCTCATCCACTGCTTCAGGACACAACTTCTATTCATTCCAAAGGAAAGGTTAGTATTGACGGGAAACAATGACAGCTACCTTATTGCCCGAGTTTATCAGGTGCACGTTCATAATACCTGGTGTTTATTAGATGGGATTGGGCCATGTACAAAACAAACAAATACTCAGGTGTGATTACGCCCCATATAATTTAAATCAGATGTTCTACTCTGAAACATCCCTCTGTGTGTGTGTGTGTGAAGAATCTCTGGTTGCAGAAACCCTATTTTCCATGCAGAGAGGTATCCTGAAACAGCTGATTTTAATGGGATCGGTTTGGTGCCACAAATGCTGATGCGTTTATTATACAGATAGGCTTGTTCATGTTGAAACTTTACCCACATATTACTGACTCGCACTGAGCATATATCTGTACTAACCAAATCAATGAGTCAAAACAGCAGCACACAAGATATCCTTGAAGTGTGTCTACTACCACACCACATTCACTGTAGTATATTGAAAACATCATCTTTGTGTTCCTAATGCAGAAGTGTTGTTCCATAACGCCTTCAATCAAGAGGAACTATACCAGGTGTGCAGGATGACTACCTGGACCACACTATGTACATGCATCCATGACCAAAGACCAACTCCACATGTCAAGTGTATAAAAATATCTCCCTTTCACTATTGTAGATGGGATTCAAGATGCCCAAATACACCTGTTACCAAATACAAATATACAGACTCCATAAACATCATACTTGACCTCAAATGAAAGAAAAAAGGAACACTTCGAATTAAGTGCTATGCAGTATTTATTATTCACCCACAAGCCCTTGAACTCCTACAATAGTATGATGACATATAGGCGATGAAGAGTGGTAGATATACAGTGGTACTGCACTACAGATATACGTCACAGGAATATCGTCTAAACACAGACTGGATAGAACAGAATTTTGATACATAAAAAATATGTAGAAATAATCTCTTATTCTGCCAAATCAGATACCTTTTGAGGGATGATTTGGTAACCTGGAGGTTAGAGCATTCACTCATCAAAATATAGGCATGGGCTTGCGTCCCTACATATGTACATGGTGTGAAGACCAATTCTGGCGTCCATTACCCAATATTGGTAACTCACAACACTGTTCACATTCTGAGACTAAAGCACTTGACAGATCTCCGGAATGTGTTCTAATGCAACTTTATGATGATTATGCAAACTAGATGATATCCAGAAACTGAACTCTTTAAACTTTAACTTCTGTCACCTTAGATGAATCTGACTGATTAAGAGAAATGTATCAATGAACAACAATCATGAAAATAGTCCTCATAATCTGACCTCAGGTCATCACCACAGAGTAGCCAATCATGCACTTGGAATCTCCTCTCAAGTACATTTGATACCAGTTACTCGTTCCTGTCCTCCAGGAGACAGGATGAACACGGCTGTGAACAAGGGACTCTGTCCTGATGTTTGCTGTAATATTGTTGTAACTCCCCGACTTAGGGCAGTCACCATGTGGAAGATTGGCAGACCTGGAATACAAACCCTGGACTTTCCAAGAGTGTCTGTCAAACACAAAAATCTTTTGACCTTATTTAACCTCCTCAAGAAAAAAACTTCATCTTCTGACAATAAGTACAGTTTCCTCTCAGATGAAGAATGTAGCTTGAAGTCTTACATTGAGACAGACCAATGGCTGTTATCATGACACGAGGGTGACATGTTTGTCAACTGTGTCGTCTAGGAGGAGCACGCTCATGACATCGTTGATGAAGAAGGGGTGGTACTGACAGGCTCGATCACAGTCGGGGCTGAAGTTCACCTCACAGATCTGGGGCTGCATGTAGCGCGCTCACCTGTAACCATGGAGACAAAAAGCCATCAAATATGATCAGCACCTGGAGAATAAGATACAAACTGAAACATACAGCCCACACCTTGATACCCTGGTACAGACAGTGAAAAGGTGAGCCCTGATATCATCCACACACACCAATATGGTCATATGTCAACAAGAGTTGTTTCCCTTGCATGAACTACTACTTTCAAATGTTTCTGTGTAGCGAATGGTATGTTGCCTGTTGTCTCAGACATCATGGCACAAACCAGCAAGTAAGAACAACCATCCCTGCCTGTACCACCCGGACAGAACACCCAAACAGTCAAGTCCATCAGAATAACTACATGAACCAGTTTAGTCCACTCGGAACTCGAGCATTTGGTTGCTGGGTACTGATTCAAACTAGGGTTCCAGAATCAGAGGCCCAGATAAGCTGCGTGTCCAGGTAAAATATGCATAGAAAATTTTCAATTACGCATTGCTAAACAATTGTTGCATACCAATTACGCATTTAAAATGTTAGATACGCAAAAAGTTTAAAACAAATGCGTATGAAATATATTTATAAAAATCGCTCGCGTAATGAAAAAGACATCGATTGCTATCAAGTTGTAATGTTAGTATAGGACAAGTGTTGTACTGTCAGTATAGGATGAGTGATTTTTTATGAAATCATTTCCATTATATTTAAGTAGTTTTTTATTAGGTATGACATGAGGCAGAACATACCTGCTTAGGAATCTTATTCGATGACGATATACTTAGGCGAGTAAAAGGACTGAAATACGCAAATATTTGAAAGCAGTGGGTAACGGAAAATGAAATACCCACTCAACATTCATAATACCCACCCCCCAAAAATACAGTGGGTACAGTACCCACATGAGCTAAATCTTATCTGGAGCTCTGCAAAATACTTCTTTTCATATATCATATTATTAAAATACACTGGTAAAAGATGCTCCTTGTTGTCAAATTTGTCACGAGTCTTAAAACTGGTAAATATCACGTATTTTCCTCTGGAAGTATTTCTCTCTTCTACTGGCAGATTCTCAGCAAAATCTTTTCCTTCCTTATACATCACTTCCTTCCAATGGTGTTATTCTCCTTTATAATGCAGCAATCCTTCATCAAGGTCATTGTATGAGTTGCATCCTCCATGCTGCATGTGACATTCAGACATCTCGACACTGACACACACTCTAATAGACACATCCCCACAGACACCCTCCAAACACATCCCCACAAACAGACATACAGAGAGAGACAGGGAGAGACAAACAGACAGACAGAGAGAGACAGGGAGAGACAAACAGACATACAGAGAGAGACAGGGAGAGACAAACAGACATACAGAGAGAGACAGACAGAGAGAGACAGGAGAGACAGAGAGACAGACACAGGAGACAAACAGACAGACAGAGAGAGACAGGGAGAGACAAACAGACAGAGAGAGACAGGGAGAGACAAACAGACATACAGAGAGAGACAGGGAGAGACAAACAGACATACAGAGAGAGACAGGGAGAGACAAACAGACATACAGAGAGAGACAGGAGAGAGAACAGAACAGAGAGAGACAGAGAGAGACACATACAGGAGAGACAAACAGACATACAGAGAGAGACAGGGAGAGACAAACAGACATACAGAGAGAGACAGGGAGAGACAAACAGACATACAGAGAGAGACAGGGAGAGACAAACAGACATACAGAGAGAGACAGGGAGAGACAAACAGACAGACAGAGAGAGACAGGGAGAGACAAACAGACATACAGAGAGACAGGGAGAGACAAACAGACATACAGAGAGAGACAGGAGAGACAAACAGACATACAGAGAGAGAGACAGAGAGACAGGGAGAGACAAACAGACATACAGAGAGAGACAGGAGAGACAAGAGACAAACACAGAGAGAGACAGGAGAGACACACAGACAGAGAGACAGGGAGAGACAAACAAACAGACATACAGAGAGACAGAGAGACAAACAGGACAGAGAGAGACAGGGAGAGACAAACAGACATACAGAGAGAGACAGGGAGAGACAAACAGACATACAGAGAGAGACAGGAGACAGACAACAGACAGACAGAGAGACAAACAGACACACAGAGAGGAGAGACAAACAGACATACAGAGAGAGACAGGAGAGACACACAGACAGACAGAGAGAGACAGGAGAGACAAACAGACATACAGAGAGAGACAGGAGAGAGACAAACAGACAGACAGAGAGACAGGAGAGACAAACAGAGACAGAGAGAGACAGAGAGACAAACACACACAGGAGAGAGGAGACACAACAGACACAGAGAGAGACAGGAGAGACAAACAGACAGCAGAGAGAGAGACAGACAACACAGACAGACAGAGAGACAAACAGACACAGAGAGAGACAGACAGACATAAAACAGAGAGAGACAGGAGAGACAAACAGACATACAGAGACAGGGAGAGACAAACAGACACACAGAGAGAGACAGAGAGACAAACAGACATACAGAGAGACAGGGAGAGACAAACAGACACAGAGAACAGGGAGAGACAAACAGACAGAGAGAGACAGGAGAGACAAACAGACAGAGAGAGACAGGAGAGACAAACAGAGAGAGAGACAGAGACAGACAGGAGACAAGGAGACAGGAGAGACAGACACAGAGAGACAGGGAGAGACAAAGACAAACAGACATACAGAGAGAGACAGGAGAGAGAGAGAGACAGGAGACAAACAGACACAGAGAGAGACAGGGAGAGACAAACAGACAGACAGAGAGGAGACAGGAGAGACAAACAGAGAGACAGAGAGAGACAGGGAGAGACAAACAGACAGAGAGACAGGAGAGACAAACAGACAACAGGAGAGAGAGACAGAACAGACACAGGGAGAGACAAACAGACAGAGAGAGAGAGGAGAGACAAACAGACATACAGAGAGAGACAGGGAGAGACAAACAGACAGAGAGACAGGAGGAGACAAACAGACAGAGAGAGACAGGAGAGACAAACAGACATACAGAGAGAGACAGGAGAGACAAACAGACATACACAGAGAGAGACAGAGGACAGAGACAGAGAACAGACATACACAGAGAGAGACAGACATGACAGAGAGAGAGACAAACAGACATACAGAGAGAGACAGGAGAGACAAACAGACAGAGAGAGAGGGAGAGACAAACAGACAGACAGAGAGAGACACAGGAGAGACAAACAGACATACAGAGAGAGACAGGGAGAGACAAACAGACATAGAGAGAGAGAGAGACAGGGAGAGACAGAACAGACAGAGAGGGAGAGAGAGAGACAGAGGGAGAGACAAACAGACAGGCAGAGAGAGAGACAAACAGACATACAGAGAGAGACAGGGAGAGACAAGAGACAAACAGACATACAGAGAGAGACAGGAGAGACATACAGAGAGAACAGGAGAGACAAACAGACAGAGAGAGACAGGAGAGACAAACAGACACACAGAGAGAGACAGGAGAGACAAACAGACACAGAGAGAGACAGGAGAGACAAACAGACACAGAGACAGAGAGACAAACAGACATAGAGGAGAGACAAACAGACATACAGAGAGACAGGGAGAGACAAACAGACATACAGAGAGAGACAGGGAGAGACAGACATAAGAGACAAACAGAGAGACAGGGAGAGAGACAACAGAGAGAGACAGGACAAACAGACATACAGAGAGACAGGAGAGAGACAGAACAGACAAACAGACAGCAGAGAGACAGGGAGAGACAAACAGAGAGAGACAGGGAGAGACAAACAGACAGAGAGAGACAGGGAGAGACAAACAGACATACAGAGAGAGACAGGGAGAGACAAACAGACATACAGAGAGAGACAGGGAGAGACAAACAGACATACAGAGAGAGACAGGGAGAGACAAACAGACATACAGAGAGAGACAGGGAGAGACAAACAGACATACAGAGAGCAGAGATGCATGCACAAACTCACAATGACAACAACTCACCTTTGTCATTCTTGTCCCACTTGAGCATGAGGTCAATAGCATACATGGCCCGTGACTGGGGAGGGGCTGATGCCCTGGGGTGGGGGAGGGAGGAGGCAGCCTCAAACAACTCCCGGAACATGGTGAAGATGTCTCTCTGAAATACAAACAGTTCTGGGTCAGGTAGCAGCAAGCAAACAACAGTATATACATCTGGACATAACACTGTACTTCTTCAGCAAGAGGACTTTTTAACACATGTCAACAAATACAGCCTCAAAAAACAAACAATGCTGCCATCACTGACAGTCAAACAGAGTTCTGACCAAAGACAACTCTTACAATATATCTAATAAAACAGATAAAGTAAAAGTCTGATTAAAATCTCATGACAAATTCAGATGCAATTACTGGTGGGAACAAGCATGTGAAATGTCAGCTTCACACATTCAGTTAGGCTACAATGTTGAAATTGTACGTCACTCAGGCTACAATGTTGAAATTGTACGTCACTCAGGCTACAATGTTGAAATTGTACATCACTCAGGCTACAATGTTGAAATTGTACGTCACTCAGGCTACAATGTTGAAATCGTACATCACTCAGGCTACAATGCTGAAATCCTACATCACTCAGGCTACAATGTTGAAATTCCACATCACTCAGGCTACAATGATGAAATCCTACATCAGCAATATAACAATGTTAATACCTTGCATAAGTTACTATGTTGAACCACACTCCACCATGGCTACAGACAGAGTGTATCAGGGAGTATGGCACAAGTCACTCACCTCCACGTCCGTCCCAGCTGAAGTCAGGGTACTGCTTCTCAAACATCTTGATGTACTCATCGTAGTGAATCTGAAAATGTCATCACAATTAACCAGTTTCTGATATGGAGTCCATCTGATATGGAGTCCACCAGCATGCTGCAGTGTGACCAAGGAATATACTAGACATCCCCTGTAAGTCTGGGTTGGGCTGAACAGTTTGCCAGGTATACCACCGCCTGTCGGCTTAGTGTGGGGGACAAGCAGAGAGTAATGAAGACCTCAGACACGTATCCCTTTAGTGAAACCCATGATAATGAGTATAGGGCTGACAAATCCAATGTAAACCGGATTCGAACTCACAATCACAAGTTTCCGGAGTGTTGAAGGGACACAACTCTGCACAGTAAATTGAAGCGACTAAGTTGACTGAGTCATCGGTGCCACCATCCCATGATGTCTGGTAACCTTGACACACACCATGTACATGTCACAGTACAGAGCTGTACATTTTAAACATTGGTAAACAATTCATAATCTGAAGGGCTTGAAACATGACGCTTACACCAATACTTCACACATCACACTTACCTACTGTATATATCTACTGATAAAGATATCCTTATCAATCAAACATTACCAAATGAAAATGATATCAACAAATATCCCAATCTACATTAGGCAGCTGTAACCATGGTTACCTGTTTGAGCGGGGACTCTTCCCGGTAGTTCATGACTGTGAAGTGCTTGTCATAGTCGTCGAAGTGGTCGAGAGAGTAGGGCCTACAACAAACACGTCACAGAGCAGTCTTGAACAGCTCAACATGATGACATGCTTTACACTACGATGACAACAGTTACCAGATGAAGGACATAAAAGTGTTGAACACCTAACATTCAGCAGTGACTGTACCAGTCAACTGAACCCCCAAAATGAGTACCATATTGCCCGTGGTGTAGTGACAGTTACAGCGCCCATTTACCAGAGAGCGGAAGGTCGCGATTCGATCCCCGACCGCGTCATACCAAAAGACGTTAAAATATGGTACTTGTTGGTCCCTGCCTGGCGCTCGGCATTAATGGGTACAACAAGGACTGGTCGTCTCGGAGTCCGTATAATGTGTCTGGGTGGGGTATTCATGCTTCACTGCGGCATGGTATCTCAGTGGGCTAGCACTATAAAACCAGCTTCAGTCTGGGCTAGTACAAGCAGCCGCACATACACATACACACGCATGCACGTCGTCATATGAGCGAAATATTCTCAAGCACGACGTTAAACCCAATTTCACCTCACCTTACCTCACCAAAAGTGGCTGAAAGAGAACTTCAAACTTACTTGTTGGCGAATCTGAGCCAGAAAACATTGTAGGCGAACAGTTTGAGTGGTTTGACGCTGGACAGCAGTACGATGTACCGGATGTCATACTTGACCATCCCCACATCATCCCGGTGGAACAACACCGGGTCCTCGATGTACTTACACACCACCTGCAACATCACAGCAACATCCACAGTTCAGGTACATCAGGGACATACCACACATGGAGGTTACCCTGCTCCCAACAACAGTTCAGATATATCAGGGACATACCACACATGGAGGAGATATATTACCCTGGTTCTCCCAACAACAGTTCAGATATATCAGGGACATACCACACATGGAGGTTACCCTGCTCCCAACAACAGTTCAGATATATCAGGGACATACCACACAACAACAGGTTATATCTGGACATACCACACATGGAGGTTACCCTGCTCCCAACAACAGTTCAGATATATCAGGGACATACCACACATGGAGGTTACCCTGCTCCCAACAACAGTTCAGATATATCAGGGACATACCACACATGGAGGTTACCCTGCTCCCAACAACAGTTCAGATATATCAGGGACATACCACACATGGAGGTTACCCTGCTCCCAACAACAGTTCAGATATATCATGGGGACATACCACACATGGAGGTTACCCTGCTCCCAACAACAGTTCAGATATATCAGGGACATACCACACATGGAGGTTACCCTGGTCCCAACAACAGTTCAGATATATCAGGGACATACCACACATGGAGGTTACCCTGCTCCCAACAACAGTTCAGATATATCAGGGACATACCACACATGGAGGTTACCCTGCTCCCAACAACCAACAACAGTTCAGATATATCAGGGACATACCACACATGGAGGTTACCCTGCTCCCAACAACAGTTCAGATATATCAGGGACATACCACACATGGAGGTTACCCTGCTCCCAACAACAGTTCAGATATATCAGGGACATACCCACACATGGAGGTTACCCTGCTCCCAACAACAGTTCAGATATATCAGGGACATACCACACATGGAGGTTACCCTGCTCCCAACAACAGTTCAGATATATCAGGGGACATACCACACATGGAGGTTACCCTGCTCCCAACAACAGTTCAGATATATCAGGGACATACCACAACATGGAGGTTACCCTGTTACCCTGCTCCCAACAACAGTTCAGATATATCAGGGACATACCACACATGGAGGTTACCCTGCTCCCAACAACAGTTCAGATATATCAGGGACATACCACACATGGAGGTTACCCTGCTCCCAACAACAGTTCAGATATATCAGGGACATACCACACATGGAGGTTACCCTGTCTCCCAACAACAGTTCAGTTCAGATATATCAGGGACATACACATGGAGGTTACATACCACACATGGAGGTTACCCTGCTCCCAACAACAGTTCAGATATATCAGGGACATACCCACATGGAGGTTACCCTGCTCCAACCCCAACAACAGTTCAGGATGCTCCCAACAATATCAGGGACATACCACACATGGAGGTTACCCTGCTCCCAACAACAGTTCAGATATATCAGGGACATACCACACATGGAGGTTACCCTGCTCCCAACAACAGTTCAGATATATCAGGGACATACCACACATGGAGGTTACCCTGCTCCCAACAGTTCAGTTCACATGGAGGTTATCCCAACAACAGTTCAGATACATACCACACATGGAGGTTACCCTGCTCCCAACAACAGTTCAGATATATCAGGGACATACCACACATGGAGGTTACCCTGCTCCCAACAACAGTTCAGATATATCAGGGACATACCACACATGGAGGTTACCCTGCTCCCAACAACAGTTCATACAGGGACACACATGGAGGTTACCCTGCTCCCAACAACAGTTCAGATATATCAGGGACATACCACACATGGAGGTTACCCTGCTCCCAACAACAGTTCAGATATATCAGGGACATACCACACATGGAGGTTACCCTGCTCCCAACAACAGTTCAGATATATCAGGGACATACCACACATGGAGGTTACCCTGCTCCCAACAACAGTTCAGATATATCAGGGACATACCACACATGGAGGTTACCCTGCTCCCAACAACAGTTCAGATATATCAGGGACATACCACACATGGAGGTTACCCTGCTCCCAACAACAGTTCAGATATATCAGGGACATACCACACATGGAGGTTACCCTGCTCCCAACAACAGTTCAGATATATCAGGGACATACCACACATGGAGGTTACCCTGCTCCCAACAACAGTTCAGATATATCAGGGACATACCACACATGGAGGTTACCCTGCTCCCAACAACAGTTCAGATATATCAGGGACATACCACACATGGAGGTTACCCTGCTCCCAACAACAGTTCAGATATATCAGGGACATACCACACATGGAGGTTACCCTGCTCCCAACAACAGTTCAGATATATCAGGGACATACCACACATGGAGGTTACCCTGCTCCCAACAACAGTTCAGATATATCAGGGACATACCACACATGGAGGTTACCCTGCTCCCAACAACAGTTCAGATATATCAGGGACATACCACACATGGAGGTTACCCTGCTCCTCCCAACAACAGTTCAGATATATCAGGGACATACCACACATGGAGGTTACCCTGCTCCCAACAACAGTTCAGATATATCAGGGACATACCACACATGGAGGTTACCCTGCTCCCAACAACAGTTCAGATATATCAGGGACATACCACACATGGAGGTTACCCTGCTCCCAACAACAGTTCAGATATATCAGGGACATACCACACATGGAGGTTACCCTGCTCCCAACAACAGTTCAGATATATCAGGGACATACCACACATGGAGGTTACCCTGCTCCCAACAACAGTTCAGATATATCAGGGACATACCACACATGGAGGTTACCCTGCTCCCAACAACAGTTCAGATATATCAGGACATACCACACATGGAGGTTACCCTGCTCCCAACAACAGTTCAGATATATCAGGGACATACCACACATGGAGGTTACCCTGCTCCCAACAACAGTTCAGATATATCAGGGACATACCACACATGGAGGTTACCCTGCTCCCAACAACAGTTCAGATATATCAGGGACATACCACACATGGAGGTTACCCTGCTCCCAACAACAGTTCAGATATATCAGGGACATACCACACATGGAGGTTACCCTGCTCCCAACAACAGTTCAGATATATCAGGGACATACCACACATGGAGGTTACCCTGCTCCCAACAACAACAGTTCAGATATATCAGGGACATATCAGGGACACCACACATGGAGGTTACCCTGCTCCCAACAACAGTTCAGATATATCAGGGACATACCACACATGGAGGTTACCCTGCTCCCAACAACAGTTCAGATATATCAGGGACATACCACACATGGAGGTTACCCTGCTCCCAACAACAGTTCAGATATATCAGGGACATACCACACATGGAGGTTACCCTGCTCCCAACAACAGTTCAGATATATCAGGGACATACATCACACATGGAGGTTACCCTGTCCCAACAACAGTTCAGGATACCATCATGGAGGACATCCCAACACATGGAGGTTACCCTGCTGTCCCAACAACAGTTCAGATATATCAGGGACATACCACACATGGAGGTTACCCTGCTCCCAACAACAGTTCAGATATATCAGGACATACCACACATGGAGGTTACCCCCTGCTCCCAACAACAGTTCAGATATATCAGGGACATACCACACATGGAGGTTACCCTGCTCCCAACAACAGTTCAGATATATCAGGGACATACCACACATGGAGGTTACCCTGCTCCCAACAACAGTTCAGATATATCAGGGACATACCACACATGGAGGTTACCCTGCTCCCAACAACAGTTCAGATATATCAGGGACATACCACACATGGAGGTTACCCTGCTCCCAACAACAGTTCAGATATATCAGGGACATACCACACATGGAGGTTACCCTGCTCCCAACAACAGTTCAGATATATCAGGGACATACCACACATGGAGGTTACCCTGCTCCCAACAACAGTTCAGATATATCAGGGACATACCACACATGGAGGTTACCCTGCTCCCAACAACAGTTCAGATATATCAGGGACATACCACACATGGAGGTTACCCTGCTCCCAACAACAGTTCAGATATATCAGGGACATACCACACATGGAGGTTACCCTGCTCCCAACAACAGTTCAGATATATCAGGGACATACCACACATGGAGGTTACCCTGCTCCCAACAACAGTTCAGATATATCAGGGACATACCACACATGGAGGTTACCCTGCTCCCAACAACAGTTCAGATATATCAGGACATACCACACATGGAGGTTACCCTGTCCCAACAACAGTTCAGATATATCAGGGACATACCACACATGGAGGTTACCCTGCTCCCAACAACAGTTCAGATATATCAGGGACATACCACACATGGAGGTTACCCACATGGAGGTTCCCAACAACAGTTCAGATATATCAGGGACATACCACACATGGAGGTTACCCTGCTCCCAACAACAGTTCAGATATATCAGGGACATACCACACATGGAGGTTACCCTGCTCCCAACAACAGTTCAGATATATCAGGGACATACCACACATGGAGGTTACCCTGCTCCCAACAACAGTTCAGATATATCAGGGACATACCACACATGGAGGTTACCCTGCTCCCAACAACAGTTCAGATATATCAGGGACATACCACACATGGAGGTTACCCTGCTCCCAACAACAGTTCAGATATATCAGGGACATACCACACATGGAGGTTACCCTGGTCCCAACAACAGTTCAGATATATTACCACACCTGTTACCCTGGTCCCAACAACAGTTCAGGTATATCAGGGACATACCACACATGGAGGTTACCCTGCTCCCAACAACAGTTCAGATATATCAGGGACATACCACACATGGAGGTTACCCTGGTCCCAACAACAGTTCAGGTATATCAGGGACATACCACACATGGAGGTTACCCTGCTCCCAACAACAGTTCAGATATATCAGGGACATACCACACATGGAGGTTACCCTGCTCCCAACAACAGTTCAGATATATCAGGGAAGCAAAGAATATTGTACTGATGTGGGGAAATCATCTGTGCAAGTGTCTGTCCCTACCTTGGGTCCTCCGTCTGGAAGTTTGACGATGTGGTCCAGGTTGTCGGTGATGTCCATATCGAGACCTCGCGCCAGGTTCCACGGCTTACAGATGTAGGTGTTATCGAGACCCCTGAAACACAGCAAGTCCGAGAGTGCCACACCAACAAACTGCCATGACAGACAGTAGATTACAAACAACAAATAGGGACTTACAAATAAGAATTCTGGGAGGGGCCAGTACAAAATATGTTTTAAACATACATTTGTTGTCGCTGAAAGGAGGCCATATACATATTCTACCCCATCAAGTTTGTCTAACAAATATTGCTGCTTTTGTATAAACTAAAGACAGCTTACTTAATTTCTTAGACACATTATTTTACTAATATAATCCCCTGCCCTACAAGAATATCAAATGGATGACCCCTAAGGGAGCAGCCATAATATCTCCAAACAGGGGCATGGGATTTTGATTTGTGATACATTTATATACAAACAGAGTTGCTCAAATAAATATTTAGTAAAACATAAACAAATAAACTGTATGCTTCGGACATTTAACCTAGTCTCCTGTACAGGTCCTGGTCTAGACATAGTTTTGGACATATGTTATACTTGGGATTACACTTTCTTAGGAAAGTACAGATTCTAGTACTTTTTGTTGGGTTGAGTCCCAAATATAACATATGTTACATTTGATCACTTTCTAAATGGCATTGTGTAATCATAGTTTTCGGCCGTGGGAGCCGTGCCAATTTACACTTATCAGAGGAGTACACAAAGTCTGCAGTCTAGACTACCAGTTGTCCCGACTTTCATTTTTGTGACTCTGAGGGTGTGGGTTCGAATCCCGGATGGGACTCAACCCAACAAAAGTACTAGAATCTGTACTTTACTAAGAAAGTGTAATCCCAAATATAACATATGTTACATCTGATCACTTTCTAAATGGCATTGTGTAATCATAGTTTTGGACACATTAACATTTTCTGTGACAGAGACTTGATTATTTCTCAGAAAGATCTGTCTCCCTCACATAATAACCAAATGGCTTCTCCCGAAGGACATATGGCTCAGAACATTTTACTGCTTTACACCTTTTACACTGCCTCAATTCTTACACGGGCCAATTCATCCAGGAACAATGAATTACAACCTTTAGCTTTATTTATAAACATGTTTTAAATGCATATTTCTCACTTGTCTCTCATTGACTGTGGGACGGAAGCCGGTGGAGTTACCTCCCTACTTACTGAGCCTCCCTATGCTGGAAGTAAGAGACAAACTGTGGCAGTTCTGTCTGTAGGTTGTAGGTGACTGGCAGCCATTTTGGACTTGGTTGCGATGCATTCTGGGACTGATCTTTCTTGGCTGCGCGTCGAGAGACAATGGCCAGGAGGTCTTTGATTGTCACAGTCATCTCAAATGGGAACTGGTTCACAAACTTTCCTGGAAATTCTTCACTCAGTTCCCTGGGGAGAGAGGTAACAGAGTCTAAACAATTAAAAGGGCAGGATGAGGTGAGGTAATTGTAACAAATTATATCAATGATAATTAAATAAGAACAAATTGATCCACATGATGAAATACAGGACTTGACATGATGGGTTGAGTTCCATTTGTGTGGCCTCTATTTCAGTCATCCATGGTGGGGATTTAAAGGAAGGAAGACTCCAATGGTTGTCATTAAATACTCCTTACACTGTGTCAGTTGATCCAGAGGGAGGGCTTGCTTTCTGCCATAGCTTTTTCTGGACTTGATTACTTACAGATCTATGAAAGGGCTGGAACACTGGTGATTGCAATACTGACAACTCACACACTCACTCTCTTCAATCCACTCACTCCTCACTCAATCCACAGGGTCAGAAATCAATAAAACCCTTACTTGAAGTCCTTGTAATGTCTGTGTGTCCAGATGACGTCTGCTTGTGTGATGTCCTCCACTAGCTGGAAGCGAGGGTCAGTGAGATGGTCCTTCAACATCTTGCCGTAGTCCATGTACACCTTGAGGCTCCGGTCAGTCGGCACTGGTGGGAACTCCACGTCCAGGTTCGGCAAACTCTCATTCTCCCTGTAAGCCTGAGGAACAACACCAATAACATAACACGAACATTGCAACATCGAACATGATTTTCTGATAATGCTCGCTGTCTGTTCTAAAACCCAGGATGATAGAGTATTGTGGATTTATTCACAAATAGTCTTCAGTAATATATTTGAATATATTGCACCATATGAGTTAGTCATTGTGTTGTTGGATGTTTAGTTTCAACGTAAGTTACCCATAACATTCCCCAGTTTAGAAGTGTCAAGTATGCACACAAGAAGTATGGAGAAACGGGGAACTAGAACAGGTAAATGGTCAACTGGAATAAATGTGACCCCCTCCTTGCTGGTAGTCCTCCCCACTAATTGCCCTACCCAGTAGATTCCCTCCCCACTAATTGCCCTACCCAGTAGATTCCCTCCCCACTAATTCCCCTACCCAGTAGATTCCCTCCCCACTAGTTCCCCTACCCAGTAGATTCCCTTCCCGCTAGTTTCCCTACCCAGTAGATTCCCTCCCAGCTAGTTCCCTACCCAGTAGATTCCCTCTAATTCCCCTACCCAGTAGATTCCCCTCCCAGTAGATTCCCCTACCCAGTAGATTCCCTCCCCTGCTAATTTCCCTACCCAGTAGATTCCCTCCTGCCCCTACCCAGATTCCCTCCCCACTAATTCCCTACCCAGTAGATTCCCTCCCCGCTAGTTCCCCTAGACCCAGCTAGTTCCCCTACCCAGTAGATTCCTCCCACTACCCAGTAGATTCCTCCCACCTCCCCTACCCACCCAGTAGATTCCCTCCCACTAGTTCCCCTACCCAGTAGAGATTCCCTACCCAGTAGATTCCCCTCCCCCAGTGGCTAGTTCCCCTACCCAGTAGATTCCCTCCCACTAGTTCCCCTACCCAGTAGATTCCCTCCCCGCTAGTTCCCCTACCCAGTAGATTCCCCTACCCAGTAGATTCTCCCCGCACTAGTTCCCCTACCCAGTAGATTCCCTCCCCACTAGTTCCCTACCCAGTAGATCCCTCTCCCGCTAGTTCCCCTACCCAGTAGATTCCCTCCCCGCTAGTTCCCCTACCCAGTAGATTCCCTCCCCGCTAGTTCCCCTACCCAGTAGATTCCCTCCCCGCTAGTTCCCCTACCCAGTAGATTCCCTCCCGCTAGTTCCTGTACCCAGTAGATTCCCTCCCAGCTAGTTCCCTACCCAGTAGATTCCCCTACCCAGTAGATCCCTCCCCGCTAGTTCCCCTACCCAGTAGATTCCCTCCCCACTAGTTCCCCTACCCAGTAGATTCCCTCCCCGCTAGTTCCCCTACCCAGTAGATTCCCTCCCCGCTAGTTCCCCTACCCAGTAGATTCCCTCCCCGCTAGTTCCCCTACCCAGTAGATTCCCTCCCCGCTAGTTCCCCTACCCAGTAGATTCCCCTACCCAGTAGATTCCCTCCCTGCTAGTTCCCCTACCCAGTAGATTCCCTCCCACTAGTTCCCCTACCCAGTAGATTCCCTCCCCTAATTCCCCTACCCAGTAGATTCCCTCCCAGCTAGTTCCCCTACCCAGTAGATTCCCTCCTGCTAGTTCCCCTACCCAGTAGATTCCCTCCCTGCTAGTTCCCTACCCAGTAGATTCCCTCCCTGCTAGTTCCCCTACCCAGTAGATTCCCTCCCCTAGTTCCCTACCCAGTAGATTCCCTCCCCGCTAATTCCCCTACCCAGTAGATTCCCTTCCCACTAGTTCCCTACCCAGTAGATTCCCTCCCCGCTAGTTCCCCTACCCAGTAGATTCCCTTCCCACTAGTTCCCCTACCCAGTAGATTCCCTCCCCGCTAGTTCCCCTACCCAGTAGATTCCCTCCCCGCTAGTTCCCCTACCCAGTAGATTCCCTCCCCACTAGTTCCCCTACCCAGTAGATTCCCTCCACGCTAGTTCCCCTACCCAGTAGATTCCCTCCACGCTAGTTCCCCTACCCAGTAGATTCCCTCCACGCTAGTTCCCCTCCCCGCCGGTACCCCCCTCCCACGTTGGCTCCAGTGTCACTGTGCGAGTTGTTTCTGACCTGGAAGTAGGACATGTCTGGCTCTGTCTGCTCGCAGCTCACGTCGGTCAGATCATCATCTATCCATGGAGTGAGTCGGGCTCGTCGCACCAGTGCGTCTCTGACGTTCGGGAGATAGTCTCTGGTCACCTCCTCTGGACAACAACTTTCGACATTGTCACAACATTCACCCCAAGAAACATTATTTTTCTCAAACATCTAGACCAATTATAACTTGAAAAAGTAGAAAACGGTTAGTTAACATCTAAATAGTATTTTCCACACACATCTCAGAGATGTCACTTTTAATATTGTGAATCATCATAAACAAACAAATATACATAACACAATCACATATGGTCTTTAAACATACAAATCAAATCAGCCATTCATGCACTGTGATGGACTTTGTGTGAACTTTGAATCGACCAGATCTGCAGGAAAGAGACGGCAAACAGTACCTCCATGATCTAGGTCCCTCAGTGGCCACATGATGTTGAACGCCATCTGTCGGGGCAGGAAGTAGAAGGGTACTGTTCTGAATGACGGTTCGTTTGAGTGCTGGATGCGGGAACCGAACTCATCCATCACATACCAGATGGGCATGGAGTCCTCCGAGCCCTGAACACACAAGTTAAAGCTATTTATTAGGACTTGTCACAGGTTCACCCACGTCATTATTATGAAGCTTCTACAACTGCTTCACAAACACAACACAAATAACACCCAGACAAATGAACACCATGATCAGAAGGTCAGATGATGTGTCAACATGACACAAGGCGAATCAGATCAGATCGGCGATATGTCATATTTTTTATTTAGTGGCCAGTTGTGAGTGTGTGCATCAGTATGATCCTATGCATCTTTTGTGCAGTATTCCAGCAATATCATGGTTGGGGACACCTGAAACTGAACCCATTTGGGGAATCAAACCCTGGACTTCGGCTTGACAGCATGGCTCAGTGTCACAATTTCCACGTCTTGTAGCATAAATCTAAAACCTAGGCTGCTGTTTAACTGTGACTGTGTCTGACAAACCAGACATTGATAGAGTTTCTTACCTCTGATAAATGCCCAAAGCTGTATGTCTGTGTGTACCTGGAGTGAGGACAGAGGAACCAGGTCAGGCTAGTCACCATGGTTACAAGTGCATGCGAGGAGGTCAGAGTGACCATGTAACCATACACCAAATGTCATTGAAATTAAAAATTATGATTGAGATATGATGTATATATTCAGGTTATTATTAGCACAGGAAGTGTCTTAGTTTTTCAACAATTATTCATATTAGTGACTGGAACAATATATAAGTGAGTGAGTGAGTTCAGTTTTACACTGCTTTCAGCAATATTCTAGCAATATCATGGCGGGGGACACCAGAAATGGGCTTCACACATTGTACACATGTGGGGAATCGAGTCTTTGGAATGATGAGCGAAAGCTTTAACCATAAGGCTACCCCACCACCCCGGAACAATATGTACCAGTGTTGGAGAGTAGAGCTGATGATGAAAGCCTCGCCAACACTATCATTAGACCCTGTGGACCATAGAGTCCACATGATACCCACTGCACAAACACTGGTGTGTTATGTTTACAGGGCATATAGGGAAACTATCAAACTATATGCAGGCAATTTAAGAGAAATAAACTTCACAACTAAAAAGTGCCTATAAAGCCAAAATATTTTGATCTCCTCAACTACAGAATTATTTTACCATTATATTCAAGGCAATTATATATGTAAGAATAAGATTTAAAGTCATTTTGCTCTTTATGGGTCCTGTTATCAGCCAAATAAAGATTATCTTTGAAAACTTAAATCAGCTAGTTAATAACAAGAAACAATTGTACTAGAAACATATTAACCACAATTAGGGAATCTCAGTGACATTTGTGTTACAACAAAGGACAATAAAATCATAGTAACATTCTGTTAAAAGACATCACTGGGTATCATAAGTTTAAGACAAGGTAAATAAACAAGGTAAATAAACACAATAAACAGTAGCATTCTTACTTCCACATTTTACGGAGAACAGCCTCATTCTGCTCGTCGCTTGACTTCCCTGCTGTGGAGACCTCAATCAGCGCCGTCATCCGTTCCAACAACCCTGGTACCTCCTCCAGGTACTGGCGGGCATCACGCACACGGAACGTCCAGGCATGGTCAATCAGGAAGATGCTGTAGATGGACAGACACACTCACAATCAGCTAGCTAAGCCTGTTGTCTCAAACCCGGGAGATATTTTATCTCAGTTAGTGGAACTGATTCTCTTTACCAAATTTTCTAAACTGACTCTGAAGTGAATTCAGGAATTCTGAGTTTTATATAATTATCTTTGATTACCTTTATCTGAGGGAATTAATAATTACTTTACATATATCAACAAAACTGTAACATATAAAAATATATTCCAAATTACTTTTTTTCATCTGTGTGCGAGATACCATCGTCTGTGTACACGATAACCTTCCATCCATGGTCGTCAGCACCATCGTCTTCATCGTTGTCCTCACTGACATACTGCTCACATATGATCTGGAAGTTGTCCCCTGCATCATACACCTGCAACACCATGGAGGGAGAGGAAGACATTCATTGGATCACATTACATATGGTTCAAACAGTACCATGCTCCAAAATGTTCAAACCGTATATTTATAAAACTTCATGACATTTCCCCTGACATGACACCTGTCAACACCATCTAATCTATATTAGACCAAGACATTTCCCCTGACATGACTCCTGTCAACACTATCTAATCTATATTAGACCAAGACATTTCCCCTGACATGAGTCTTGTCAACACTCCTGTCAACACCATCTAATCTATATTAGACCAAGACATTTCTCCTGACATGACTCCTGTCAACACCATCTAATCTATATTAGACCAAGACATTTCCCCTGACATGACACCTGTCAACACCATCTAATCTATATTAGACCAAGACATTTCCCCTGACATGACTCCTGGCAACACCATCTAATCTATATTAGACCAAGACATTTAGACCCTGACATGACCCTGACATGACTCCTGGACAAGACATTTCCTGACATGACTCCTGTCAACACACCATCTAATCTATATTAGACCAAGACATTTCCCTGACATGACTCCTGTCAACACCATCTAATCTATATTAGACCAAGACATTTCCCTGACATGACTCCTGGCAACACCATCTAATCAGACCAGACATCTGAATCTGGCAACACTATCTAATCTATTAGACCAAGACATTTCCCCTGACATGACTCCTGGCAACACTATCTAATCTATATTAGACCAAGACATTTCCCCTGACATGACTCCTGTCAACACCATCTAATCTATATTAGACCAAGACATTTCCCTGACATGACTCCTGACATCCTGACTCAACACCATCATGAATGGCAACACTATATTAAGATTAGACCAAGACATTTCCCCTGACATGACTCCTGGCAACACCATCTAATCTATATTAGACCAAGACATTTAGACCAAGACATTTCCCTGACATGACTCCTGTCAACATGACATCTATATTAGACCAAGACAACACCAACACCATCTAATCTATATTAGACCAAGACATTTCCCTGACATGACTCAACACCCTGTCAACACCATCTAATCTATATTAGACCAAGACATTTCCCCTGACATGACTCCTGTCAACACCATCTAATCTATATTAGACCAAGACATTTCCCCTGACATGACTCCTGTCAACACCATCTAATCTATATTAGACCAAGACATTTCCCTGACATGACTCCTGTCAACACCATCTAATCTATATTAGACCAAGACATTTCCCCTGACATGACTCCTGTCAACACCATCTAATCTATATTAGACCAAGACATTTCCCCTGACATGACTCCTGTCAACACTATCTAATCTATATTAGACCAAGACATTTCCCCTGACATGACTCCTGTCAACACTATCTAATCTATATTAGACCAAGACATTTCCCCTGACATGACTCCTGGCAACACTATCTAATCTATATTAGACCAAGACATTTCCCCTGACATGACTCCTGTCAACACCCTCTTATCTATATTAGACCAAGACATTTCAGAATCCTGTTCATCATATCAATCACTGGATTGTGTTTATTATTTACAGGCCGACATCACATACTGGAATATTGCTGAGAGTCGTGTTAAACAACTAAAGAACAAAACAAACATCAGATTCATTCTGGTCAAATATAATATCTGTGAGGAATATCTGGCCATGGAAGCCATGTGATCTGATGCCCTCTGTCAGTGGAGATTCTACAAGCTGGACATGTCTGTTCTGTGTGAAACCTACACACTGTGTCTGTGTTGTTAGAGTAGAATCATCTATATCATCTACATTGCTGGATTGATTGTAGTTATAAAACATTAATTTGGCAAATAGAGCATTGTTTCATTGGCTTGATTCAAACTTGCCAACTGGTCCAAAACTAATCCCTGACCATGATGCCTTCAATAAAAGTCACTCAAGCAAAAACCTTAGCCATGACAGCTCATGTCAATATCATTGTCTGTCCTCATTAGCATACTAGCCATGATGGAGATGCTTCCCCGACAACGTTCCTCTCAAGTGGAAATACAGGAACTACAACTTTTGATAATGATACTGAAATACACATGTACAGATGAAACCGCCTAAGTAAAGACTGCCTAACTAAACAGACCGGATAAGTAAACACTTTTCTTTGGTCCCGGCAAATTTCTTCATTAATTATCACTATTAGAGTCCGGTTAACTAATCTCGGATAAGTAAACAATACTGCTTAACTAAACGTCTTCTCACGGTCCCTGGAAGTAAATTACTTAACAAAAGAGACCGGATAACTAAATTAGCGATCACCACATAATCCGACATGAGGGGCATGTGTCAGTCTCCAGCTAAACAAACATCCTACATACAGCTCGCTGGCGTTATGCAGTTGACAATACACTGACAACTGGAGGCCAGCCCTGATAAGTTGTTCATTGTTAGATATGCATACATATACATGCATATGGTTGTCATTTGCAGGTTTTTATAAGTTTGGATAAGTAAAATACTTGATAAGTAAACAATTTTGACGAGTCCCTTGAAATTTTACTTATCAGGTTTCCACTGTATGTCATTCTAGTTAAATATGTATACACCTGACATATTAGGGTATGTTCAGATTTTATGGTTAGTGGGGGTGATGATTTTAAGTGGGGTCACCCATTTTGTTCTGGCGAGGTAGGGGGTTCATCAATTTTATACACATGTACATGTAGGGGTCAGCAATTTTGTAGAAAAAAATATTTTTAAAATATAATTATGGGAAAGGGGTGAGTGGGTGGTGGGTGTCAATGATTTTGTACATGACATGCACTGGGGTCACTTACTTTGTACATAAATTTTATGGGTGGGGTGGGGTGTCATTCACATTATACATGCTTCTCAATAAAAATAATCATCACCCTCCCTAGCCATAAATTATGAATGGTAAATTAGTTGAATCAGTTTTGGAAATATACATATATCCTTATCAATGCATAATGTTGACATAACAAAGAGTATTCTGTGTAATTATATAAAAACACAGCTGAATAATACTTCCTGACAAACACAACAGATATCTCAGTACAACAACTGCGCATGCTGCTGTACTTGTTTGTATAAGAGAAGACCTGGTTGGCAATTAACATAAATCAACAAGACATACCTCATCTTTGAGCTTTTCAAACAAAGTGTTCCAGAACCTCTCAGGAACTGCTGATGCCAACAGTTGTGGTTTGTGTAGCTCCACAAAATCAGAAAACGACATCACTGTGGCCTGTGAGTCTCCTGTCGTTACTGGCATGTTTCGATCCTGACTCGCACAACTGGACAAACAACATGCATGGAAGTGAAACACTGTGACTTGTCGGTTGTGACGTAGGCAGGCAGTCGTGCCTTGACTATTCTACCACTCCCAGTAATTAAATTCGAATACAACCTCCTCCCTTAAAGCTGCCGCTACAAAGTTCCAATTGTGAAAACTAAGAGAGCCCGTACATCCTTTATTCCAAGTACCATATCTCTCTTAAACAAATGTGAAGATACCTAAATCAGAGAATTTATGTAAATATGTTTGGTATCTCTCTAATGCATCAGTAGCTCTGCTGATGTAACACAAATTCATGAAAAGGCATTAAAGTATTATTCTATTCTATTCATGGATAGACATTAATACATGACTGCTCCTACTTCACAGATGCAATTCAGCTTGTGAGATCAATGTAAAAACTATGTGATATTGATCACAGGAATTCCTAGCTATACTCAGAAATATATTTCATTTTTAGTTTGTGGTGTACATGGGTCACTAAACAAGATGTTCATTAATTTTGTGTACAGCTGACGATTCCTATGCACTATAGATAAATTCATTTTCTTTGCACGTTCATATTGTATATTTTTGTGTAATAACTTTATGTTTGTTTATGAAGGGTAATCTATACTGGATATATTTATACACATGGACACAGTATCGTTTGCCACTAGTTTAACATTTTGCTTTGGAAACTTCAAGCCTATAATTACGACTGTTAAGTGTTGAGTGTAGAAATCTGTAGAACACTTCCTTGAATATACTACATGAAAATGTTAGCGATGAAAGAAAAACAGTCTTAATGACAGGAATCACACCACAGCAATCGAAAAAGATAACAGGTTATGAAGAATTTAGCAATACTGAGCCGAGACTTACCTGCTGGATACTCTGACGCCAAGTTATTAGGGTATTAAAACAAATTTACAGTTAGTTAGTTCGAGTTTCACGTGTTTTCGCTTTTATGCGTTTGGAGTTATCTCCCTTCCGGGTTTTCTGTGTGGAAGACGTAAATATTTTCTATGGCGGCGAAATCCGAAATTGTCTGAGCTTGCTTTCACAGATTCACAATATTTAAACGATAATGCCTTTGGGATTAGACAGGAGTCATTTCCTATCAGGAAAAGTGAAAGAACAAGACATTCAGCTGAGAGTGAGTATCAATCGACACAGTCTTGTCGCAGCTGTTTGACAACTGTTGTCAGTGTTGACAGAATCTGCGATTTCTTTGACAGTTCTTCGAATTTCTTCCTTTCAACGTTATTAGGCCTATTAGTTGTTCACTACTGACTAACTCCTGACAGATAACAACGATACGAAGATTTAGATTCATATACCTGTATATAAACATGCAGTTTTATGAGAACTTAATAACTAAATCATTTATTTGCATTTTTTATTTGGAGACCACCTTTGTTATATTTTTAACTTGTGTACCTATAGACAATCTGTACATAGAAAATGCAGCTGGTATAAATGTTAGAATAAAGAAAGAATGAAATGAAACTATAGATGTTCATAGACACAACAACAAAATAGAGACTATCTTGAAGTTATTTTTGAACTTTCAAATGCTGGTTTTTTTCAGCTGAATTATTGTGGGTTGTCCTGACATTTAATCTTTAGGCATCCTCATTGGAGATATCTCCCCTGTGATTGATTTTACCCCAGTTCACATAAGGAGATCTCAATACAAACAGATCTCCATTCAAGATATCTCTTTCTAAGAGTATTCTCCTCCAATTAGGATGTTTCTATTTGATATTTACATTGAGGATATTTACCAAAAAGATACTCATACTCAAGACATCTCCATATGATGAGATATCTCCCAATATCACCTTGTGGGATGTGTCCTGTAACACAAAGTTTCCGACTGGATTTTTTGTTAGTGTCTTTCGTTTACCTTTTTTCATTTATTATCTCTGTTTCAATAAAAAATGTGTGTGCATCACAGGTGTCATGTGCTTGTTAAAGTCTGAAGGGAGATTTGAAATGTATAGCTGTGGTTTCGAGGATGACAACGACCTTAGTTCAGATAAGCAATGTAGGTAACAGTAACAGTTAACATTGAATTATATATGTATGAGAAGTTGTTATGATTGCAGTATGAGGAAATCTGCAAATGAGAATATCTGACATTGAAGATATCCCCCAAGGATGTTTATCTTCAGGATATATCCCAGTGAGGACATCTTTATATACAAATGATAAAAGGATATATCTGTCCATGTGGATATCTACCTGTGAAATCTATGAGTTAATTATAACCATAGTTTATTATAGAACTAAAACATATACAAAGAGAGACTGGGACCCAAACAAACCAATCAATTTGTAGTTTACAGTATCTCCATGTTTGGATATCACCTTTTGGATATCTCCAGATGAGGATATCTCAGTTTAAGGATATCTCCCAGTAGTCTACGGTAAGGATATCCCCACCCAACCCAACCCACCCTCCAATGAGGATATATGCATCTTTGATAATCATCTTTTGATTATGAAAGTGTCATTTCTTTCTTTCAGAAAAAACAGGAAAGAATAGCTTCACTTGAAACAGAAAATGCTATGCTATATCTGAAACTCGCTCAGCTGAGGGGGGAAGTGCAGAGCTCCAGGGAGGAGCTGACAGGTGTGACAACAAAGTATGAATCAGAGAGACGGTTCCGGAGTCAAGTGTCAGAAAAGGCCTCCAAGTTTAAACAGGAAATAGAAGTAGGTAACTTTGTCTACTCACCTACACTGTCTGATAAGGGCAGGAACATAGACTCTGTGAGTGAGTCTGAATGTTGTCTATTACACAGTGTGACCCCACATGGAGGTGCTCTTTTCCTCTATAACTGAGTGATTGCAGTCTTCTTGCTTATTAACAAATATATGAACAGTTACCTGTCATGTACACCTTACTCTATTGTATACCAATAGTACTCATATGTGGGGGAATATGTACATGCAATGAAGGCCTCTTTAAAAACCTTGTCAGCCATGTTATAGTACTGTCATGAAACGGGAACAAATAGATCAGGACAGACATGGACCTTACTAGACTAATGCTTAGTCTCTGAATGTATATAATTTTGATAGTAGCAAATAAACCCATTTAAATTGAAGAGGAGCCCCAGTAAGATGGGAAATTTCGAAGCTGAGGGAATCTAGACTTGCTTCATTTAAGGCTCTAGCATTGCAGGGAGGGCTGGGCAGCAGGGAGAATTATATAGTTCAGGAACTGTGAGAGATACTATCTACTCACCTGCACTGTCTGATAAGGGCAGGAATAATAATGTAGACTCTGCAGGCAGTCACCATCTCTGCCATTAAGTGCATAAACCAAAATCTTGTCACCTCGGAGTTGTTGCACAGTGTCCTGGTTGAGTCCTCATGTTAAGCTGAACATGAAGATCGGGGTAGAATGTCATGTCATTTTATCCCAAGTGTGTAGATCGATGCTCGTGATGTCAACCACTGCATTGCCTGATACAGACTCTCCTTTTACAGACCTGCTGTCATTGTGTGGCATTAACAACAAATAAAAACAAAGTGTGCCTTGTATTACTGATTCTTGTGTCTCCTGTAGTTGCTGAGAGAGGGGATGGGGCAAGTGATGACAGTTGCCAGTAAGATGCCAGAGCAGTTCCAGTCTCACATCGATCATGCCAGTGCTGTTGTCAGACAACACAGACAGGTTTACCAGGACCACTCCTCTAGTCTCTCAGGTAAACCCTCGCATGTAGCTCCGCTTACTGGAAGCTGACATAATCACTTAGCTCTGGAAAAAGTTTTAGCTCTGGAAAACACTTGTAGTTCCGGTGTATGTTTGAAGCAGAGGATGAGCTGAAACCTACCTTAACAGATGTTTATCACTGACAGATAAACAGTTGTTCAATAGTTACAGGTAGAGATTTGTGCATCAGTTACAGATAAACAGTTGTACAGTAGTTACAGGTAGAGATTTGTGCATCAGTTACAGGTGAACAGGTGTACAGTAGTAACACTTTCAGACATTGTAATATAACTCAGAGCTGGTGTTGATGCCACCAGGTGTAATAGGTGTATTTAACAGTTTTAAAGAACCAGATGTAATAGGTGTGTTGTAATAGTGTTAAAGGACTAGGTGTAATTATTGGTGTATTTTGACGCAGTGTTACAGGATCAGGTGTAATTATTGGTGTATTATGACACAGTGTTACAGGACCAGGTGTAATTACAGGTGTATTGTGACACAGTGTTGCAGGACCAGATGTAATAGGTGTGTTGTAATAGTGTTAAAGGACCAGGTGTCATTATTGGTGTATTTTGACACAGTGTTACAGGATCAGGTGTAATTATAGGTGTATTCTGACACAGTGTTATAGGACCAGGTGTAATTACAGGTGTTTTGTGACACAGTGTTGCAGGACCAGGTGTAATAGGTGTGTTGTAATAGTGTTGCAGGACCAGGTGTAATTACAGGTGTATTTTGACACAGTGTTGCAGGACCAGGTGTAATTATAGGTGTATTGTGTCATAGTGTTGTAGGACCAGGTGTAATTATAGGTGTATGATGACATTGTTACAGGACCAGGTGTAATTTTGGGTGTATTAAGACACAGTGTTACAGGACCAGGTGTAATTATAGGTGTATTGTGACAGTGTTACAGGACCAGGTGTAATTACAGGTGTATTGTGACACAGTGTTACAGGACCAGGTGTAATTATAGGTGTATTGTGGCAGTGTTACAGGACCAGGTGTAAATACAGGTGTATTATGTGTAATGACAGTGTTACAGGACCAGGTGTAATTATGGGTGTATTGTGACACAGTGTTACAGGACCAGGTGTAATTATAGGTGTATTGTGACACAGTGTTACAGGACCAGGTGTAATTATAGGTGTATTGTGACACAGTGTTACAGGACCAGGTGTAATTATAGGTGTATTGTGACACAGTGTTACAGGACCAGGTGTAATTATAGGTGTATTGTGACACAGTGTTACAGGACCAGGTGTAATTATAGGTGCTATGTTATTGAGTGTTATTACAGGACCAGGTGTAATTTTGGGTGTATTAAGACACATTGTTACAGGACCAGGTGTAATTATAGGTGTATTGTGACAGTGTTACAGGACCAGGTGTAATTACAGGTGTATTTTGACACAGTGTTGCAGGACCAGGTGTAATTATAGGTGTATTGTGGCAGTGTTACAGGACCAGGTGTAATTATAGGTGTATTATGACACAGTGTTACAGGACCAGGTGTAATTATAGGTGTATTGTGACACAGTGTTACAGGACCAGGTGTAATTATAGGTGTATTGTGACACAGTGTTGCAGGACCAGGTGTAATTATAGGTGTATTGTGACATAGTGTTGCAGGACCAGGTGTAATTATAGGTGTATGATGACAGTGTTACAGGACCAGGTGTAATTACAGGTGTATTGTGACACAGTGTTACAGGACCAGGTGTAATTATAGGTGTATTATGACAGTGTTACAGGACCAGGTGTAATTATAGGTGTATTGTGACAGTGTTACAGGACCAGGTGTAATTATAGGTGTATTGTGAGGACAGTGTTACAGGACCAGGTGTAATTACCAGGTAATTATAGGTGTATTGTGACAGTGTTACAGGACCAGGTGTAATTATAGGTGTATTGTGACAGTGTTACAGGACCAGGTGTAATTATAGGTGTATTGTGACACAGTGTTACAGGACCAGGTGTAATTATAGGTGTATTGTGGCAGTGTTACAGGACCAGGTGTAATTACAGGTGTATTGTGACACAGTGTTACAGGACCAGGTGTAATTATAGGTGTATTGTGACACAGTGTTACAGGACCAGGTGTAATTATAGGTGTATTGTGACACAGTGTTACAGGACCAGGTGTAATTACAGGTGTATTGTGACACAGTGTTACAGGACCAGGTGTAATTATAGGTGTATTGTGACACAGTGTTACAGGACCAGGTGTAATTATAGGTGTATTGTGACACAGTGTTACAGGACCAGGTGTAATTACAGGTGTATTGTGACACAGTGTTACAGGACCAGGTGTAATTATAGGTGTATTGTGGCAGTGTTACAGGACCAGGTGTAATTACAGGTGTATTATGACACAGTGTTACAGGACCAGGTGTAATTATAGGTGTATTGTGACACAGTGTTACAGGACCAGGTGTAATTATAGGTGTATTGTGACAGTGTTACAGGACCAGGTGTAATTATAGGTGTATTGTGACAGTGTTACAGGACCAGGTGTAATTATAGGTGTATTGTGACATAGTGTTACAGGACCAGGTGTAATTATAGGTGTATTGTGACATAGTGTTGCAGGACCAGGTGTAATTATAGGTGTATTGTGACACAGTGTTACAGGACCAGGTGTAATTATAGGTGTATTGTGACAGTGTTGCAGGACCAGGTGTAATTATAGGTGTATTGTGACAGTGTTACAGGACCAGGTGTAATTATAGGTGTATTGTGACATAGTGTTACAGGACCAGGTGTAATTATAGGTGTATTATGACACAGTGTTACAGGACCAGGTGTAATTATAGGTGTATTGTGGCAGTGTTGCAGGACTAGGTGTAATTATAGGTGTATTGTGACATAGTGTTGCAGGACTAGGTGTAATTATAGGTGTATTGTGACAGTGTTACAGGACCAGGTGTAATTATAGGTGTATTGTGACACAGTGTTACAGGACCAGGTGTAATTATAGGTGTATTGTGACACAGTGTTACAGGACCAGGTGTAATTATAGGTGTATTGTGACACAGTGTTACAGGACCAGGTGTAATTATAGGTGTATTGTGACACAGTGTTACAGGACCAGGTGTAATTATAGGTGTATTGTGACACAGTGTTACAGGACCAGGTGTAATTATAGGTGTATTGTGACACAGTGTTACAGGACCAGGTGTAATTATAGGTGTATTGTGACAGTGTTACAGGACCAGGTGTAATTATAGGTGTATTGTGACACAGTGTTACAGGACCAGGTGTAATTATAGGTGTATTGTGACAGTGTTACAGGACCAGGTGTAATTACAGGTGTATTGTGTAATACACACAGTGTTGCAGGACCAGGTGTAATTATAGGTGTATTGTGTCATAGTGTTGTAGGACCAGGTGTAATTATAGGTGTATGATGACAGTGTTACAGGACCAGGTGTAATTATAGGTGTATTGACACAGTGTTACAGGACCAGGTGTAATTATAGGTGTATTGTGACACAGTGTTACAGGACCAGGTGTAATTATAGGTGTATTGTGGCAGTGTTACAGGACCAGGTGTAATTACAGGTGTATTGTGACACAGTGTTACAGGACCAGGTGTAATTATAGGTGTATTATGACACAGTGTTACAGGACCAGGTGTAATTATAGGTGTATTGTGACACAGTGTTACAGGACCAGGTGTAATTATAGGTGTATTGTGACACAGTGTTACAGGACCAGGTGTAATTATAGGTGTATTGTGACACAGTGTTACAGGACCAGGTGTAATTACAGGTGTATTATGACACATGACACTGACACAGTGTTACAGGACCAGGTGTAATTACAGTGTACACATGACCCAGTGTTACAGGACCCAGGCATCCAGGACCTGCAGGACCAGGACACACAGGACCAGGACCAGGTGTTGGACACAGGACACAGGACACAGCGTTACAGGACCCAGTAATTACACAGGACCCAGGGACACAGACAGGACCAGGACCACAGGACACAGTCATAGGAGCGGACCAGGTGACACAGGAGTACACCACAGAAAGACAGGACAGGTGTAATCATACATGGACCAGTGTTATAGGACCAGGGACCCAGGACACGACACAGGAGACAGACATTCACATAGGTGACCACATTGGACCGAGTAGGACCAGGTGACCACAGGACACTACGACACAGGACCCAGGACCAGGGACCCAGGCATATTGTGAATAGACACATGACCAGGTGTAATTATAGGACATGACAGTGTTGACCAGGTGTAATTACAGGATTGTGACACAGGGACCCAGGACACAGTAATTATAGGTGATTGGACGAGTGGACCGCGAGGATCCACAGACATGATGACAGTGTTATGGACCAGGTGTACTATAGGCGTATTGTGACGCTACAGGACCAGGACATGACACGCACAGACCCAGGTGTGACAGTTGCAGGACTAGGATTATAGGTGTATTGTGACATAGGTGCAGGATTCAGTGGACCCAGGTGACGACAGTGACAGGACCAGGTGTAATTATAGGTGACGGACACAGGACAGGACCAGGTGTAATTATAGTGATTCCAGGCAGTTACAGGACCAGACACAGGACCAGGACAGTGTTATAGATCCAGTGTAACACAGGACCAGGACAGGACCAGGTAATTATAGGTGCATTGGACAATATGCTGCAGGACCACAGGTGTAATTACAGGTGTATGGACAGGTGTAAGGTACGTATTATCACACAGGGACAGGACCAGTAAATAGGGACTTACAGGCAGTGGAGGACCAGTGTAAAGACAGGTGGCTTCGGACAGCGTTGCAGGATCCAGGTGAACTTCACAGTGGACTGTATCAAGGTAGGACCAGGGAAATTATAGGGCATGATGACAGTGTTACGGCATTGTGTGTAATGGGCGTATTAAGACACATTGTTAAACCAGGTGGACCCAGGACACAGCAGTGGACCAGATGTAAAAGGTTTGCCGTGGCAGTTATGGACCAGGGTAATTTCAGGCATATTGTGTCATACAGACCAGGGACTCAGTGTATTAAGAGCCGCCATATGACCGAAAGTGTAATTATAGGCATAAAGCCACAGATCACAGGACTCAGTATTTTCAGTCAGTGTTAAGGGACAGGTGCAAAAGGCGTATTGTGGCAGCGTGACAGGACCATTGGCGGCGTATTATGAAGTGTTAAGGACCAGGTGTAATTACAGAGTATTCTGACACAGTGTTACAGGACCAGGTGTAATTATACGTGTATTATGACACAGGATTATGACCAGGTGCAATTACAGGTGTATTATGACACAGTTACAGGACCAGGTGTAATTACAGGTGTAGCTCATAGTAAGTTAGGACCAGGTGTAATTTCATGCGTATTGTAGTGTGATATGGACCAGGTGTAAATACAGGTACAGGACAGGACCATTGTAATTATAGGTGTATTGTGACACACAGTGTTAGGTACAGGACCAGGTGTAAATTACAGTGTATTATGACATTGCGACCAGGTTATATAGGTGTGTTGCGGACAGTGTTAGAGTGACCAGGTGTAAATTACAGGTGTATTATGTCACAGTGTTACAGTGACCAGGTGTAATTAGGTAGACACAGCAGTTATAGGATCCATGATTGCAGGTACAGTTGCAGGACCAGTAATTATAGGTGTCATATTGACCAGGTGTAATTATAAGATGATTACGGTTACAGGACCAGGTAATTATAGTGCGCATTGTTACAGGACAGGTGACAGGGTGTATTGTGCAGTGAACTGACCAGGTGTAATTATAGGTGCATTGTGACAAAGTGTTGCAGGACCAGGTGCGTAATTATAGGTGTATTGTAGGACGAGTGTTGGAGGATCAGGGTACTTATAGGTGTATGAGGTGCATTATGACCAGGTGTAATTTGGGTGTATTACATTGACCAGGACCAGGTAATTATAGGCGTACTGCGATAGCCGCTATTATGACCAGATGTAATTATAGGTTTATTGTGGCAGTGTTACAGGACCAGGTGTAATTATAGGTGTATTGTGTCACGTTACAGGTGCAGGTGTAATTATAGGTGTATTATATGGCAGGACCAGGTGTAATTATATGTATCAGTGTTACAGGACCAGGTGTAATTATAGGTGTATTGTGTCAGTGTTACAGGACCAGGTGTAATTATAATTATAGGATGTAATTGCATTGTAAGACATCCATGTGTAATTACAGTGTATTCTGCCGCAGGACCAGTAATTATAGGTGTATTGTGACACAGTGTTACAGGTGACCAGGTGTAATTACAGGTGCATTCATAGTGACACAGTGTTACAGGACCAGGTGTAATTATAGGTGTGTATTCCAGTGTTACAGGACACAGTGTTGCATAGTGTTGTAGGACCAGGTACCAGTGTTATACAGGTATATTCTGACACAGGTGCATTATGTGTTAGGTCTAGGTGTAATTATATAGGTGTATTGGACAGGACTAGGTGTAATTATAGGTGTATTGTGACGAAGTGTTGCAGGACGTTTAATTAGTAGGTGTTACAGTGACCAGGTGTAATTATAGGTAGGTGTATTGTGACACAGGTAATTATAGTATTGTGGCAGTGTTGCAGGACTAGGTGTAATTATTATAGGTGTATTGACCAGGTGTAATTATAGGTGTATTGTGTCATAGTGTTGTAGGACCAGGTGCAGGTGTAATTAATTATAGTTATAGGACCAGGGTGTATTGTGATGTTGCAGGACCATTATTACAGGGCATTATTACAGGGCCAGGTGTAATTATAGGTATTAAGACATTACTGTTACAGGACTAGGTGTAATTATAGGTGTATTGTGACACAATGTTACAGGACCAGGTGTAATTACAGGTGTATTTTGACACAGTGTTGCAGGACCAGGTGTAATTATAGGTGCAATTGTATCATAGCAAGTTGTAGGACCAGGTGTAATTATAGGTGTAGCGATGACATTATTACAGGACCAGGTGTAATTATAGGTGTATTGTGACACCGCATAGGTAAGCTGCAGGACCAGCGACCGTAATTATAGGTGTATTGCATCATAGTGTTGTAGGACCAGGTGTATGATAGGTGTATGATTTATTAGCAACTATTACAGGACCAGGTGTAATTTTGGGTGTATTAAGACACATTGTTGCAGGACCAGGTGTAATTATAGGTGCATTGTGACAGCTGCTAACCAGAGATGTAACATATAGGTTCATTGTGGCAGTGTTTACAGGACCAGGTGTACTCAGGTGTGTATTGCGTCAGTGTTACAGAACCAGGTGCGTAAATTATAAGCGCATTATGACGCAGCCGCTAGCGACCAGGTGTAATTATAGTGCATTAAAATCAAGGTTACAGGACCAGGTGTATATTATAGGTGTACAGTGTCAGTGTTACTATGACCAGGTGTAATTATAGGTGTATTGCGGCAGCGTGACAGGATCTAGATGTAATTACAGGTGTATTACATCACAAGGTTACAGGTCCAGGTGTAATTACAGGTGTATTCTGACACAGTGTTACAGGACCAGGTGTAATTACAGGTGTATTCTGACACAGTGTTACAGGACCAGGTGTAATTATACGTGTATTATGACACAGTGTTACAGGACCAGGTGTTATTACAGGTGTATTATGACACAGTGTTACAGGACCAGGTGTAATTACAGATGTATTCTGACACAGTGTTACAGGACCAGGTGTAATTACAGGTGTATTGTGTCATAGTGTTACAGGACCAGGTGTAATTATGTGTATTGTGGCAGTGTGACAGGACCAGATGTAATTACAGGTGTATTATGACACAGTGTTATAGGACCAGGTGTAATTACAGGTGTATTCTGACACAGTGTTACAGGACCATTCGTAATTATAGGTGTATTGTGTCATAGTGTTGTAGGACCAGGTGTAATTATAGGTGTATGATGACAGTGTTATAGGACCAGGTGTAATTATAGGTATATTGTGACATAGTGCTACATGACCAGGTGTAATTATAGGTGTATTATGACATAGTGTTGCAGGTCTAGGTGTAATTATAGGTGTATTGTGACATAGTGTTGCAGGACTAGGTGTAATTATAGGTGTATGATGACAGTGTTATAGGACCAGGTGTAATTATAGGTATATTGTGACATAGTGCTACATGACCAGGTGTAATTATAGGTGTATTATGACATAGTGTTGCAGGTCTAGGTGTAATTATAGGTGTATTGTGACGTAGTGTTGCAGGACCAGGTGTAATTATAGGTGTATTGTGACATAGTGTTGCAGGACTAGGTGTAATTATAGGTGTATTGTGACACAGTGTTACAGGACCAGGTGTAATTATAGGTGTATTCTGACACAGTGTTATAGGACCAGGTGTAATTATAGGTGTATTCTGACACAGTGTTACAGGACCAGGTGTAATTATAGGTGTATTCTGACACAGTGTTATAGGACCAGGTGTAATTATAGGTGTAATGTGACATAGTGCTACATGACCAGGTGTAATTATAGGTGTATTATGACACAGTGTTACAGGACCAGGTGTAATTACAGGTGTATTATGACACAGTGTTACAGGACCAGGTGTTGGTGCTACAGGCTGCGCTACAGGACATCACAGACAGGCATGGGAAGGAGAAGAAGAGAAGACAGGCACTACACAACACACTGATGGTGAGGCACTACACACATGGTGAGGCACTACACACACACTGATGGTGAGGCACTACACAACACACTCATGGTGAGGCACTACACAACACACTCATGGTGAGGCACTACACAACACACCCATGTTTATTATATTTTTGTACGTTAAATTAATATAGTTTATCAAAAAGGTCTGTCCACGTGATTAGAGGTAGAATGTCAGATTGGCTCAGGTTTTGGTATTGGTATGTTTCGAGTGTACTAGGATGTAAATCTGGAGGATCACCATGTCAAGTGTTGACGTGTTTCTGTGTGCTGCAGCTACAACGTGTCCATCATGGCGTATGGTCAGACAGGAAGTGGCAAGACGCACACCATGCTAGGGAGTCACCGCAATGATGACTACCACCCGTCTAACGACATGCACCCAGACGAGGGGGTAATTCCCAGGGCCACACGTGAACTCTTCAGGTAGGGAAATCATACATTGAAGGAGGGGGCATGTCATGCATCTGCAAGTAATGTTATACACAGTGAGCTAAGGCTATGTAATATGTCAGTGTATGCTTTGATTCACATCAGAATAATATCTCAGTAGGCAATGAAGATGGATATGTTAGTTTCTCTGGGTTCCAATCCACAGAATATTCCTAAACTGATGTGTGAAATATATTTCCCAGTACAAATAGATGAGTCATATTTTCCTTCACTTATATCAGAGTAATATTTCCTTTGACTGACATCAGAGTTGTATTTCCCAAGACTCATATCACAGTTATACTTAATATTGGCAGATATCCAAGTTATATTTACCTAGACACATATCAGAGTTATATTCCCCTTGAATGATATCCAAGTTATATTTCCCTAGACACATATCAGAGTTATATTCCCCTTGAATGATATCCAAGTTATATTTCCCTAGACACATATCAGAGTTATATTCCCCTTGAGTAATATCCAAGTTATATATCCCTAGACACATATCAGAGTTATATTCCCCTTGAGTAATATCCAAGTTATATATCCCTAGACACATATCAGAGTTATATTCCCCTTGAGTAATATCCAAGTTATATATCCCTAGACACATATCAGAGTTATATTCCCCTTGAATGATATCCAAGTTATATATCCCTAGACACATATCAGAGTTATATTCCCCTTGAGTAATATCCAAGTTATATATCCCTAGACACATATCAGAGTTATATTCCCTTGAGTAATATGAAGTTATATATCCCTAGACACATAAGAGTAATATATCCAAGTTATATTTCCCTAGACACATATCAGAGTTATATTCCCCTTGAATGATATCCAAGTTATATATCCCTAGACACATATCAGAGTTATATTCCCCTTGAATGATATCCAAGTTATATATCCCTAGACACATATCAGAGTTATATTCCCCTTGAATGATATCCAAGTTATATATCCCAGACTGATGTCGGAGAAGCCTCCTGGAACACACTCCCTGGAGGTGTCGGTCGTGGAGATCTACAACAACGACATCCGAGACTTACTGAGTCGCGACACCAGCGTGAAACATGATGTAGTCACTGGCTCTGATGGGTTACTCAGTCTGCCCACAATTACCTCAAAGTAAGATTACTGTACTGTTGTATTACACTGTCATACTGGAGGAGTCATACCAACCCAACTGGGGGATATCATGTCATACATGTGGAAATGTATTATGTCACTTTGTGTAATACTAGTATGCTTATTGTGTAATCCTGTAAGATTAGAAAGTTTGCTGTAGTACATCCTAATGACTTTATGCTTTATTCAGAAGTATGATTTGTGGGGTGAAATCACTTTGAGGCTGCAAAATAACTCATACAGTTCATATTTGTTTAATAGAATGAGAGTTAACTGACCTAAAGAAACCAAACGGTAGGTTTTGACAGAGTGTATATTATCTGATAACATACTGAATAACTTTCAAGCTATATGATGGCTGCCTGTAACTCATAACATCTGGGCCAGACAAACCAGTGATTGATATTGTGAACAACACTTTGGGTACATTGAACAATTGCATTCCATTTCCCCATACAGCAAGCATAGGTTACTGAGGACCAATTCTCATCTGGAATCTCCACAGGTGTTGATGTGTCATGTCAACCACTACCTTGTCATGTCAACATCTCTGCTTGTTGATGCTTGTAATTGTGTTCTTAATGTGTTGTAGACAGGTGTCGACCGTGTATGATGTGATGTGCCTGGTACAGCGAGGTCTGCGGACCCGGCGGGAGTCCGCCACAATGGTCCACGAACACTCGAGTCGCTCCCACCTGGTTGTCACCCTGACGCTCATCAGTCAGGCTCCCAGCTTCTTCAGGGTCCGTGGCGGACCTAAACCTGACACTGAAGGTATCAGCTTCATGAAGTTTGTTGGCTGGAGTGTATGTCATGAAGACATGAAACTTTCATGGAATTTGTTTATTATCCCCCGCCATGAAGTGGGAGGGGGATATAGGTTTGAGCTCTGTCCGTCCATCTGACCGTGATGATGGGGACAGATTTTCTCAGAAAATGTTATAGATAGGGAAACCAAATGTAGTATGTGTTTTTCTGGACATGAATGCCTTGATGGACTTCAAAAAAGGAAACTGTGTTACGAGTTACAGAGTTATGGCCCTTGTCGTGCGTTTCTTGACATAGTGCACGTTACCCCCAATGGGAACAGATTTTCTCAGAAACCGTTATAGATAGGGAAGCCAAATGTGGTATGTGTGTGGTGGAGGCCATGAATGTTGTGGTGGAGTTAAAAAACATGAACCAAGTAGGAACAGAAAACTGTGGCGGGGATTTTGATGACCATCTTGTTTATTACAATGTTTCCGGGCTACCTGTTGCCTGTTAATCATTCACCTGAAACATCACCTGAAAGTTTCATTTCTTCACCTTCTTCCAACTTGTACATGTCATTGAAGTTATTTTCTGAACTCTTCCCAGTTCAATAATTCACTCAATATGCAAGACTTTTTATTTGAAAATAGATGTGAAAAGAGACTACAGAAATGAATGAGCATTGTTGCCAACACTGTTCTAGAACCTGTCCAGCCTAAGAAGAGCCGGTCACAGTCCCTGACCCACTCTTCCCTGACTGGTGGTTGGTCATCTCCTGACCAATCAGGTTCCTCCTCCCCGGCAGCCAATCAGCAAGCAGTCATCCGTACCAAGCTACAGCTAGTTGATCTAGCTGGCAGTGAATGTGTAGGTGAGTGGGTTTGTTTCATAGTGGTCACATTAGTACTGAGTGAGTGAGTGAGTGAGTATGGTTTTACACCGCTTTTAGCAATATTCCAGCAATATCACGGCGGGGGACACCAGAAATGGGCTTCACACATTGCACCCATGTGGGGAATCGAACCCGGTCTTCAGCATGTCGATCAATCAGGACGCTTTAACCATTGGCTTTTGAAACCGCCCACATTAGTACTGACCTTTCCATGGACCATGGTAAATGGCTTCTGGCTGGTTTGTCCACTATCAAGGTAATGATGATATGTGTTGAATGAAGCACTGTATTTTGAAAACAATACATATATTGATTTGACAATGAATGGATGGCGTACCGTCAAATCAAGGAAATGGGTGTACTGTTCAGCTGTTTTTGTCCCTGTTCAGCTGGTCCACTATCAGCTCAAATGTCCACTGAGCTGTTTGTCCACTATCAGCTGTTTGTCCACTGTCAGCTGTTTGTCCACTGTCAGCTGTTTGTCCACTATCAGCTGTTTGTCCACTATCAGCTGTTTGTCCACTATCAGCTGTTTGTCCACTATCAGCTGTTTTGTCTACTGTCAGCTGTTTGTCCACTGTCAGCTGTTTGTCCACTGTCAGCTGTTTGTCTACTGTCAGCTGTTTGTCTACTAACAGGTATGTCAGGTGTGAAGGGAGCAGCTCTAAGGGAGGCGTCAAACATCAACAAGAGCTTGTCTGCTTTAGCGGATGTGCTTGGTGCACTGTCAGAGAACCGGACACATGTTCCGTAGCGGAACAGCAAACTCACACATCTACTCCAAGACTCCATAGGTAAGCCTAAACCTACCAAATAGGAAGTTTCATAAATTAACCTACAGCTAGTAGGTAAATACAATTACTAAGAGTAATATACAAAACTCTATCAATTTATGCATTTATCAAAAGTCTAATTGACAGATTTAACAAATGGTTATTTGTTTAAGAAATGTAAAAGAAAATGTTTCTGACACTCCCTCCCTCTTGCTATTTCCCAGGTGGTGATGCCAAGCTGCTGGTGTTACTGTGTGTGTCGCCATCCCAGCGTTACATAACAGAGTCGTTGCAGTGTCTTGGTTTTGGACAAAGAGCGTGGCAGGTCCAACGAGGCCCCACCAAGCGCCGACTGCCGACGTCTGCTGAGAAGGTCAACTATGAAGCAAGGTCAAACTCACCCAAACCCAGATCCTCCTCAGCATCAGACAAGATGATAACCAGCCAGAGATTCTGATGCACATGAGGGGCTTTGGGGGGCCTACATCAGTTCACTCTACAGTTGTATTCAGTGTTTGTGAGTTCAGAATCCTAGTTTCACCCTTGTGATGGTCTTGGCATCTATTGTCGCTGGTTTTACCAAAGACGTCAACCTTAAGCTTGCATCACTGCAGGTTTCCCCCATCAAGAAGTGTGCTGTTATATAAGCAGAATACTACAGCCCTTTAACCAATGTCGTCTCTCACTATCATTATAATTTGATGGGCATGAACAGTTTTTGATGACTTGTCAGTTGTTTTGTAGGCAATCAAATGTTAGTATTTAGACAAACCACGTTTTTTTATGATCATGATGTTTTAGAAATATGAAAGAAAGAATCTTCAGGGCAATGACTGTCAGGAACAACCTAATTATGTGCAACTAACTACAGATTATTTCCTGATCTGGAGAGTTGTCTAGACTGATGCAGTCTCATTGCATCAACTGGATACAGATTCAACAAAGACTGCAACAAAGTCTCAAATTGTGTTTACAAGCTCCACCCACATCAATAAATCTGTACCCACAGAGAAATGTGCATGGCCAAACCCTTGTAATATGCATGGGTAACTTATTAACTCTCTTTAGTATTACACAATTTGAAGTGAAATAATAGTCCGATGTACTTTTCTCATTATATAATTGCATTAACTAAACTTAAACCCTGTTTCATTAAACTTTTGTCGAGTTCATGTGGCCCTTGCTGTAGGTGTTTAAAGGATTACATGGTACTTCAGTTTAAGGAATTATAATATCACATTCATTAAAGATGGTGGAAGTTTGTTGTCTGACCATTTTACGTACACAATTGGAGTGCTGAGGTAGCCTAGTGGTTAAAGCATTTGCTCGCCACGCCGAAGGCACGGGTTCAATTCCCCACATGGGTACAATGTCTGAAGCCCATTTCTGGTGTCCACTGCCATGATATTGCTGGAATATTGCTAAAAGTGGCAAAAAACCCAACTCACTCACTCATACACTATCACTACCATGCACTACAGCAATGACATCATTCAAGAAGGAAGAGATATAATATCACAAGTAACAACCAGGTAGAGGGCTTAAGAATTCAAAATTTGATTTAATATTTTAGGAAGTCATGTGATAAGCTTTGTTTCCCAGTAAACATCAATGAATTTAGTGATAATTGTACAATATGTATTCTAACGTTATATTATGATTGTGTGATGAGGTATGGATGGTCCATTAAGATTTACTCAATATCGTCTTTAAATGTGTGTTGAATTCCCAATGTGATGTGTACATCGTACTGGCTGTGATACCAACAAGAAAACTGTGATATGTTGTTAACCATTGTGATAATAAACCCAGCGTTTTGTACCTGTGTGTGAAGATGTTCTGTAATCATACCATACATACTTAGCTGCAGAGTATACATGGCCTGGCTGGATTGCTTCTCATGTTTATCAGCACATAATTACTGGACTTCTTACTGAATTGGAAAGTGTCTGTTAAGAACTTTAAATATATTTTGATAATGACATTTGTTGACAGCTCCCTACTGGAAATCAGTGACTCAGCTTCGTAGAAATCAGATCTCTGCATGAAGACCAGTGAACCCCCAAGGTCATGTAGTGTGAAGCCTGAGTGAACTTTGACCCCACCACCAATCTGAATGAAGGATGGGTGGTGGTGGTGGTGGTGGTGGTGGTGGAATTGGGTTTAACGTCGTGCTTGAGAATATTTCGCTCATATGACGACGTGCATGGGTGTGTATGTGTGTGATGCCGCGGCCGCGGCTGCTTGTACTAGCCCAAACTTCAGCTGGTTTTATAGTGCTAGCCCACTGAGATACCATGCTGCAGTGAAGCATGAATACCCCACTCAGACACATTATACTGACTCTGAGCCGACCAGTCCTTGTTGTACCCATTAATGCCGAGCGCCAGGGAGGGACCAACAAGTACCATATTTTAACGTCTTTTGGTATGACGCGGTCGGGGATCGAACCTGCGACCTTCCGCACTCCGGGCGGACGCTCTAACCACTACACCACGGAGGCGGTCGATGGGTTCTGGAGTTAAATGGATGTCAGAAACTTGTGCAGAATATTACACATATATAGAAGCTGCATGCTTGATGGGTAGTGTTTTTCCAGTATTAGCTATCACTCCTGTAACCCCATTCCTATACTCGCAATCTCCTACAGGACTTAATGTCCTACTTCTTCCCAGCAGGTCATGTATGTAGGTTTGCTTTCTGCTGTTGTCCGCCACGTCCCAGAGTTATCAGCAGACTGGACAGGTCAAGGCCACGGAAACCAAGACCAGGTTTGCTCCACATTCAACACAAGGAGCAGAACATGTGGCAGCTGGAAAAAAACAGCACCATAGTACAAATATGTGTACCAGAGGTGGAAATAACTTTAAAATTGCTAATGTACTCCGGTACAGTGGCACATGTAAAATCACTTGCCCTGATAATTTTTCCACTATACTGGCTGATTTTCTTGTTGATTTTTTAAATAAACAACATAATTAACATTGGAAAGTCAGCTGGACACCGGCTCAGCGTGACATACAAATTTGCTAGCCCGACAGAAAAAAACACTGGACTGGGCGTCGGGCAATGGGTTATTTCCACCCCTGTGTACGTGATTTACCCCTTGGGAAATGCCCAGCTGTTGGTGTCCAGCCTCTAAATCTGATCTCTTACTGCTATAGATAACCTCCGTAAGAGAAGATTTCACAACACCTGTCCTGAAGGTCACCTCATGCTAAACTTCAGAGACCTCTGACCATCCAATCTGAAGACTAGTTCTTGAGCCAATCAGATGGAGGGTTTGTGAAATATTTTGGTTCCATTCTTTACCATCTAAACTTTGAAATGTTGATTGAAAACAGGAATATACACACTGAACACAAAATTCATCTACTGTGAGGAATCATCTGAGCAAAACGATCTAATGAGGTTGGAATGTGTCAAACTGAACATCTATTGAAGTGAACAGAAATTTTCATTCTCTGAAAGATCACAAATACATCAGTATTAATCAACATACTTTATTTTGCAACATATAGGATACAAAATAGACCATCACACTAAATAATATGTGGATAGTGAGAAAAAAGCTTTCATGAAATACAATAACAGGAACAATAGGATTTTGATAACATGGACATGAAACCGTCATGAATTACTAGCATGTCCCAAGTATGTATAAACAAACTGATGTGAAAGCCCTTGATTATGTCAATTATGAAGTTTCCCTGATTTCATTTCCTTCCTGCATGTGTAAAACAACCCGCAACCATATCTGTATCAACAACACTTTAATAGAAACAACCATATCAATAAACAGCATGTTGATAGTCACACCAGGAATATAAGGCACATACGGCAGTTTCTTACAGGTATTCCCTGACTCCATACCAGTTTCATTTTTGATTTTTGACTTCATGTGGAAGGAAAACCTGAATTCATGCAGATCTTAGACATTCATCAGAGTGTTGCTGATGAACAAGATGCACTATGATGAACAATGACCTTGATCCCACAATCAAATATTTTCCAGGTTAGGAGACTAGATTCTGGGAATTATGGCACCATCATGACACAGTCTGTGTTCAGACACAGAATGCAAGCCTATGCTATCATTAGGAAGTTGAGATAGAATTAATGACAGTCAAGCACAAGTTCCATGGAATGGTATTTGAATGAATTTGGTAACAAACACTGTAAAGCCTTGCACATGGGGAACAGTTACATATACTGATGGTAAAAATAACAGAACACACAGCAGAAGTGTGTATTGCTGCATGTAGTAGAGATGATTCACATGACATCGGAATGTGTCAGTCCATGACGTTATACATACCTGATGTATTAATTTAGTTAATAAATGTCATGTTGAATCCATGAATCTTTAATATATAACAGCCGCTGTTCCCATCCATCCATTTATGTTCAGTATACATGCCACCCTCAACATCATCTGCATGTTAATACTCACTTAACCTGTCCCAATGTACAACTGTCCCAATGTACAACTGTCCCAATGTACAACAACTGTCCCAGTGTACAACTGTCCCAGTGTACAACTGTCCCAACTGTCCCAATGTAACAAATGTCCCAGTGAATAACTGTTCAGGTACAACTATATATGTACAATGACAACATAACAACAAATGTGTTAATGTCCCTCAGTACATATGTGCATGGAAGTGTTATTAGCAGTACCTGTCAATAAGAGATCATTCCTGGATTCACAGGGCCTTCACTACAAAAGGTTTCACTGTATTTGTATTTTGGCTTTGATGAATAACTTGGAATTTACCCCTTTTTTGAATTTGTTGGCAAAAACCTTGGATCCTCATACTAAATGGAAGCAAGTAGAAATCCTCTGTTCTGTTGTAGAAGCAACTCCATTTACCTCCTTCACTTGCCAACAATTTCATTTAAAGCAAGACATTTTAGGTTGATATAATTCCTCTCTGCTTTTTTCATCTTCATTCAGAACTTCACCTCTTACTTTGTTTTCGTGATCTCATGGTGTCCTCAGACTTTCAAGCAGAGAGGTACTTTATCAGAGTAAAAGATGTAATATTAATGAGATTAATCTGCCACCTCCTCCCTTCTGTCACTATGATCTCTTGATGATGTCAATGATATTTTTATACACAACTGTGGCAGCGTCCTTGCCCCAGATGAAGTCAAGATGATTCCACTTTGGGACGTAGAAACTCCCCTGCAGTTGACCGCGGGTCAGCTTGGACATCAGCAGCTTTACATCCTGCAGACAAAACACACTTCAGTAAATCAGTTCACCCAACATATGCTTGAAAACAAGTCCAGTGGGAAGGTCTGTTCACAATTGATCACAAAAGCAGAACAGTTTCTTCAGGTATTTTTGTGGTGTTATGTTGAACTACATCTAGAAAGCTAGTTATAAACATAAACACCAGGTGTTCATCAATATGTGTATGAGACCAAAACTTAAAGTGCAGAACAGATAGACAAGTGTGTGTATTTTGTTGACTTACCTGTACATCAGCCAGCCAGTCATTCTCGGCATAGAACAGGTAGACGTGTGTCCATGTTAGTTGACTTACCTGTACATCAGCCAGCCAGTCATTCTCGGCATAGAACAGGTAGACAGGTGTGTCCATTTTGTTGACATCATACAAAGGTGGTGTTGACTGTAAAAAAGTTTGATTTGTATTGAGATATGACAGAATAACGGATGTCTTGTGAAACAGACATCAGCATCTATGTACCATTTCAGGTGAATTCATCCAAACATTCCTCAGTATTCACACCTGTTTCTGAATACCTGACGGAACAAATGACTCAATCCAGTGACACCTGTTTTAAGGTGAAGCAATGCTGTTTAGTCAGATAAAGTTAGCTATGATACAGTGTTGTTCCATAAAGTCACCTTGCACCAAAAGCTCAGGTTGCTGGGGACCTATCTGACCAAGATCAGGGAAGCAGGACATCTGTGGTACACAATGTGACTCACCTGGTTGTAATGCTTCTGGTTATCTGCTGCAGATCCGTAGTCGTACATCTGGAAGGCCTTGCTCCTCACGCCCTGTAGGCAAACATGGGGGACTGAGAGACAGACTCTGTGTATGGTAGGGAAACATGGGGGACTGAGAGACAGGCTCTGTATGTGGTAGGGAAACATGGGGGACTGAGAGACAGACTCTGTGTATGGTAGGGCAACATGGGGGACTGAGAGACAGGCTCTGTATATGGTAGGGAAACATGGGGAACTGAGAGACAGGCTCTGTGTATGGTAGGGAAACATGGGGGACTGAGAGACAGGCTCTGTATATGGTAGGGAAACATGGGGGACTGAGAGACAGGCTCTGTATATGGTAGGGAAACATGGGGGACTGAGAGACAGACTCTGTATATGGTAGGGAAACATGGGGGACTGAATGACAGGCTCTGTATATGGTAGGGCAACATGGGGGACTGAGAGACAGACTCTGTATATGGTAGGGAAACATGGGGACTGAGAGACAGGCTCTGTATATGGTAGGGGAACATGGGGACTGAGACAGGCTCTGTATATGGTAGGGAAACATGGGGAACTGAGAGACTCTGCTCTGTATATGGTAGACAGGAACATGGGGACTGAGAGAGAGCTCTGTGTATGGTAGGGAAACATGGGGAACTGAATGACAGGCTCTGTATATGGTAGGGAAAAATGGGGGACTGAGAGACAGGCTCTGTATATGGTAGGGGAACATGGGGGACTGAGAGAGGCTCTGTATATGGTAGGGAAACATGGGGAACTGAGAGACAGGCTCTGTATATGGTAGGGGAACATGGGTGACTGAGAGATAGGCTCTGTATATGGTAGGGAAACATGGGGAACTGAATGACAGGCTCTGTATATGGTAGGGAAACATGGGGGACTGAGAGACAGGCTCTGTATATGGTAGGGGAACATGGGGGACTGAGAGAGGCTCTGTATATGGTAGGGAAACATGGGGGACTGAGAGACAGACTCTGTATATGGTAGGGGAACATGGGGGACTGAGAGACAGGCTCTGTATATGGTAGGGAAACATGGGGGACTGAGAGACAGTCTCCGTGTATGGTAGGGAAACATGGGGGACTGAGAGACAGGCTCTGTATATGGTAGGGCAACATGGGGGACTTAAAGACAGACTCTGTATATGGTAGGGGAACATGGGGGACTGAGAGAGGCTCTGTGTATGGCAGGGAAACATGGGGAACTGAATGACAGGCTCTGTATATGGTAGAAACGTGCATGAATTGTTTATATGTGTTTCTACCACTGCACACAGCAATAGACCAGCTAATCAGATGATTCAGTGACTGATATCCTGGGTCCCAATCTCCAACGGATTCATAGCAATACAAGCTATCATAACTATCAAGTTTAGCATTGCCTCCTCACCTGTGCGAAGTGTACCATGTCCTGTACTGAGGTTCCAGCAGGTGTGTGGCTGATGTACACTGGGAGCCGTGTCTGAAACAATCCAGCACTATTTATGTGAGATGTTTTACTGGGTAGAGTGACTGACCTGGGTTTTACAGGGAGAAGAAACTGATTTGGATATGGTTCTGCAGGTTTGAGAGATTGATCTGATTGAGGTTCTACAGAGAGGGAGACTGACCTGATTGGGGTTCTACAGAGAGGGAGACTGACCTGATTGAGGTTCTACAGAGAGGGAGACTGACCTGATTGAGGTTCTGCAGAGGGGAGACTGACCTGATTGAGGTTCTACAGAGAGGGAGACTGACCTGATTGAGGTTCTACAGAGAGGGAGACTGACCTGATTGGGGTTCTACAGAGAGGGAGACTGACCTGATTGAGGTTCTACAGAGAGGGAGACTGACCTGATTGAGGTTCTACAGAGAGGGAGACTGACCTGATTGATTGAGGTTCTACAGAGAGAGGAGACTGACCTGATTGTGGTTCTACAGAGGAGAGAGACTTCTGACCTGATTGAGGTTCTACAGAGAGGAGACTGACCTGATTGAGGTTCTACAAGCCTGATTGAGAGAGACTGACCTGATTGAGGAGACTGACCTGATTGGGGTTCTACAGATTGAGGGAGAGACTGACCTGATTGAGGTTCTACAGAGACTGAGGGAGACTGACCTGATTACAGAGGGTGACCTGATTCTACAGAGGGAGACTGACCTGATTGAGGTTCTACAGAGGAGGGAGGAGACTGACCTGATTGAGGGAGAGACTGACCTGATTGAGGTTCTACAGAGAGGGAGACTGGTTCTACAGAGAGGGAGACTGACCTGACTGTGGTTCTACAGAGGAGGGAGACTGACCTGATTGAGGTTCTATAGACAGGGAGACTGACCTGATTGAGGTTCTACAGAGAGGGAGACTGACCTGATTGTGGTTCTATAGAGGAGGGAGACTGACCTGATTGAGGTTCTATAGACAGGGAGACTGACCTGATTGAGGTTCTACAGAGAGGGAGACTGACCTGATTGAGGTTCTACAGAGGAGGGAGACTGACCTGATTGAGGTTCTATAGACAGGGAGACTGACCTGATAGAGGTTCTACAGAGAGGGAGACTGACCTGATTGAGGTTCTATAGAGAGGGAGACTGACCTGATTGAGGTTCTATAGACAGGGAGACTGACCTGATTGAGGTTCTATAGACAGGGAGACTGACCTGATTGAGGTTCTAGAGACAGGGAGACTGACCTGATTGAGGTTCTATAGACAGGGAGACTGACCTGACTGAGGTACTATAGACAGGGAGACTGACCTGATTGAGGTTCTACAGAGAGGGAGACTGACCTGATTGAGGTTCTACAGAGGGAGACTGACCTGATTGAGGTTCTATAGACAGGGAGACTGACCTGATTGAGGTTCTATAGACAGGGAGACTGACCTGATTGAGGTTCTACAGAGAGGGAGATTGACCTGACTGAGGTCCTACAGGGGAACTGACCTTGTTGAGATTAGACACATCGTATCCAGCAATGAGGAAGAGGACGTTGGAGCACAGAAAGCGTGTGTAATCGTCCACACACACTGTGTCGGCCAGAAGCTGCAGAATTTCGTTGTGGGGCAGGAAGTCCCTGTGCTTGAACAACTCGTATATAAACTGAAACACACACACAGAGGTCACAGGTCATAGGTCAGTGACATGTCCAGTCTTGGCTACAGATATTAGCTTCTTCAGATGCTCCTGCAAAAACACAAAAGCATGGACAAGGGAACCAAGAACAGTTCCTTCAACATACCTGCTAACAGCTTCATTAATTGTCAAACTTGAAGCTGTTGATGTTTGTCCTGTGTCAAGACAGATTTTCTTGTGTTTTCAGTACCATGCTCAGAGAGGTAAACATTGGAAGATAGGTTAACATTTGTAGGAAGGTGAACATTGTTCGATTTGTAAACATGGGAAGAGAGGTAATTGTTGGTAAGTAATCAGGAATGTTCCATTAGTTAAGACCAGTTTCTATGGTTACATATGTCCATAAATATTCATGTCACATTTGACTGTTATGTGTGTTTGTTGTTTCGCAGTGCACTCAGCAATATTCTGTCTGTAAGTAATCTAATCCAGACCATACTGTACTACTGAGCAATGGTTCATCTTACTACAATGTTGTATTCATAACAGCCATGCGTAATTCATGCAGTAAGTGTGACCCCCGACTGTGGCCATGCTGACAGTCCGCTCACCGTGTCAGAGATATCAGCCAGGTACTTGATCGGACTTAGGATCTCGCCCGTAGTGATAACAGGACCCATTGCAAAGAACTTCTTCACCTGGAAACATCCAAATATACATAAATGAACACCAAGATCAATACCCTTGTCATGAACACTGGATTTCATTGTGTTTTCAGTTAAACTTCCAGTCATAAACATTCCACATCAAAGGTTTATTCAAAGAGAGATATGTACTGCCAGGTTCATACAGCTGAGCAAACATCACGTATACCTTCATCAAGTGAAACCATGGTAACATAGATGATACTCCTGCCAGTGTACTCATCAACAGCAAGATTACAGAATCCTCTTTATATACAATGTAGACTCTTTACCCAGCTTGACACTAACATCCTACTTCAGCAGTTTGAAACATTTGTATACACCACTTGTTGGTTCATCTCTTGTTGTTTACTAACATCACATTCAGCAGTGGTCACCTCATACAACATCGGCAATTAGGGTATGATGACATGTTGTCACGTGATCACACTGGTCAGTGTGGTCACCTCATACAACATCGGCAGTTAGGGTATGATGACATGTTGTCACGTGATCACACTGGTCAGTGTGGTCACCTCATACAACATCGGCAGTTAGGGTATGATGACATGTTATCACATGATCACACTTGTGGTCACCTCATACAACATCGGCAGTTAGGGTATGATGACATGTTGTCACGTGATCACACTAGTCAGTGTGGTCACCTCATACAACATCGGCAATTAGGGTATGATGGCATGTTATCACGTGATCACACTAGTGGTCACCTCATACAACATCGGCAGTTAGGGTATGATGGCATGTTATCACGTGATCACACAAGTCAGTGTGGTCACCTCATACAACATTGGCAATTAGGGTATGATGGCATGTTATCACGTGATCACACTAGTGGTCACCTCATACAACATCGGCAGTTAGGGTATGATGGCATGTTATCACGTGATCACACTAGTCAGTGTGATCACCTCATACAACATCGGCAGTTAGGGTATGATGGCATGTTATCACGTGATCACACTAGTGGTCACCTCATACAACATCGGCAGTTAGGGTATGATGGCATGTTATCACGTGATCACACTAGTCAGTGTGGTCACCTCATACAACATTGGCAGTTAGGGTATGATGGCATGTTATCACGTGATCACACTAGTCAGTGTGGTCACCTCATACAACATAGGCAGTTAGGGTATGATGGCATGTTATCACGTGATCACACTAGTGGTCACCTCATACAACATCGGCAGTTAGGGTATGATGATATGTAATCACATGATCGCAATAGTCAGTGTGGTCACCTCATACATCGGCAGTTAGGGTATGGTGGCATGTTATCACGTGATCACACTAGTCAGTGTGGTCACCTCATACAACATTGGCAGTTAGGGTATGATGGCATGTTATCACGTGATCACACTAGTCAGTGTGGTCACCTCATACAACATAGGCAGTTAGGGTATGATGGCATGTTATCACGTGATCACACTAGTGGTCACCTCATACAACATCGGCAGTTAGGGTATGATGATATGTGATCACGTGATCGCACAAGTCAGTGTGGTCACCTCATACATCGGCAGTTAGGGTATGATGGCATGGTATCACATGATCACACTAGTGGGCACCTCATACAACATCGGCAGTTAGGGTATGATGGCGTGGTATCACGTGATCACACTAGTGGGCACCTCATACAACATCGGCAGTTAGGGTATGATGGCATGGTACCACATGATCACACTAGTGGTCACCTCATACAACATCGGCAGTTAGGGTATGATGGCCTGTTATCACGTGATCACACTAGTGGTCACCTCATACAACATAGGCAGTTAGGGTATGATGGCATGGTATCACATGATCACACTAGTGGTCACCTCATACAACATTGGCAGTTAGGGTATGATGGCATGGTATCACATGATCACACAAGTGGTCACCTCATACAACATTGGCAGTTAGGGTATGATGGCATGGTATCACATGATCACACAAGTGGTCACCTCATACAACATAGGCAGTTAGGGTATGATGGCATGTTATCACGTGATCACACTAGTCAGTGTGGTCACCTCATACAACATAGGCAGTTAGGGTATGATGGCATGGTATCACGTGATCACGCTAGTGGTCACCTCATACAACATTGGCAGTTAGGGTATGATGGCATGGTATCACATGATCACACAAGTGGTCACCTCATACAACATAGGCAGTTAGGGTATGATGGCATGGTATCACGTGATCACACTAGTCAGTGTGGTCACCTCATACAACATAGGCAGTTAGGGTATGATGGCATGGTATCACGTGATCACGCTAGTGGTCACCTCATACATCGGCAGTTAGGGTATGATGGCATGGTACCACATGATCACACTAGTGGTCACCTCATACAACATCGGCAGTTAGGGTATGATGGCCTGTTATCACGTGATCACACTAGTGGTCACCTCATACAACATAGGCAGTTAGGGTATGATGGCATGGTATCACATGATCACACTAGTGGTCACCTCATACAACATTGGCAGTTAGGGTATGATGGCATGGTATCACATGATCACACAAGTGGTCACCTCATACAACATTGGCAGTTAGGGTATGATGGCATGGTATCACATGATCACACAAGTGGTCACCTCATACAACATAGGCAGTTAGGGTATGATGGCATGTTATCACGTGATCACACTAGTCAGTGTGGTCACCTCATACAACATAGGCAGTTAGGGTATGATGGCATGGTATCACGTGATCACGCTAGTGGTCACCTCATACAACATTGGCAGTTAGGGTATGATGGCATGGTATCACATGATCACACAAGTGGTCACCTCATACAACATAGGCAGTTAGGGTATGATGGCATGGTATCAACGTGATCACACTAGTCAGTGTGGTCACCTCATACAACATAGGCAGTTAGGGTATGATGGCATGGTATCACGTGATCACGCTAGTGGTCACCTCATACATCGGCAGTTAGGGTATGATGGCATGGTATCACGTGATCACACTAGTGGTCACCTCATACAACATCGGCAGTTAGGGTATGATGGCATGTTATCACGTGATCACACTAGTGGTCACCTCATACAACATAGGCAGTTAGGGTATGATGGCATGTTATCACGTGATCGCACTAGTCAGTGTGGTCACCTCATACATCGGCAGTTAGGGTATGATGGCATGGTATCACATGATCACACTAGTGGTCACCTCATACATCGGCAGTTAGGGTATGATGGCATGGTATCACATGATCACACTAGTGGTCACCTCATACAACATCGTCAGTTAGGGTATGATGGCATGGTATCACATGATCACACTAGTGGTCACCTCATACAACATCGGCAGTTAGGGTATGATGACATGTTATCACATGATCACACTAGTGGTCACCTCATACAAGATCGGCAGTTAGGGTATGATGGCATGTTATCACGTGATCACACTTGTGGTCACCTCATACAACATCGGCAGTTAGGGTATGATGATATGTTATCACGTGATCACACTAGTGGTCACCTCATACAACATTGGCAGTTAGGGTATGATGGCATGTTATCACGTGATCACACTAGTGGTCACCTCATACAACATCGGCAGTTAGGGTATGATGATATGTTATCACATGATCACACTAGTCAGTGTGGTCACCTCATACAACATCGGCAGTTAGGGTATGATGATATGTGATCACGTGATCGCACTAGTCAGTGTGGTCACCTCATACATCGGCAGTTAGGGTATGATGGCATGGTATCACATGATCACACTAGTGGGCACCTCATACAACATCGGCAGTTAGGGTATGATGGCGTGGTATCACGTGATCACACTAGTGGGCACCTCATACAACATCGGCAGTTAGGGTATGATGGCATGGTACCACATGATCACACTAGTGGTCATCTCATACATCGGCAGTTAGGGTATGATGGCCTGTTATCACGTGATCACACTAGTGGTCACCTCATACAACATAGGCAGTTAGGGTATGATGGCATGGTATCACATGATCACACTAGTGGTCACCTCATACAACATTGGCAGTTAGGGTATGATGGCATGGTATCACATGATCACACAAGTGGTCACCTCATACAACATTGGCAGTTAGGGTATGATGGCATGGTATCACATGATCACACAAGTGGTCACCTCATACAACATAGGCAGTTAGGGTATGATGGCATGTTATCACGTGATCACACTAGTCAGTGTGGTCACCTCATACAACATAGGCAGTTAGGGTATGATGGCATGGTATCACGTGATCACACTAGTGGTCACCTCATACAACATCGGCAGTTAGGGTATGATGGCATGTTATCACGTGATCACACTTGTGGTCACCTCATACAACATAGGCAGTTAGGGTATGATGGCATGTTATCACGTGATCGCACTAGTCAGTGTGGTCACCTCATACATCGGCAGTTAGGGTATGATGGCATGGTATCACATGATCACACTAGTGGTCACGTCATACATCGGCAGTTAGGGTATGATGGCATGGTATCACATGATCACACTAGTGGTCACCTCATACAACATCGTCAGTTAGGGTATGATGGCATGGTATCACATGATCACACTAGTGGTCACCTCATACAACATCGGCAGTTAGGGTATGATGACATGTTATCACATGATCACACTAGTGGTCACCTCATACAACATCGGCAGTTAGGGTATGATGGCATGTTATCACGTGATCACACTAGTGGTCACCTCATACAACATCGGCAGTTAGGGTATGATGACATGTTATCACGTGATCACACTAGTGGTCACCTCATACAACATTGGCAGTTAGGGTATGATGGCCTGTTATCACGTGATCACACTAGTGGTCACCTCATACAACATCGGCAGCTAGGGTATGATGACATGTTTTCACGTGATCACATTAGTCATTGTGGTCACCTCATACAACATAGGCAGTTAGGGTATGATGACATGTTATTCTAGCCTAGAATCTCGACCAGCGACAGTTACTACGGGCCTATTATAGCCTAGAATCTCGACCAGCGACAGTTATATGGGCCTATTCTAGCCTAGAATCTTGACCAGCGACAGTTACAATGGGCCTATTCTAGCCTAGAATCTCGACCAGCGACAGTTACTACGGGCCTATTCTAGCCTAGAATCTTGACCAGCGACAGTTACTATGGGCCTATTCTAGCCTAGAATCTCGACCAGCAACAGTAGCTACGGGCCTATTCTAGCCTAGAATCTTGACCAGCGACAGTTACTATGGGCCTATTCTAGCCTAGAATCTCGAATCAGCTTATTACAGTTACTACGGGCCTATTCTAGCCTAGAATCCTCTAATTCGACCAGCGACAGTTACTATGGGCCTATTCTAGCCTAGAATCTCGACCAGCAACAGTTATATGGGCCTATTCTAGCTTAGAATCTCGACCAGCGACAGTTACTATGGGCCTATTCTAGCCTAGAATCCTCGACCAGCGATAGTTAGCTACTATGGGCCTATTCTAGCCTTAGAATCTCGACCAGCTTGACAGTTACTATGGGCCTATTCTAGCCTAGAATCTCGACCAGCGACAGTTATATGGGCCTATTCTAGCTTAGAATCTCGATTCAGCCGGCAGTTACTATGGGCCTATTCTAGCCTAGAATCTCGACCAGCTTACAGTTATATGGGCCTATTCTAGCCTAGAATCTCGACCAGCGACAGCCGTTACTATGGACCTATTCTAGCCTAGAAATCTAATTCGACCAGCGACAATTACTATGGGCCTATTCTAGCCTAGAATCCGACCAGCGACAGTTATATGGGCCTATTCTAGCCTAGAATCACCTAAGCCAGCGACAGTTACTATGGACCTATTCTAGCCTAGAATCTCGACCAGCCACAGTTACTACGGGCCTATTCTAGCCTAGAATCTCGACCAGCGACAGTTACTATGGGCCTCTGCTAGCTTAGAATCTCGACCAGCCGACAGTTACTAATGGGCCTATTCTAGCCTTAGAATCTCGACCAGAACAGTTATAGTTGGGCCTATTCTAGCCTAGAATCTCGACCAGCAACAGTTGCTCACGGGCCTATTCTAGCCTAGAATCTCTAACCAGCGACAGTTATATGGGCCTATTCTAGCTTAGAATCTCGACCAGCAACAGTTACTATGGGCCTATTCTAGCTTAGAATCTCAACCAGCAACAGTAGCTATTGGTCTATTTTAGCCTAGAATCCCGACCAGCAACAGTAGCTATGGGCCTATTCTAGCTTAGAATCTCGACCAGCAACAGTAGCTTTGGCGGGCCTATTCTAGCCTAGAATCTTGACCAGCGACAGTTACTATGGGCCTATTCTAGCCTAGAATCTCGACCAGCGACAGTTACTACGGGCCTATTCTAGCCTAGAATCTCGACCAGCGACAGTTACTACGGGCCTATTATAGCCTAGAATCTCGACCAGCGACAGTTATATGGGCCTATTCTAGCCTAGAATCTTGACCAGCGACAGTTACAATGGGCCTATTCTAGCCTAGAATCTCTAACCAGTGACAGTTACTACCGGGCCTATTCTAGCCTAGAATCTTGACCAGCGACAGTTACTATATGGGCCTATTCTAGCCTAGAATCTCGACCAGCAACAGTAGCTCACGGGCCTATTCTAGCCTAGAATCTCCAACCAGCGACAGTTACTATGGGCCTATTCTAGCCTAGAATCTCGACCAGCGACAGTTACTCACACGGGCCTATTCTAGCCTAGAATCTCGACCAGCCGACAGTTACTATGGGCCTATTCTAGCCTAGAATCTCGACCAGCAACAGTTATATGGGCCTATTCTAGCTTAGAATCTCGACCAGCGACAGTTACTATGGGCCTATTCTAGCCTAGAATCTCGACCAGCGACAGTTACTACGGGCCTATTCTAGCCTAGAATCTCGACCAGCGACAGTTACTATGGGCCTATTCTAGCCTAGAATCTCGACCAGCGACAGTTATATGGGCCTATTCTAGCTTAGAATCTCGACCAGCGGCAGTTACTATGGGCCTATTCTAGCCTAGAATCTCGACCAGCGACAGTTATATGGGCCTATTCTAGCCTAGAATCTCGACCAGCGACAGTTACTATGGACCTATTCTAGCCTAGAATCTCGACCAGCGACAATTACTATGGGCCTATTCTAGCCTAGAATCTCGACCAGCGACAGTTATATGGGCCTATTCTAGCCTAGAATCTCGACCAGCGACAGTTACTATGGACCTATTCTAGCCTAGAATCTCGACCAGCGACAGTTACTACGGGCCTATTCTAGCCTAGAATCTCGACCAGCGACAGTTACTATGGGCCTCTGCTAGCTTAGAATCTCGACCAGCGACAGTTACTACGGGCCTATTCTAGCCTAGAATCTCGACCAGCGACAGTTATATGGGCCTATTCTAGCCTAGAATCTCGACCAGCAACAGTTGCTACGGGCCTATTCTAGCCTAGAATCTCGACCAGCGACAGTTATATGGGCCTATTCTAGCTTAGAATCTCGACCAGCAACAGTTACTATGGGCCTATTCTAGCTTAGAATCTCAACCAGCAACAGTAGCTATTGGCCTATTTTAGCCTAGAATCCCGACCAGCAACAGTAGCTATGGGCCTATTCTAGCTTAGAATCTCGACCAGCAACAGTTACTATGGGCCTATTCTAGCCTAGAATCTCGACCAGCGACAGTTATATGGGCCTATTCTAGCTTAGAATCTCGACCAGCAACAGTTACCAGGGCCTATTCTAGCTTAGAATCTCGACCAGCAACAGTAGCTATTGGCCTATTTTAGCCTAGAATCCCGACCAGCAACAGTAGCTATGGGCCTATTCTAGCTTAGAATCTCGACCAGCAACAGTTACTATGGGCCTATTCTAGCCTAGAATCTCGACCAGCGACAGTTATATGGGCCTATTCTAGCTTAGAATCTCGACCAGCAACAGTTACCAGGGCCTATTCTAGCTTAGAATCTCGACCAGCAACAGTAGCTATTGGCCTATTTTAGCCTAGAATCCCGACCAGCAACAGTAGCTATGGGCCTATTCTAGCTTAGAATCTCAACCCACGACAGTTGCTTGGGGCCTATTCTAGCCTACAATCTCGACCCACGACAGTTAATTGGGGCCTATTCTAGCTTAGAATCTTGACCAGTGACAGTTACTACGGGCCTATTCTAGCTTAGAGTCTCGACCAGCAACAGTTACTATGGGCCTATTTAGCTTAGAATCTCGACCAGCAACAGTTGCTAGGGACCTATTCTAGCTTAGAATCTCGACCAGCGACAGTTGCTAGGGACCTATTCTCGAATCTCGACCAGCAACAATTGCTCTGGACCTACTCTAGCCTAGAATCTCGAGAAGCATGTTCAATGTGATGGCCCCCCACTGAAATTTATGTACAAAATACGTGACACCCCCCACCCCGCCACAAATACAAAATCAATGACAACACCCTAGTACATGCATACAAAATTGATCCCCCTCCAATGCACTGCACATTATTGGAGTTATGGAGATATTTCACTTCTCTCATACCTTTTTATTCATTTCTGGATATTGAGATAGGGCTGCAAAGGCTTGCAAGGTTCCCTGGGAATGACCTACATAGTAGAGGTCTGATTGGCCAGACTGCTTGAGGGCGAAGTTCAACTGTGCCGGGAAGTCATACTTGGCAAATTCGTGATTGTCTTAAAGAGCTATTGACTGTAGTAGGCACACAGGATGAGTTATTCTACATGTACATGAAATATGGTCTTGTCTGTGACTGTAGTAGTTACACTATGTAAGAGTTATTCTATGTGAAATATGGATTGTCTTAGCTGGTGTGACTGCTACTGTAGTATGGAAGTTATCTATGTACTATGTGAAATATGGAGGTTGATCTATGTGAAATTGGAGCTTGTGACTGTAGTAGGTACAGTTATTCTATGTGAAATATGGATTGTCTTAAGCTGTGACTGTAGTAGGTTAATGCTATGTGAAATGTGGATTGTCTTAGAGCTGTGACTGTAGTAGGTACAGTTATTCTATGTGAAATGTGGATTGTCTTAGAGCTGTGACTGTAGTAGGTAGTAGTGATGCTATGTGAAATGTGGATTGTCTTAGCGCTGTGACTGTAGTAGGTACAGTTATTCTATGTGAAATGTGGATTGTCTTAGCGCTGTGACTGTAGTAGGCACAGTTATTCTATGTGAAATGTGGATTGTCTTAGAGCTGTGACTGTAGTAGGCACAGTGATGCTATGTGAAGTGTAGATTGTCTTAGCGCTGTGACTGTAGTAGGTACAGTGATGCTATGTGAAATGTGGATTGTCTTAGCGCTGTGACTGTAGTAGGTACAGTGATGCTATGGGAAATATGGATTATCTTAATGCTAAGATGTTTTCTTGGAATGCCTCATCAACACCAAAAGCTCGACTTTTCATATTTCTTGATTTGTTTCTCTGTTTACAGTCTATTCAAGTATTAATTATTTGTCTCCTGTGCACTGTGTTCAGCAAGATTGCAGGTGTCATTGTCTCTACATACCTGAAAGCCCAGAATGCATCTTGATCTGGTTTGAGGGAAACATGTCGGAGAGAGTAGGTATTGCAGCGGTTGTTGCCGAGCCAGACATCAAAGCCAGCATCAGCCAGTATATATGCTAGGCAAGATAAATATATTCTCAAATGAGGATGTATCAGTATTGAACTGTTTCTCATGTCAACAGTGAAAGAAGTGTTATACAAATCCTTAACCATCTAACATGAACACATGCTACAAAACAACAATCCGATAAAATAAAATTTAACAATTTTGAACAAACTAAATCTTGGGTGGTACAAAGCTTGAAAACCAAGGAAATGGCACAAAACATCATTGCCAAGGTGAGATATTGAGTCATACACAACATCCCGATACAGACAAAATCTGACAAGTCATCGGACATATTGTGCTGTGTATGTAGTCAGAGATTTATGACTTGCATATTTTCTTAACCAAGTACAAAGTCCATGTGAACATGCGAGTTGACTATGGGGGTAAATATAAACACAATACATCCTCCATTCCCGGTAATTCAGCTTCAAAAGTTGGTGTGGGCAGGCAGAATGTTTTCTGTGTGTAAGATAAATCCATGAACTCAGAATTAATCATCTGTCTCGTACATCTACATATATAATGATGGAGAGCTGTGACTGACAGTAAATGTCCAAGAGAGGCCTGCTGTATTGAAGAACGCCTTACTTATAAACATACCAACAATCTTGTTTCTGTTATTTAAATGATTCTCTGAAAGAAGCAACCAATATTTCTACTATTTATGATTCTCTGAAAGAGGCAACCTATGTTTCTACTATTTATGATTCTCTGAAAGAGGCAACTAGCTTTTTCTGCACACCAACTGTTCTTGAATTATTGAAAACGTAAAATCTATTTTACAAACAAAACGATATATTTTTATCCTGGTAAGGAATCCATTCAAAGTTCAAGATGAAATCCTCATCTGTTAAAGACTTAAGGCTTCTGAGCATGTGCAATGATATGACATCTGTAGCAGGGGTGGAAATAACCCATTGCCCGACGCCCGAGTCCAGTGTTTTTTTCTGTCGGCCAAGCAAATTTGTATATCACACTGTACCGGTGTCCAGTTGATATTCCAATATTAATTATGTTGTTTATTAAAAAATCAACAAGAAAATGGCCGGTATAGTGGAAACATTATCAGGGCAAGTGATTTTGCCATGTACTGGAGTACACTAGCAATTTTAAAGTTATTTCCACCCCCATGTAGAAATCTTAAAATGAAAACAAAGTATGGCACAGAACGCCAGTCTTTGATATCCCAAACCTCATAATTCCAAACTCTATTACCAAGAATCTGCTAACTCAAAACATACAGACCCAAGTCAACTGTGCACTATTCATTGAGCTATCTTCTAATTGAAAAAGAGAACATTTGTGTACCTAAACTTTCATTGGCCAGATTGGTGACGAAGTTGGTGGAGGAACAGAGCAGCCCGTGCTGCAGGAAGACCACAGGACGTTGGGGGTCCTTGTTCCGTACCCCGTACGGTATACGCTGTACCCCTAGGAGGTAGCCATCCTCCGTCTGTACACTGTACTCCTCACATGGGTAGCCCTTGCTCGTGATCAGCTGGCTCTACAAGACCACAACAAATGTAAGAAGTGTAATGATAAAACAAATTATGTGAATTTCAAACATGCCTGTGTGTGACTGTTTGCAAGGATTATGTTTAGTTCAGATTTGGTTTGAGGAGAGCTCTACTGAACCAGGCAGAGTAGCATTATTTCTGTCATCAGCATTGATTCTAGTAAATAATTAAAGAGCCTTAAGACTGGTTTACATCTTGGGGTCACCTCCACTAGTGAGCAGTAGCTATACTGAACCAGGCAGGGAAACAATAAATACCGTCATCAGCATCTTGACCTATGACTAGCCTGTGGGATGAAACTACCAACATTCAGCAGTCCAGGCAGACACTCCATCCTGTACACCACCAAGGTGGTCTGTAACAATATAGCACTGTGATGGAATGTGATTACTTCTGGCTCTACGCCTTCCATACTGGAGACTTCCTCACTGTTGACAGTTTCTCCTGAGTCCAGTTGAGTTTAATGCCACTTACAACAGTATTCCAGCTGCATCATGGCACATCAGCTCAAGAGTAGGAGGGAGGCCCGAAGTGATGCAGCTTTCTGACATTTACCACGCTGATGGAAGCAAACACCACAGGTGTGGTGCTGACAAACCTTTAACATAATCAAGCCCACAATCACAGGTGTCTGACCTGCCTAAGGGATGCAACATGGTGAATTGCAATGTCTTTGATGGCTGGGCAACCATGACCAACTACGTCCAGTAGATTGCAAGGTACACTGTGTGTCCTGAACAGATGCTCACAAACTAGACTAACGCTTAGTCTCTGAATATATATAGTTTTGATAGAAACAAATAATTCCTTTTAAACTGAAAAGGAGCCCAAGTGAGAAGGGAGCTTCATAACCTGAGGAAATCTAGACTTGCTTCATTTAGGGCTTTAGCACTGCAGAGAGGACGAGGAAGAAGGGAAACTAATGTGGTTCAGGGATTGTTGAACAGACTACTCACAAACAATCATCAATGTTGCTAGCATTTAAGGGATCAAAATGGTGCTTAATTTGTGTGCCACGGCATGGTAAATATTAAAATGGCACGAAAAAATATTTTCAATGTGCCCTGGTATCAAGATTAAAATTAAAATAATACACACAATGATTCAATTAATGGAAAATGTGATAAATTTGACCAACTCAAATTATTTAAAACATATTTTGGCACCCATTAGACTGCACGTCAGTGGTACTCTCAGTCTCACAGCTCAACATGGCTGCGGCCATTTTGAATGCCAGTGAGCGTGACAGGAAATCTTATTTTGGATGATAACACAGCTTGTGGGCTAGTTATGGTCCAGGACAAATGAAGCTGAACAGATTTGATAACGTTTAGGAAATCTTGTTCTCAGGTTTAGGGCTGGGACGGGTACTCGGGTACTCAAATCCGGGTCGGGTACAGCTGGAATCGAGTCCTATTTCTAGGAATCGGGTACCCGGAAAAGGAGAGAATTCTGTAATGGCAAGGGCAGATAATAGCTTGTCTTTTTCATGATTGACTTAGCACTCATTTGCATCATTGGTATTGTCCGATTAATAGAGGTTATTATTAACAACTATAATATATCTGAGCATGAGCAGTGAGTAGTCAAGTTACAGTAACAGCAGGAGCGAAAAGTTCAATCTGTGTTTTAAGGAGGAATGTAAGTAATGGTGTTACTCTCTATATTGTTTAAACCAACGCAAATTATATAGCCTAAGTTGAGTTTCAGTGTCTTATTGCTATCATTTCAAGTTTTCTTGAAAAATGTCTGTCAACTCGTGATTGAATAATCAGAAAGTTGACAGAAGCGCTTTATTCCTTACATTTCCGGGTACTCGATTCCGATTCGGGTAAGTACATGCGGGTACTCGATTCCATTTTCTCCTACCCGTCCCAGCCCTACTCAGGTTTACAGTTTTACATATTTTTTACTGATTTATTAAACAATAATTGAAATAACATAATTGTTTTGATGTTTTAAGTCTAATTGGATGATCAAAAGGTATGGGCACAACTTATTTTCACAAAAGCACATGTAAATTATCTGCCTGGTGTCCTATAGCACCCTCAGAAACAAATAGAGTCTCTACACCTGCATTTCATCCCTGATATTATGAAAACTATCATTAGCATAGTGTAGTATCAATCTGTGTCATTATTGCTGAGCTGAAATGTGAATAAGTTCAATTACAACTATATTTCCCAATTACTTAGTACTGCTACATTCTCCATGTAATTTCACAATCATGTGTAGTTTTCAACTTCCCCAATTAGGTGCCACCTGTTCAAATAATAATACTATCATATGGGCTGGGCATATGAAACATATTAAATATCTGTTGAAAATTACATTCAAACTTTTGGTTGCATCAAAGCTGGAGAAATGAATATTTTAGTATACAGCTGAGAACACAGTGAATCCAGATCATTACTGAACATCATAGTGTGTGTGCACTGCATCTACTCCACAAGAAACAAATACAGATGTCATCGGGAACTACTTCCTGTTGTTTCTACTAACACACACTAATGTAAAACATCATCTAATTAATTAACTCCAACATGGTTGAATTACTTTAATGATCATCATGAAGGAAGTACATCAGTAACACACACTAAAAAAACCTTCCTACTCTAGTGATCTTCCCTCATGTCACTGACTGAATATATAACAGAATAGTTAATTTCTGCTTCGTCTGTTCACATATCTGTAGTTGTGTTTTCCTAAAACCTGATGTTTACAATGTTGAAGTATGTCTTCACAGTTCGATGAATTTGTAGTGTGTTGTTTCAGATCAAGTGAAAAGAACAAACTGATAGTAATGAGTGAGTGAAGTTAGTTTTCCAGTGATCAACAGCCACTCAGCAATATTCCAGCTATATGTCGCATCTTACGACAAGCATGGGTCTGTAAATAATCGAGTCTGGACTGGGTCCGACAATATTTCCCACTTCTGTGTAACTAGATCAGCCTCTTCCCAGCATACTTGATTAATTCACACAAGGTGCTGTACACAGGGAGTGTGGTTTCAGCAGCTCATAAAAGAGAACTAAAATTTGTACATTCATTGCTGGTAGAGAAACTCAGTTTGTAAAAGGTCTACCAACATTTTAAATCATGCAGAAATACAAAGCACAAATGATATACACATGATAAAACTGGTAGATTGTCTTGTATCTACCACAATTACATGATGGAATGTGGAATGTGTCTTACATTTGGATTTTATTTCATTGGCAAATTTGTGCTAACAGGTATGAATAATCATATCTCCAAATTCTTTAAGGTAAAATTGATATTTTTACTCTAACACACAATGTAGTGATGGTAAATTATGAAACAATAAGTCAACAATGGCTTTTATAGGTGTTCGTGTGCCTCTACATTTGGCAATACTCAGTTACTTAACTTAATTGATTCTATTTTTGATGAAGATTGGCTATAAATGTCTTGATCTTTACAAAACTGGGAATCTAAGCATATCATGGGCAGGAATCTATCAAGGATTCTAAACTGAAAGCCCTTGGCAGACAAATAAGAGGAATTTAATTAAAAAATGTTGTGAAATACGACTTTCTTAAAAGTTTCTCAATTTCTGGGTAGTATTTGGACCTTATGTATTCAATAAGAAATTCAATCATCTTCAAGTCATCTTTTCATGACACCGACTGTTTTAATCTTCTGTTTAAATGTTTACTGAAAACCTTCAACAGTGAGGTCACCGTGACCTGAGCATCACTCCGTGCAATAGACACATCGCACATGTATATGTAAAATTGCATTCACTGGCTGCCCAACAGTTATCGCCATATTTTAGCGATATTTACAAAATTACTATGCCTTTCGTTAAATTAATGAAACAAATTTAATTATGATACTTAATTAGCTATTCACCGATGTGTCCAGCCCATTCACTGCCGCCGATCATGTTTTTACATAATGCGGCGGAAGGGATTCAAAGCAGTACAAATAGATGTTTTCTCACACAGTTATCGCCACGTAGAATTTTTCATGCCATTCGTGATATAATATATATATATTTATATCATACAGTAACCTCGAATAATTGATTGTGTGACTATTTGAGTGTTTCTTTTACAGTAGATTGATAGGAAATGAAACAATTAATGACTTGTGAACTTGAACTTGCTATTATATAGGTCGTTGAACTTGCTATTTGTATAGGGTTCATTTCTTTATCTTTAATTTTTCTCTTATGTTACTTACTGTGAATAATTTGCTTTTGCTGTCCTTTATTGTGGTCAAATACCGTGGGGGAAAATACCGGAATTGTAATTGACAGGAACTGCGCACGTGTGATGCTGATGTATTCGCGATAACTGTTATGTGGCAATAGCTGTTCGCTTGCCAGTAATGTTTCAAAGATTTCGTTTGAGACACTCGTTATGGAACCGCGCACGTGTGATACTGATGTACTGGCGATAACTGTTACGTGGCGATAACTGTTAGCTTGCCAGTAAAGTTTCAAAGATTTCATTTAGGACACTCGCTAGGGATCGCACCATCAATCAAATGTTTTGTGAAAGTTGGTGAAGTTTGACAAGTTCAAAATCTGGCTGACATGCAATAAGGAAATATGAGGACAATATGGATAGTATTGCTTCGAGCGATTAAATGAAATGGGCACTTAACAAATACTTCCTTTCCTTGACAAAAATTGTAAAACCTCATTAGGGCCTCATTGTGGTTATTCGTCCTGTTGTCAGTGATATGCAATAACTCTGCAAACTTTAGTAATTAGTAACTGCTTCAATAACAGAATTGGCAACTTGTGTATTCCAACCTGGGAAGTTTTACTGACAACTGTTTCAGACATGGTGGCAAATATCAGCCTTTCAGAAGATCCAGATGAATACCTTCATAGGTCATGACTGTCTTCCTTGCCAGGAAAGTGATGGGGGAAAAGTCAAACATCCTATACCGGAATTGTAATTGACCAGAACAATGTATGCGTGATACTGATGTATTTGTGATAACTGTTACTCAGTAATAACTGTTTGGCAGCCAGTATACCGCAGAACATATTAAATATTCTGAAATACTTCTGAGAAGACACTTAATATGTTGACATTGACAGAAGATTGTAATTTAATCCCAAACACAACGCCCTGCTCAATTATCTAGAATCTAGAGTAAGTGATCATACACTTCATCATTTGTTCATGGTATAAAGTGTCACTAACACTGCAGATGTGTTTAGACATTGTATGATATACAGGCTGTACAAATATAATCAGATAGTTTCAGTCTGTGCTAATTAGTATTATATGTGCTGTACTAATATCATTAACACGTAAAATCTGTACTAATACTAGATCTAAACTGGTACTAGAATCTAAACTATGAGTCCATTCATAATTTATGGCTTGGGGCGGTGTGTGTGTGTGTGTGTGTGTGTGTGTGTGTGTGTGTGTGTGTGTGTGTGTGTGTGTGTGTGTGTGTGTGTTTTATGATGATGATTTTAAGGGGGTCACCCATTTCGTTCTGGGGGGAGGTGGGGGTCATCAATTTTGTACACATGAACTAGCGTATGTCAGCAATTTGTGCATAAATTTTAGAAATTATGCTAAAAATTATTGGAAGGGCGGGGGTGGGGTTGTCAGTGATTTTGTACATGACATGATAGGGGGGGTCCTAAAAGAAAATGGGGGGGCGGCATTCACATTGTACATGCTTCTCCATAAAAATGATCACCATCCCCTTAGCCATAAATTATGAACGGTGCCTAAGATCGACACAATCTGAAAAAATACCCAGAAGCTGAAGGTACAGGGCAAATTTGTTTTTACTCACAACATTCATGTTGACCTCTGGGTCAATTTCTTGCTTGCGATAGCGTTTTAGCAAAGCTCCTACGTCGTCCATGGCGTAAGATCGCACTGCTGTCACGTGTAGACAAGCCAGGAGCCATAACATCACTTTAACCGGCACCATCGTATTCTCTGATTTCTTTATTCCGCGCCTCTCCTACTGCAACTGACCGGCGAGAAATGCCCGTCAGATGAACATTCTCATGCCCTTATCTCCTGTCATTGTCATGTGATCAAGCCACCCTGAGAGTGTGACATGATTTTGCCGGCGTATAACACTCGACTGCTGAGGTCGACACTTGGTCCCAAATCAAACTAGAGTTATTCGCCTTTGCAATATAGACTTGCGTTCAGTCGCAGTGCGCGTATCGTGTAATTAAATTGCTCTTTGCCGTTTCTCTTTATGACGAACATCAAACGTAGAATGTCAAGCGCTTTCGTTATTAACATTGGAAATATCAGTACTTTCTGATATGTCAGTAGTTATTTTCATATTTGTGGTTTGATTAAAAATGCCTTTGTTATTTTGTCTTACCGTAACATGAATAAATGCATAATTATCAATTTATACTATTTTTGGCCACTTCAACAGGCATGCCATTCGTCACAATTCACAAGTTTCTGTACCCAACAAGAATCGAAAAAGAAGGAAAGACACGAGTGTGTCTGTCGTGATGCCTGACGCCACTTTGAAGTGTACCGAGGTTCTGTGACGTCACAATTATGACGTCAGAAAGGGGGTGTGGTATTCCGGAAGCGGATGTCGTTATTTTTAGGGAACTAGAAGATGTCTGATACCGATAATGAGAGATGGGAACCATACCATTTTTCTTAGTAATCGGTGCTTTTATCTTTCATCAGATCTCAACCTGCACAGATGGATGGTGTACATATAAGTAAGTCCTGGCTATCTTGGTTCCACAAACACGTCTGTGAATGTTTTCGTTTAGTTTACACTGAATGCTCCACTTTTCACCTTCGTATGCGGTATAGCCATCAAATTCTGTTCAAGGCAACAAATATTCATAATATTTGTGTAGTAATGTACTAAATATGTCCGGAAAGTGTTTAATATATGGATATACTGCAGTTTGATCCTTACTACATTTTTACTGTACTGTTGTTTCTTCGTAGGGGCATGGGTGAAGAAGAAGGATTTTCTGAGAAGATCTGGAATTACGTGATATCAAGTATAACCTGGTTCGACAAAGATGGATATGACGTGTTTGACATGTGTCCTGAATACCCTGAGCCGGACTGGGATCTCTTTGAGCCGGAAGAAAAATGCTGCAGAAAACTGTCGGAGATGATGAACCCATATGATGGTGAGCTACGTTTACTTTCATTAAACGTGATATGCATATGATATTTAAAAGCAATCTGTAGATTTTCTGTGTTTTACATGAATCCACTGTACTGAGTACAAACTTAAGACAGTGTTCAATGATTTCTATTTGTAGTAATCCTTTGGCTCGTCAGACACGTTTCAAAAACGTTCAGGTTTTTCATGGTACATCTCCCATGATCCAGTTATTTTACATCGTTCATGTTATTTTGTCACAGACTACTGGGCAACCACTCGTGGTAGCCTACACGCCTACATGCCCGACATGAGCCCCATCAAGAGTATATTGCAGCACCTCACGACGCAAGGCCCATTTGAGAGCATGTTCTCCTCCCTCCCCGATCTGTACTTCTGGAGAAGTGTTCATCAACACCTGTCACATCTAGCAATTTGGGACAACATCAGTTTCCACCTGGCTTACTTAAGCCTTGCTGCCCAAAATGTTGACCTGGCCACGCTGAACAGGGCAGTGAACTACTTTAGCAATGCCCTGACGTACGTGGCAACTTTGGCCTACTTCAATCCAACCTCCGTGTACCTGCTGTCGGCTGTCGTCTGCCTCGTCTTGCTGTCCATTGTCAACTGGTTCATCTGCGATGATACTACATCCGGTATGTAATGTTATAGGCAGTCATGCATCTCGAAAGACCAGACAATAATGAAGATCGGATGGTGGCAATTATTTGATCTGTTTCATTTAATGTTTTTCATGGACGCGGATAAGCACTATCAACCAATGGTTTACATACTCATGATTCTATTTCACTCTTACTTATGTGTGCTGTTTTAAAATATGTTGTATATACAATACAAATAGATAATATGTTTACAGTATAAATAGATTTATACGTTTTCATATAAACTGACCCTCTGTACGGGCATAAAACGATCCTCTGTTGACGTTTCAGAAAAGAGAGTAACGTTTTCAAACATTTGTCCAAGTAAAGAAAGCTCCTCGGGACGATCCCAACGGCTAGCACGACTGAAGACGGATCACCCCTCCAAGAAAGACAGACAGAGAAAGAAGAAGAAACAGCGCCAAAGAGGTGCCTCCCGTTACCGATCCTCCGATACGGACGACTACCCTAACGATGGCGTTGACCGTGTTGACGAAGACCCATGCAATTGCTACCCAAGGTGGACTAAGACTCGCGATGAGGCTGTAGATGTTGACGATATAGACGAAAATTCTCTCAGATATATTGCCGGATTATCGTCTGAATATTCTCTTGATAATGTCAAGAGGCGGGTTCAAGAAACTTTTCGAAGTATCTCAGAAAACGACCATGATGCCAGCTGCCCGCAGATGCCAAGCTCGCCCGATAAGAGCAATGTGAAGGGCGGAGAAGTAACGACTGACCGGACCATTGCTGTGTACGACATCAGATACAGAGACACTTTACCACAGGATGTCTTGGACGTTCTGTTTTGTATTGATCCCTACTGTGAACATGATCATGGCCGGTATGAACTGAGAGGCTGCAAGATCTTGGTCAAGCATCCTTATCATCTTGAAATGGGTACCGAAGATTCTTCCAAACAGAGGTCTCATGAGACAGGCACTTCTCCTTATGGCAACACACCCAGAGAACGCGTTCCCTATAGTCGCGGGGTTGCAGAAATAATAGTTCCTGATGAAAGTGCGTATTCGACAATAGATGTTTCACCGACAGAGGTACACGTGTGGGGTAGAGATGAGAAATTTGTGAAGAAATATCACGAATCGTTATCTGGACATGATCTGGTGCACGGTGCAGTGACGGGCAGCCAGGCGAGTATAAACGACGAGCTTACAAAAACTCTATCGAAGCAGATTCGTGGGCCCGATGCGCTGGATACAGACATATCCCAGGTGGAGTCCTTCCCGGACTGGCGTGCCTCTGTGTTTCATGACTGTCCCTACTGTAAAGAGCAGTCGTCATCTAGCAACGGACATTCCCAAGTACACAGGGTAGGTGGTGAGGAGCGGGAAGTATCCAGCAGTAACCCTGTAAGTTTAGGAAGCACCAGAGATCCGTCCCCCGTGCCCGGATGCAGTGGTGTGAACGGGTCTGACTCTCCAAGGATAAAACAACAGTTGGACGAACTGTTCGGGGAAGCTCTTTTACATGAAAATATTGGTCCCCCGAGAGCTAATTCTAGTTTCGATGAGGAAGGTCACACTTCCGAATTTCTGGGGGATCAGTTTGGACATGACTTGGACTCAAGCCAAAGGCCATCTCGTGGCCGCACAACCAAAAACCGGTTTCAGACAGTCCAAGACCAAGAGTCAGCCCCAGCCTCCGATCGTCAACACGCAAGACTGTGTGGACATGGAGGTTACAGACACCGGCAGCCGCGAACCTTCCAATCACCCACTTCCAGAGACAATTCCAGGAATGGAGATGCATACCAAATGTATAATTTTAATGGTCCAGAATTAATGTTTCTGCCCGATCTGGCATTAGCGCGAGAAATAGAGAGAGCTGCTCTGTCCACGGTTTCACGTGAACCAGTTGGAGGGGACGCACAGGTCCAAGAGGTTGTCTCCCTTGATGACCTTCCTTTCGACTTTGACTCTGTCCCTACTTTGGATGAAAATGATTTCAACATCAGCGAGGAGTTGCAGAATTCATCACTCAATGAATCACAGGCATCCGTTGATCTTGCAGAGCTTAACAGAAGCCTCAGCTTCTATGGTGATGTTGTAAGTATGGCTTCTCATTCAGTAATAATCTCTTATTTTCACAATAAATCCTTAACCCAAATTGTCTACAGTGAAGAGTGTGATAGGGCCGTGGTTGTTGGAAGACATGACAGCACCCTGCTTTATGAAGCCATTCCTTGTTTTAACAAGTGTACTGGCGGACAAAGGTAAACGTGATCATGTCAAAAAGTATTGAAAACAATTTCGATATTGGTGTTGAGGAAAATATGGCTTAAACGGATCTCTACTCCACAAGCCAACATCACCAATCGACTGTGAGAGTTTTCGTAGTTTTCGATAGCCTCAGACGTACTGAGGCTATCCATGTATTTATACGATTTTTTGTGTGAAAAGGCTGAATTTAAAGACGTCTCAGCTGGAACATAGATACTAATCAAAATCAACCGTTCTTCAGTGTTATGGTAGAGGTAGGGAGTAATCCTGCTGTGTTTAAAGTGATTTTATTTATTATCAAATATTGCTCTTCATTAAGTTTCAATGAGATATATATACATCTCTGAACACGGTGTTGCCATTAGACTTGCAGTGCAGCGATGTCATAGCATTGTGACGTCATCAAGTTTATGGCGTCATAGCATTTTGCTGGGTTATGGCCCGGGAAAGCGAAATCTGGGCCTCGTTCCTCAACACGATCGTAGCGCTAAGATGATCGTAACTCCCATACTTTAACATAGACTTACGACAGTCGTAGCGTGAAGATGATCGTAACTCCCATACTTTAACATAGACTTACGACTGTCGTAGCGCTACGATCGCTTTGAGAAACAGGTCCCAGGACTAAACCTCCTCAATTTAGGTTTCGCTTTCGCGAGAACGGTCAAGCTACAGTGAACACTGAATTTCGCGTTCCCGGGACTCTCAATACACAAGAAAAACAAAGAAGTGTGAGTCGCCGTCTGATACCGTAGTCAGGGTAGAAATTTAATATATAAATATCAGTAAATGTTTGAGCCACAAACTGTTCACCGATAAGTCACATGGATGGATCATGTGGAGATGGAATTGAAAATATCGTGCATACACAACTTACATCGTTAAGCATTCATTGACGTCATTTACGTTACCGCAAAGTATTTTACGTTACTTATATATAGAGAGCGATAACAACCTAAAACTATTTTCACTTGTCAAAGTTTGATTCACATTTGATATTTCGGCAATGCCAGACAACAAAACACAAAAGTTTCGCGAAACTTTCCAAATTTCCAAATATGGCGGTAATGTAAATTATAGTAACGTAAACTAGTTCTGGTAATGAGTGAGTGAGTTTAGTTTTACGCCGCACTCAGCAATATTCCAGCTATATGGCGGCGGTCTGTAAATAATCGAGTCTGGACCAGACAATCCAGTGATCAACAGCATGAGCATCGATCTGCGCAATTGGGAACCGATGACATGTGTCAACCAAGTCAGCGAGCCTGACCACCCGATCCCGTTAGTCGCCTTTTACCACAAGCATAGTCGCCTTTTATGACAAGAATGGGTTGCTGAAGACCTATTCTACCCCTGATCTTCACGGGTCAGTTCTGGTAATGAATAATGTTATGGCAAGATGAATAAATACAGAATGCTTGGTTGGGGCACATGTATAACAACAAATGTACAGTGATGAAGACTATTACTGTGATGCTAGATTTTGAGTTAAAACGGTAACGTATGAGTACTTGCTTAAAAAATCTCTACTGATGTCGAGCATATTTTTCCATATTGTAAGAAAAATCAATGTTAACGAAACTATATGTTTTTAGATATCGAGAATAGATGAACAGACCAATCAAGAAAAATTATCTTGTGGGTCTGTGCGATGATTTACCACAAGAAAAGCTGTAAACAAACACAACGTAACGTAAATTACTCTGACTCTACCGACATAATCAAATGTCGGCGACAGCCATTGTCCCAGTAACTGAGAATTAGTGAGATCTCCTCGATCAACCGTCTTTGCACGGTGGATTAAATAAAATAGTCAAATAAGTCAAACAACAAACAAATTTTACTACACAGCTCCAATACTTCTTTTCTCGGAGGGTTTTCCTACACTGATGCTTAAACTTGTCATAGATCAAGTGCTGAAACTTGAAACAACTGAAACTTCATCTCAGTTAAGCGGTTCACAGAACGAGTATTGGGGCCGCGCGCTAATCTGAAGTACGGTAATCCGATGTTTTCATAGCAATTCGCTTTCGCGGCACTTCTAGCACAACTTTGGTTTTCGCTTTACCGGGAATAGGGAATATTGAAATTTCGCTTTGAAGGGCCGACACCTTTTGCTGTCATCAGGTATTTAAAGTCATAGCATTGTGAGTCATCTAATGGATGGTGTCAAAGTATTGTGATCTCATGTAATTGATGACGTCAGGGCATTGTACAGAATCTATAGTCAAAACGATATGTCCTAGGAGATCGTTTGATCTCACACATAGAGGACATTATATGAGTGCCCATGTCATACTATCTTTACGACACGAGTGCCTAAATGTTGGTATTTCCCGAGCGAGAGCGAGGGATATACAGATATTTAGGCACGAGTGTCTTAAACATAGTGTGATATGGACACGAATATAATATTCTGTTTATTACCGAAGTCGTCAAATTGAGGAAAATAACCCAAATCTACTTTCAAACATGGGCTGTCTACCCACGTCGCCGCATGTAGAACGCAACGTCACAGAAGAAACGTGACGTCATAGCATTGTTCATGACGTCATGTCACCATGACAAAGCGATATTTTGCCCTAGGAAAATATGAACCCCGATATGTTCGCCCTCGTAGGTAATAAAAAGCAATATCTCAGTGGAACACAGTTTTGGATGATAAAATGTTTTACATAGCTGGGCCTAGATTTTCGAAGCTCTCTTAGTGTTAAGATGGTCGTAGGTGCCTTACATTAACATTAACTTACGACTATCTTAGCTCTAAGAGAGCTTCGAAAATCTAGACCCAGTATAGTACAGAGCACAAGCCAAGTAAAACGAGATGTATCTACTCAACAGTGGGATTACATCAAATGTTACATCAGTAGGTTTATCTCCCTCACTGAGCACCATACATGTGTACATGCCGGTTCTGGAATATGGCGGATTGCTGATTCCTGTGTCCAGAGACCTATGCAATTGTAAGGAGGGGGAACTTATACAATCCTCATGGACAACTTTGTTGCTGCCGTGGTACCGTCACAGTTCTTGCCATATTTCTTCTCAGAATAAATTACATTACTAGTTAAACTATATCACCGATCTATACCTTATATTAACGATGTTATCAAGGATACTCTGAGGTATATAATTTTAACAGCACCATAACGCCAGCCCAATATGACTAACTTTGAAAGTGTGCCTTACCGCATGATAAGGTTCAGACGGCCTCTTTGACCAAGAATCATCTTGGAAAGCTTATACGACTGACAACTTGATAATCACGTGCCAGCCTGAGGTGAAGGCCATCATTACTAGCACTACACGTTTTAAACGACGATGTCTCTGTTTCAGTCGATGGTGGAGTTGGCTGCCTCGTGGATCGTACAGAATGTCTTAGAAAGAGTGGGGAGGTACCTTTCTGGGGTCACGCCCGAGAAATTGAAGGCTACAGTGTTGAACATCTCAGCAGAGATCGTGGGGACTATGGACCTTATAGAGTAAACCTCGAGCATGGTTGTAACTGACAGTTTGCACTGACAACTACACTGTCTGGCAGTCTGTATATTTGTCGTGTGTATGTGTGTGTGTGTGTGTGTGTGCGCGCGTGCTTGCGTGTGCGTCCCTGCATGTACAGCTTTGAGGTACAGATACGCGTCATTGCAGCGGTCATCTAAAACCATGACGTATGTCAGTGATATGTAGGTACTGGTGGTATACTACTCTATTCAGTTTTGGTACAGACATACATGTAAATAGATATTATCTGTGATATTGTGCCGGGATGCAGTTTGCCCTCTTACTGATCGTCGATCTGTGCGACACTCGGGTCAACTCGGCTTTTTCCGTTACCTATATGAGACCTCGGATGACGTTGGAGTAGTGACAGAACATGGCTTTCACGAAATGCAGGCGCCACCAAATTGTGTGGACTACAGTTGAAAAACCCGCTTTTGTCGTACCTACCAAACTGTAGGTGTGCAAGCCTGTCAGGTCTTATTGTCATGTGAATCCAGTGTGAAGTCATGCCATGCCAGTCATTTGGAGTTGTTCAACGTCGTGCATGTACCTCTGTGGTCAGTCACACTACAGACACACAGACTCCTTGCAACTCTGGCCGTACACAGGCGACAATGGATGACACCGTAGAGGTCGGTTTCTGGTAACTTTAGCTGTTTTCGCATCTTAAATCTTAGTTAACATAATATTATTTCCCGCCTTTGTGAAAATGCTACTGTTTCCACTTGCCAATAGCTTTGTGCACGTGTACAGTAACGGGTTTACAGAATATTTCTTCATATATTGTTCTCTCAGATATGAATAAAATGGGCAAATTATTACAAAATGATATGCAAATATATTATGATTATTGCATTTAAACATTTCATTTTTTGGTTATTCTATCACCCCCGTGATGCCTTCAAGCTGAAATATACACATAAAAATATGTAATTTTGGAAGCGCACATGTATATTAGGTTTCTTTATTTTTACTTGCAAAAGTTTCAAAACCAAAAACAAATATATAAAGAACAAGCACGAAGAGAAGTGTACTTCATCATCTCTGCATAATGACAAAAAGAGAAGAAACAAATGTACTCAAATCAAAATATTATCTAGCAGAAGACAACTGTGCCCCAGATAATACGGTGCAAATGTTGGAAACGACAACGCAATATTTGTTCCTTGTCTCGTCAATGTTTCGTCACATCTTACTCACTGGGGGCGTGGGGTACCCTAGTGGTTGAAGCGTTCGCTCGTCACGCCGAAGACCCGGGTTCGATTCCCCACATGGGTACAATGTGTAAAGTACATTTCTGGTGTCCCCCGCAGTGATATTGATGTCTAGAATATTGCTTAAAGCGGCGTAAAACTAAACTCATACACTCACTCACCCTTACTCATTGACAAAACACGGTATTTAAAGACAGAGGCTCACCCTGAAATTGTTTGTTTGCCTGTTTTTAATGCTACACTGCACAGTTTTCGAGCTGTATGAAGGCGGTCTGTAAATACTCATGCCTGAACCTGACAATTCAGTGATCATGAACATGATGAACATAGATCTGGGCAAATGAGATACAATGCCACGCATCAACCAAGTCGGTAAACCTGTCGCTGTATGACAAGCATGGCAATGATGATTAGAGATTTTATGTTCGCTTTCCGAAAAAATGCGGGTATCGCACACGGATCAAGCATAGGAATCTGAAAACAATTACAAGCAGAGTGTGCACCAAAACAGTAGTTGTACGCAAGTTGTGATCTTACCCGATATTGATATTTTTAATTGAGTTCTCATACCACACCCTGACAGAGGGTTGGTGTAACACCTCAGTTAATGATGTCAGTATCGACCGTGACCACCTTTTGCGCTACACGTTGATTCTAATCCTGTCGTAGATGTCTATCGATCTCATCCCATACATATTCTATGAGGAAGAGGTGTGGAGAAACAGCATAGCAATTTTAGGCTGCCTCAAAAACTCTGTTACCACATGAACAACGCACGTACAGGATTTGTCCAGTTTCAGCTTAACGTTCCCTCCCTCAGAATGTACTACCCGTGAAGGTCCGGGTTTGAATATTGATCTTAAGTAACCTATGCTTGTCGTAAGAAGCGACTAACGGGATCGGGTGGTCAGGCTCGCTGACTTGGTTGACACATGTCATCGGTTCCCAATTGCGCAGATCGATGCCTGTGCTGTTGATCACTGGATTGTCTGGTCCAGACTCGATTATTTACAGACCGCCGCCATATAGCTGGAATATTGCTGAGTGCGGCGTAAAACTAAACTCACTCACTCAGCATGTACATTTTCGAGAGACCGGGGCATAGGGTAAAGGTTTTATGAGCTGAACAAACATCGTGCTGTTAAAATTCAGCAAACAATCGTACAAGGTATCAAGCTTCCACCAAACACGCAACCATCCAAATTGTGCGCCCTGCATTAATATGCACTAACACATTGTAAATTACGACCTTCAAGTCGAAAATACGCCTTCATGAGTAGGTATTTAAGGTGCATCATTTAACTTCCGAATATATTCATTTGTATTGAAGATTATACGAAGCATATTTATTAGAATGCTTGGCTGTTTCTTGAACCCTTGTTTTACCCCAAATATTTTCTTTTAAATTTTCAATGGCTTCTTTTACTGTCATCTGCTATTCTTCAACTCATTTATGCAATATTTATTTAACACTGGCACAGAAGATACATGGAGTAGTTAAAATGGAGAGCTAACACCAAGTATATTACTGCATATTTAAAATGCAAATGCATTACAGATTTAAAACCCTTTCTCTGTTTAAAGTGTAACAGTTGCATTGCTGTTTGCACTTGTACGTTCATTTGATCATGGACGCAATAGCACGATCAGTTGAGCAAACTAAAATTCACCAATTGCAGCAGGTGCAATAAACAATACTTTGCTCTGTGGACACTAACAATGCTTTGCTCTGTGGAACACTACAGGGGCATAGTGTTGAAAGTTAACGATGTCCATTAGGCTACTTTGGTGATACTAACGGGTACGATTTCCATGCAGGCAATACGAAAGAAATCATTGTTCCTATCAAAGACCGGGATTCGAACCCGCGAACAGCATATTATATGTCATTGAGACCTATGTCACAGCAGCTAATTACGACGTCATGGCGCACTGGGAAACCTGTGGACTACGCGTTATAGACAACGTCACGTGATCGTGTTTGTGACGTCACACCCTAACAACGTCATAGGCCTAATTGCAGACAACGTCCAGATGTGGATGTAGTCTGACATCTGAAGGCGAATCGTCTGTCCCCATTCCTCCGACTGTCTCCCCTTTGCTTCTATCGTCATGGCGTTGCAAGCAGGGGTTTCTGTAGGCGTGCAGGCGTTTGGTAGAGTGGCGTCCCCGACCCCGGCGGTCCTGCAGAACGTGAAGCTGATAGCTCAGGCCATGACGGAGACCACCCAGATATTCCGGCAGAGTCAGGACAAGCTGCAGGTGTGCTGGGACAAGCTGTCCACGTCCGAGCAGCAAGCCGCCGACATGGTGGACAAGATCATGACGACCACGCGCCGGGTGGAACAGCTGAACAACACGCTACAGTCTCACAAGTCTGCCGTGGAGAAGAAGAAGAAGCTGTGTAATGAGCTGCGCGAAATCACGGGTGAGACAGAACCCAGTCATTTACAATAGTAGATTCTCCAGAAAATCAGAGTTTTGCCGCATTGAACATAGAGATCCAAACATTACAAATCTGTGTACATGTACAGTGTATTGAGTACGGTCTGGTATGTCCAGGGCACCTGGACGAAGGTCAGCGTTACGACATACACCTTGTAAGGCCGTGATGAGTTAAACGTTAAAGGGACTAGTATGATTAAAGGGACTAGTATGATTAAAGTCACAACTGCATAGTTCAATCGCACAGTAACTTCTACTGCCATGGTCACAAATAGTAACATACTTATACCGACGTTCACCCGCTTCTTTCATATTACTGTTGTCAATGGGTCATGGCAGATTGTCTGTAGTAAGGGGAAGTAACGGACGTTCCTTAACCGAATTTTACAGAATATATCCTAGAGCCTCAACGAACCTTCCATGACTTTCTTTAGCACTGAAAAGGGGCATTTTGCCGTGATAGAGAGTCTGAGATGTGGGGTATCTGATACTTCCTGGACCAAGGTACCCTCTCCCCCTCCCTCCACCCCCACAAAACACCCACCTCAAATCCAATATGCTTGTATCTGTATAAATGTCAGCCTGTTTTGCGCAACAGAAAGTGTTACCAACACCATCAACCATCATTATTTACCAACGTTGTTATAATTTTAGGGGTCTGAGTTTAATTCCTCCTTTGAGTAAGAAACTTGCGTTTCTTTTGCGTGTGAGTATATATCACTTTTAACGTTTTACCTTTGTTTTCAGGACAGATATACTTCATTATGATCTCAGCACAGAGGGTGGGGGTTCGGGTGGGGGTTCGGGTGCGGTTACGGGTGCTTTTACACTTTGTAACTCGACGAGTGTTTCAAATCCTCAAACCTAAATACCAAGTAAACCAAAACTAAAACATCTTGTGAACTGTACTTTGTTACTCGTCAGTAGAGGTCGTCCTACACCTTGTTAGATCTCGTCAGTATAGGCCGTCTGTATATGTTGTTAGATCTCGTCAGTATAGGCCGTCTCTATATGTTGTTAGATCTCGTCGGTAGAAGTCGTCTCTATACGTTTTTAGATCTCGTCAGGACACGCCGTTTCAATAATTATAACTTGTTCAAAATTTTATTGGAACCTGCCACGAAGTCACATCTCCAGTCCTAATTCTTAGAACTCGTCACTTGAACATGTTGTTTGAAGTCGACGGAAGAAGCCGTCACAAGAAATTGTTTTTTGAACTCTAAGTAGAACTTACTAAATCAAACCTGCCTCAACACTGTATTATCATTATTAGAAATGTGCTAAGAACATGAAACTTGTATCGGCTCAAGCTGTTATAGATTGTTGCTAATGCCACCACGTTGACTTCCTCTCAGCAGCATGCCACGAAAGGCATCGATTGAATATTACGATTATCCAACAATCTAACACTCTTTACACACACCTATCAATTATCATTAGGTGGGGTTTGTCCACAGATTGATTGTTGCCTTTACATCCATAATGAATCTCAGAGGAGTGTTAAACAGACACTCATTGCGATCACCGAGTCACTTTCTCAGAGTCATCATGGCCGAATGTTGTGTTGTCGTCGTCGTCGCCTTGATGATGTTGTTGGGGGCTGTGGTGGGTCAGACTACGGAGGTTCACGTACAGACAACCATATCTCAGCATGGAACAACAGAATCACGTTTCGGAGGACGTTCTGCAAAGCAAGATTTGAGGAGCGGCGACAGACTGAACAATGCCAGTGTGGGTTCTACTCCAGCGAAATGTACCACTGGTGGAAGTGGGAACAATGCCTCTGATGGATGTTTTGACGATACTTCAGACGACCCACGCAACGACACCGGCGCCATCGTTGTTAAGTGCAACGAAGAAGACGGTAACATTACTATTTGCAAGACAACAAATACTAAAAGGGTTTCCCTCATATCCATGGGCTCTCTCAGCAAGGCCAATTACGTAAAAGGGGAGAAGATATGCAGATATATCTATTACCCACTGCTGACCAGTGCAATTCTCTTCAACACATTCAATCTGATGGTGTACACGGACCCCGCCATGAGGAGTCCCACAAGCACCTACCTGATAGCTCTCGCCACTGACGAACTCCTCTTTGCCTTAGTATCTTTTTCGAGGCACATTCTTAGACAAATATACGGAACGGACGCTGTCAAGAAACAAGCCTATCTGTATTTTGCTTTGTTTGGATCAAATTTCTTTTTGGCGACTCTCCGAGTCCTGATGTACTGTTTGACTGTTCTGGTGTCCACAGAACGCTTCCTTGCTGTTGGCTTCCCTTTGAAGTCTAGAAACTTTCGTCTAATCAAATCACCAATTATCTTTATAATATCGGTGACGATTATATGCTTTTCTTGTCATTTACCGGGAGCATTTAAATACGATATCGTTCCCAAACTAAACTCGACAGACTATACCATAACTCCGTCGGCGATGTACATAAATAACAGGGACCTCCTTATTGGTCTTGGAATGGCCAACAAAGTACTGTTCACCTACATCGTCCTCGTGTGCGGCCTCATCATGAACCTGTGCGTCCTCCTGGCTCTCAGGATGCACAGCAAGAACAGAGCGAAGATGAACACGACTGTGGACGCAGAGAAGACGGCAAAGCGAGAGAGGCAGACGACAATCACCATCCTGACGTCGACGTTCCTCTTCACAGTGCTGGCAATTCCTCTGGCAACAGACTCGGTGGTCCAGACATTTGTGACTGACTATAATATATATAGGAAGGAACATTATGTCAACATGCTGATGAAAGACGTCAACGGTTTACTTATCATGTTCAGCCTTTCCACCGACTTCGTGTTCTACATTGCACTGAGTAAGGCCTACCGACGAACCTTCTTCAGACGACTTCCGTTCATGGCCACGATCTGCAGACGACAGAAGTATGTGCAAAACTCGTTTCGGACTCAGTCTCAAGCACACGTTACTGGAACATCTAGTGTATGTGCATGAACCCATGGTGTATAGGTTATCGACGCTGGGAAGCAAACCCGTGGTAAGATAAGCACCATGTCTGTCATCAACCTTTCGGCTGTATATCCGACAAGCGATTTAATCCAAACTTAATGTCCATGATGTTCGTTACTTTGGGTGTTCCTAAGGCACAGTGCCTGTGAAATAATGTATTGTTTACCTGTGTTTACCAGTTTGTGTCACTGAAGTCTCTTTGTATAACCTCCCTGCAGTTACTGTTATGTGCCCAGGGCGCTGTTGTACGACAGTCGCAGCTCTAAGGTTGTTTTCTACAACGACAGTCTGCACTTTTACAACAGCGTCTGTCTTGACCCTTGTGTACAACATGCATGTCAGTTTGCTGAAGCTAAGGTATATTTTCTGTATATATTTGCTGGTTCCTTTTCACTAAAGTTAGCATGCATCTCCTGACAAGTTGATAGGCTTGTATTCTGTGGGAGCGTAGGTTCCTCTTTACTAATGTTTTATGTTTTCTGTAACGTTCCATGTGCCTGTTTTGACACTTCGAAGTGTTGAAGTATCAGTTATATTACAAATCAACTTCGAGTTTAAGCCAATGATCGCTTGAGATATCACTATTCTTTTTTTAATAGTTTTTTATTTTGTTGCACTTTTCAATATTTTGTACAAACAAATAACAGTGATATTCCAGTATACATGATGAAAAATCAAATAGTTTAGCAGAATAAATCATGGCATGACGACCAGAACGTGTAGAAAGCATTGATATTACAACTAATTATTGACGAACACTTTGTTAACATATAGTATTCAAACAGTTTATGTTGAAAAACTTGAAAAGATGGCATAATGTTGTTAAACTTGTTTCGAAAAATTAGTTCCTTGAAGAGAATTAAGATGATATTTATTGGATCATTGTTTTTATTTGGGTAACCAAGCATTACATGTTTCTTTTCAATTTTGAGTTTTATTTGTGCTTTAGCCTGTAGCCAGTTCTCAAGTTTTTTCCATATATGGTTTACCTTGCTGCAAGACCAGAATAAGTGGATAGTTGTTTCAATATCTTCGGAGCAAAAAACTACAATTACTAGTGTCTTTATATCCTATCTTTTCTAAAAAAATGTTTGTTGGCAAGATATGGTGTAAAAGTCTGTATTGGAACCATTGTAATCTAGTATCTTTCGTACATCTAAAGGGAATAGTATTGTAAAGTGGCCAATCATTAGATATAATGTCGTCGTATAAAATGTTAAGTTCCCATTTCGATGCATGTTGGTTTTTTTAAACCTAGACCTGAAATTAGAGTTTTGTACAAGTATTGTGTCCCTTTTACATTCTTACAGAGATGTTGCATATATCGGGGTAGAACAGGGTTTGGTTTGCGTTGTATTGTTTTTAAATCTGTATTGATCCTTTTAAGATATTGTTTAACGGAGCAAATAAGACCATGATATTTCAGAAAAATTTGTTTTTATGTCAAATTGTTTTAAAAACGTTTCAAATTGAAAGAAATTACCATTATTATCAATCAAGTCATTAATCGAGCGAACCCCGTGTTCATACCATTCTTTGTAGTAAACCGTTTTACATTCTACCATAATATTTTTATTATACCATATACTTTCAGTAAGGATTTCATTATCACTATCTTTTTCAGAGTTTAATTCAAGTTGAGATGTAAAGTCCCACCACGCTGAAACGACATCTTTGTAGTAATTATTTCTTATAAAAGGAAGTATTTTATCTCTCAAATGTTGACAACTATACTCAAATATATTAACATAACCTATCTTTGGGAGATTCAAAATAAAAAGATTACACCATTTAGCAGAGTGTGAAAGAAAGCGTCTTAGCATGGACAATTTTTGCGATTGTATAATACCTTTTATGTTGGGCATATTAAATCCTCCATCTTTTTTATCACTAATTATCTGTTTTCTTTTTATCTTATCAGGTTAACTGTTCCAAATAAATCTGTAACATTTTCGTTGAAATGCGTTTATAACTTCATCTCTTGGATTAGGAATAGAGCCAAAGAGGTGATTTAGTTTTGGAATGATTAGTGATTTTAGAACTACATTTCTACCGAGCGGAGTAAGGTTACGGGCAGACCAGATATACATTAGTGTTTCACATGCTCTAAGTTTTTCTTTGTAATTCTCTTCGACTATATCGTCAGTATCTAGCGTAAATGTTATACCAAGTAGGTTAAAGGACGTTTGATCCCAGTTTAGATTCTTTTGAGGACAAAGTTTCATTCTCGAGCGCTTTTTTTGATCCTATCCATATAAGCCTTGTTTTTTCGATATTAATTTTTAGTCCTGAGAATCTTGCAAAGATATCCAATACATTTAAAACTGCAAAAAAGGCTATGTTCAGAACCATCTAAGGTACAGGTTGTGTCATCAGCAAACTGATGAAGTAAATATTCTATATTACCAATATTTATACCTTTTATATTTTTATTATTTCTTATCAATATGGCAAGTATTTCCGCACATAGAATAAATATATATGGCGAGAGAGGGTCGCCTTGGCGACATCCTCTAGATATATTAAACATAGCGGAACCATATCCATTGACTAAAACATTTGATTCGATTCCTCCATACAAAGTTTTAAACCATTTTCTAATAGAAGTTCCAAAATTGAAAAATGACAACGTTTTATCTATAAATGCCCAATCCACAGTGTCAAATGCTTTTTCGAAATCTATAAGTAAAAGTAGACCAGGTATTTGATGCGTTTCTGTATATTCCATAAGGTCATATATCATTCTAGTAATTTCCCCAATATACCTACCAGACATAAAACCTTTCTGGTCTTCATTGATCAGTATATTAAGAACTGTTTTTATCCGTCTGGAAACTGTGAGAGACGCAACTTTATAGAAGATTGATAACGAAGAAATTGGTCTCCAATTCTTTAAATATATTTTTTGATTTATTGCTTTTTGGGATACATGTGATGAGTCCCCTTTTAAGAGATATAGAAAGTTCTCCCCTTTTTATAAGATAAGTTCAACGATTTGATTAAATATTTGCCTAAATCAATCCAAAAGAATTTCAAGAACTCTGCGGTAAAACCATCTGGTCCTGGACTTTTATCATTTTTCAAACATTTTAAAGCCGAAAGTACTTCTTCATACTCCAATTCACCTTCTAGTGCTGATGATGTAGTTACACTTAATTTGGGGATATCAAAGTGTCTGAGTAGATTGTCGAGATTAACATCGCTAATATCCTGTTTTCTATATAATTTGGAGTAGAAGTTTTTTACTTCATCTTCTATTTCATGTCGGCTGGATAAAACATCTCCTTTATCATTTTCTAAACGAGTAATTGACTTATTGAGGAAGTTTCGTGATTCCAATCCAAGAATATATTTAGAAGGTTTTTCCCCCTGTTCAGACCATATCGCTTTAGATCTTATCATAATACCAGACGTTTTTATCGTATTTATTTCTTCCAACTTATGACTTAAAGTATCAAGTTCTTTCATTAGTTCAGTTTTAATTTCATGATCGCTTGTTTGGTCCATTTTACCTGTAATGTCTTCTAACTGTTTCGTCACACTATTTTCCTCTTTCTGTCTTTCTCTTTTCTTATGTGATGAGTATTTAATTGTTTCTCCTCGTATCAATAGCAATAATGTTTCAAAGAACAACTGATCGTCAATAGTAAATTCATTTTCATTCGTATCTTTGTTTTCATATTGTGAGCACGTTTCTGAGATTATACGTTTAACCATTGTGACATATTTTTTATCTCTCAAAAGGGAGTTATTAAATTTCCAAAATCCTTTTCCGCGGTCTATTTCATTTAGAGTAAAGGTAATTGATATAGGAGAGTGATCCGATTTAAATGTAGCCTCTATTGACGTATCTGTTATGGAGGGAATCATGTTGTGAGAAACTAAGAAATAATCGAGCCTAGCCTGAGATATCACTATTTGATATTCATTCCTTTGTTTCGAAACCTCGGGTGTCTGGACGCATCCCCTCGTTCCGGTTGGTGAACCTCCTGGATTGACCAGGTATAATGCCCCCATTCCGTTATGGTGAAATCCCTGGAAGACCTCGCTTCAGTGGCTTCCTTAGACCGTGACTGATAGACATTGCTAAAATAGCCTTTTCAATCAGATCACATGTGGGTGAGCCGTCCTCTGGGAAATAAGTGACAAGTTTCATTTAGGTTGTAATGAGGTTATACGTTAACTGTATGTAATACACTGAACAGTCGAGGGCTTGGAGATTATTGACGAATGCTTGAATGCGTATACTGTCACGATATGGGCTGATGCTTGAATGCGTGTACTGTCACGATATTGGTGGATGCACGGTGGGAGATACATACATGGTGTGGGCGAATAAAATACAGCAAAAATGGAAAGTCAGTGTTGCCAGTGTTGACTGAGGCTTCGCTAACTGACCTTTGTACATGTCGTGCACCTACCCACTCTCGTCGGATGCGATTCATGCGCAGACTGCAACAGCTGTTTAGACGTCAGCGGGTGTCGCAGTAGGCAGATATGTTGTTTGTAAGAGTATGTCTGGGGTGTGGAATTGTTTCACTAGCTTCGGGTATTGTATGTAGGTACTCATATCGGTTTAAGAGATTAAACACGTGTGATGGTAGCATTACATTTGGAGTTTATATATAGTTTATATAGTTTATATATAGTTTATATAGTTTACATATAATGCAAACGAAAAAGGACTCCTGGTTTTACGACGAATGCAACAATATTCCAGCAATGCCATTGCGGGAGACACCAGACATGTTTTTCACACATTGTACCCATGTGGGCAATCGAACCAGAGTCATCGGTGGGCTGAGCGAACGCTTTAACCACTAGGCTACCCCACCGCCCGCCTTTCAGTATAGAACACATTGTAAAGATGACCGACCAAACGCAAGATAAGCCATTTATTCCCCATGTGCATGTGCATTGGGTATATTATATTGTCATTAATCAAAACAGATTCGTTTGTAACACAAACGTGCATAATTAAAGATGTCTGGTAAAGAAAAGACTATTTGAATCCGAGTCAATACAGTATTAGGACACGGGAGTCCGAGTTTCGCATTAAAATGACATTAAAAACACACCTCATAAAACGGCATTACGATAATGAAATTTGCTGATTTTTCTACGAAACCCCAGAATCAAGCTAGTATTTATTTGCAAAAAGAAAGGGGTTTCTGACAATGAACACTGACTTAATCATGTAATCATTAATATGTTCTTAGTCATGGGATTCACCAACGACAGTGTCTAATATGAAGTTTGGGTATACCACTGTGCTGTCTCCTCTACATCAAGACAACCAATAACAAAACAAGCATGTGTTGTTCATTCACTTCACACCGAAGTGTTAAGAACCAGTAACTCGCAAACACAGATTGCTCATTGGGTTAATAATGACAGAGCCAAGGTTGTAAGTCAATGGACCAGCCTCAGAATCCTTCCCAATAGGACGAGGATGCCGACATGCGGACACAATAGCTCCTCTGTACATTTTCATACTTATATGTAATTGTAAGTTTTAAAGTGCGTAATAATGAGGAAAAAAAAGGAAACAAAAATTGAAAATACATATTGTGGGCTGATTTCGATGATGATACAACGTTCATGTTAATGAGGCCTGGTCTCTGTCTGATTTCTTGTTTAATGCTTTCTAAAATTATCCCTGTACTTTCTGTCTAGATACACGTGCTATATACGGAAGAGCAGGCCTAATGTGTAGGCTGCAATGGTACTATTCTCGTCACGATAAATCATTGTGAAAGAGCACTATGTCACGTTTTCAAGTAATCTTACACGGGCATACATAGTTCCCACCGTACCGAACAACTTACACATGACACATCAGAACGTATACAGCTGAGAAGGACAGCCTTTGACATTGGGACGCCAATAATCCAGCTTCGCGGACCTTGGTATCACTGCCATTTGATAGCGTTTCATAAACACGCTTGTAATATTGCCGGAACAATACGATCGACTCTGCTTTTAGCAAAGAATTTCTTATTAATATGGATTTTGTGTTTTGCTTTGTTTGTAGTAACGATAAAAAGCAAGCAATTTCCGAATATAATCAATATAAGTGTTGTATTTGATAATGATTCATAAACACATGTTCATATCGTGCCATACAATGGACAATTTAACTGAGATTATTTTTATGGCTATGGAAATGTTTTATGTTTCCTCTATCAGTGAATAGACTACGAAAACATGCATAACTTAACCAATATACATAACATATGAGTTGTATGCGTGTTGCCAGGGATCACAATTTGGACAGTAGTCACAGCAACGGTATCCTTATTGAAACCAAAGATTGGAGGCAGTGTTGTGTGAGAAAGATAATATCTTAATGTTGTACATGTTTCTGTGTGTTAATCATAACTTTGGTAGACAATCTGTATCAACCGTGTTCCCACGACCATCATTTTGTGGTAATCAATATTGCAACTAGTGCACGCTATTTCACTCATTTTAACTTAGGCGGACACAGGATAGGACAGCGATTCCGTTTTAAGGACATCGTTTAGGGACATGTGAATGTCCCAAACATCAACGCTTGTTATTGACCTGAGTCTGTTTTTCTTCTATTGTTGTGAGTGCTTATATGAGGAGGCGTTGTTATTGCTAATAGTATTGATTATATATAAACTCACACGCAAAAGAAACGCAAGTCTAGTATAAAGTATATATGTACTTATTTTTTAACAGTATAGAATACAAATACCAACAGCGTCAGATATACTGACTGACTGACTGAGTTTGGTTTTACGCCACTTTTAGCAATATTCCAGCAACATCACGGCGGGGGACACCAGAAATGGGCTTCACAACATTGTACCCAGCTTCAGATATACATAAATTTGAGCAAGAACAGTTCATTCGCAACAAAAACAGATGACGTCATTACATTTTGTGACAGCGAAAGAGTTGCGCAGATTCTAGTCAATTACCATGACGTCATTCAATACCTGGTGTGGCCACCATTAGCATTGATCACTGCAACACATCTCCTGTACATGGAGTGGATCAGACGATTCGTAAAGGCCCTGGGGATCCTCCTGCACACATCCAGAACAGCTGTACGAAGTTCATCAGCAGTTGTAGGCACTGGTCGCACTTCATTCAGGCGCCTTTGAGCCTCATCCCACAAGTGCTCGATGGGGTTCAGGTCAGGGCTGAGAGCTGGCCACGGTAGGACACGGATGTTGTGTTGTTGAAGAAAGTCCATGGTAACTCCTGCAACATGTGGGCGAGCGTTATCCTGCTGGAAAAGGTGGTTACGATGTTGGGCGGAAAATGGAACAACATGGGGACTGATGACTAGGTCAATGTAACGCTGAGCTGTGACCCCATGTCCTCGACCTTGACCTACATTCTGGAAGCACATTGGTCCAAGTCTCGCATTAAGTCCAATTCCGGCCCAAACCATGACACTAGGTCCACCCAATGCATCCCTTTCCAAAACATTTCTGTCAGCAAAACGATCTCCTTGATGTCGCCAAACTCTGACCCTTTCATCTGCATGTGACACACAAAACCGACTCTCATCAGAGAATATGAAACGTCTCCATTCACGTTCACGCCAGGTTTGATGACCCTGTGCCCACTGAAGTCGTGCTTGTCGATGCCGTGGTTGGAGGACAGGACGACGTGCTGGTCGGCGACATCGTAGGTTGTTGGAACACGGACGTCGGATGACCGTGTCACGGCTGATGCGTCGATTATGCGTTCCAATGGTGTCTCGAGCAGTTTGGCTTGCTGTCAGGAAGGGATCTAGCTGGTGTTGACGTGTAATGTGTCATCTTGTCGAGGGGTGGTGACCCTAGGTCGGCCTCTTCAGGGAAGGTCATATGTAGTCTGCGTTGTGTTGTATCGATGCTGCAGACGGTAGATCGTGGTTATATTGACATTAAAGTGACGGGCAACATCTTGGACAGACTCTCCAGCTTCCAACCGTCCGATAGCCTGGTTCCTCGTGCATGTTTGATTGCATGATGAAAGTGTGCATGATGCCCATGAAGCGGTGCGTTCTGATGATTCGTTTTTTGTCTTCTGTTCCCACACTGGCTTTGCAAAACGCAACAGAAAATGTTAACAACACCATCAACCATCATTATTTACCAACGTTGTTATAATTTTAGGGGTCTGAGTTTAATTCCTCCTTTGAGTAAGAAACTTGCGTTTCTTTTGCGTGTGAGAATATATCACTTTTAACGTTTTACCTTTGTTTTCAGGACAGATATACTTCATTATGATCTCAGCACGGAGGGTGGGGGTGCGGGTGGGGGTTCGGGTGCGGTTACGGGTGCTTTTACACTTGGTAAATCGACGAGTGTTTCAAATCCTCAAACCTAAATACTAAGTTAACCAAAGCTTAAACATCTTGTGAATCTGTACTTTGTTACTCGTCAGTAGAGATCGTCTCTACACCTTGTTAGATCTCGTCAGTATAGGCCGTCTCTATATGTTGTTAGATCTCGTCGGTAGAGGTCGTCTCTATATGTTGTTAGATCTCGTCGGTAGAGGTCGTCTCTATACGTTGTTAGATCCCGTCGGTAGAGGTCGTCTCTATACGTTGTTAGATCCCGTCGGTAGAGGTCGTCTCTATACGTTGTTAGATCCCGTCGGTAGAGGTCGTCTCTATACGTTGTTAGATCCCGTCGGTAGAGGCCGTCTCTATACGTTGTTAGATCCCGTCGGTAGAGGCCGTCTCTATACGTTGTTAGATCCCGTCGGTAGAGGTCGTCTCTATACGTTGTTAGATCCCGTCGGTAGAGGTTGTCTCTATACGTTGTTAGATCCCGTCGGTAGAGGCCGTCTCTATACGTTGTTAGATCTCGTCAGTAGAGGCCGTCTCTACACGTTGTAAGACCTCGTCAGTATTGGTCGTCTCTACACGTTGTTAGATCTCGTCAGGACACGCTGTTCCAATAATTATAACTTGTTAAAACATTTATTGGAACCTGCCACGAAGTCACATCTCCAGTCCTAATTCTTAGAACTCGTCACTTGAACCTGTTGTTTGAAGTCGACGGAAGAAGTCGTCACAAGAAATTGTTGTTTGAACTCTCAGTAGAACTTACTAAATCAAACCTGCCTCAACACTGTATTATCATGTACTAAGAACATGAAACTTGTATCGCCTCAAGCTGTTATAGATTGTTGCTAATGCCACCACGTTGATTTCCTCTTTTGTCCACAGATTGATTGTTGGCTTTACATCCATAATGAATCTCAGAGGAGTCTTAAACAGACACTCAATTCGATCGCCGAGTCACTTTCTCAGTGTTCCAGAGTCATCATGGTCGAATGTGGTGTTGTCGTCGTCGTCGCCTTGATGATGTTGTTGGGGGCTGTGGCGAGTCAGACTACGGAGGCTAACGTACAGACAACCATATCTCAGCATGGAACAACACAATCACGCTTCGAAGGACGTTCTGCAAAGCAAGATTTGAGGAGTGGCGACAGACTGAACAATGCCAGTATGGCTTTTACTCTAGCGAAATGTACCACTGGTGGAAGTCGAACTGGAAACAATGCCTCTGATGGATGTTTTGACGATACTTCAGACGACCCACGCAACAACACCGGTGCCATCGATGTTAAGTGCAACGAAGAAGACGGTAACATTACTATTTGCAAGACAACGAATTCTAAAAGGGTTTCCCTCATATCCATGGGCTCTCTCAGCAAGGCCAATTACGTAAAAGGGGAGAAGATATGCAGATATATCTTTTACCCACTGCTGACCAGTGCAGTTCTCTTCAACACATTCAATCTGTTGGTGTACACGGACCCCGCCATGAGGAGTCCCACAAGCACCTACCTGATAGCTCTCGCCACTGACGAACTCCTCTTTGCCTTATTATCGTCTGTGAGGCACATTCTTAGACAAGCATACGGAACTGACTCAGTCAAGAAGCAAGCATATCTGTATTTTGCTTTGTTTGGATCAAATTTCTGTTTGGCAACTCTCCGTGTCCTGATGTACTGTTTGACTGTTCTGGTGTCCACAGAACGCTTCCTAGCTGTTGCCTTCCCTTTGAAGTCCAGAAGCTTTCGTCTAATCAAATCACCAATTATCTTCATAATATCCGTAACGATTATTTGCTGTTCTAGTCATTTACCGGGAGCATTTAAATACAATGTCGTGCCCAAACCCAACTCGACAGACTATACCCTTGCGCCATCGACGATGTACATAAATAACAAGGGACTCCTTATTGGTCTTGGAATGGCCAACAAAGTACTGTACACCTACATCGTCCTTGTGTGCGGCCTCATCATGAACCTGTGCGTCCTCCTGGCTCTCAGGATGCACAGCAAGAACAGAGCGAAGATGAACACGACTGTGGACGCAGAGAAGACGGCAAAGCGAGAGAGGCAGACGACAATCACCATCCTGACGTCGACCTTCCTCTTCACAGTGCTGGCAATTCCTCTGGCAACAGACTCGGTTGTCCAGACATTTGTGGCTGACTATAATATATATAGGAAGGAACATTATGTCAACATGCTGATGAAAGACGTCAATGGTTTACTTATCATGTTTAGCCTTTCCACCGACTTCGTGTTCTACATTGCCCTGAGTAAGGCCTACCGACGAACCTTCTTCAGACGACTTCCCTTCATGGCCACGATCTGCAGACGACAGAAGTATGTGCGAAACTCGTTTCGGACTCAGTCTCAAGCACAGGCTACTGGAACATCTAGTGTAGGTGCATAAACCCAATGTGTATAGGTTATCGACGCTGGGAAGCAAACCCGTGGTAAGATAAGCACCATGTCTGTCATCAACCTTTCGGCTGTATATCCGACAAGCGATTTAATCCAGCCTTGTAATTGTCCATGATGTTCGTTACTTTGGGTGTTCCTAGGGCACAGTGCCTGTGAAATAATGTATTGTTTACCTTGTTTACTAGCTTGTGTCTGTGTAGTCTCTTTGTATAACCTCCCTGCAGTTACTGTTATGTGCCCAGGGCGCTGTTGTACGACAGTCGCAGCTCTAAGGTTGTTTTCTACAACGACAGTCTGCACTTTTACAGCAGCGTCTGTCTTGACCCTTGTGTACAACTTGCTTGTCAGTTTGCTGAAGCTAAGGTATATTTTCTGTATATATTTGCTGGTTCCTTTTCACTAAAGTTAGCATGCATCTCCTGACAAGTTGATAGGCTTGTATTCTGTGGGAGCGTAGGTTCCTCTTTACTAATGTTTTATGTTTTCTGTAACGTTCCATGTGCCTGTTTTGACACTTCGAAGTGTTGAAGTATCAGTTATATTACAAATCAACTTCGAGTATAAGCCAATGGTTGCTTGAGATATCACTATTTGATATTCATTCCTTTGTTTCGAAACCTCGGGTGTCTGGACGCATCCCCATGTTCCGGTTGGTGAACCTCCTGGATTGACCAGGTATAATACCCCCATTCTGTTATGGTGAAACCCTGGAAGACCTCGCTTCAGTGGCTTCCTTAGACCGTGACTGATAGACATTGCTAAAATAGCCTCTTCAATCAGATCACATGTGGGTGAGCCGTCCTCTGGGAAATAAGTGACAAGTTTCATTTAGGTTGTAATGAGGTTATACGTTAACTGTATGTAATACACTGAACAGTCGAGGGCTTGGAGATTGTTGACGAATGCTTGAATGCGTGTACTGTCACGATATTGGCGGATGCACGGTGGGAGATACATGGTGTGGGCGAATAAAATACAGCAAAAATGGAAAGTCAGTGTTGCCAGTGTTGACTGAGGCTTCGCTATGGTTCAGTTGAACCTTCAAATACACTCTCTTATATGGCGGCAATATATTCAGGTCGCAGGTGTCAATATATTTGTTTCCGTTCTGATGAGATTCCGAATTAGAGCTGATCCCTTGTTAGAAGAGGAACACTTAATGAATATTTTTATTTGATATCGAGTACATTTAACAACAAACAATACTGCAATTGAAATCTCAGCTAAAGGCAGACTCGATTCTGACTGTATCATTTGTATGTAATCAAGTATTACCTTGAAATAGTGATCATGTCAGGTTTTCGCGAAAAGGGTGAGCGGATCCTGCTGTCAGGAACAAGCATGAGAAAGGTGGTATCTCAGAAACGTGGACCCACATTAGTGTGGAATGCCATTTTAAAATGGCATAAACTACATAAATCATATGTAAACCCACTATTTTCGGTTGGCGGTCACAAGGTAACATGATGGGTCACATAGGTAACACACATTAGAATTAATATCAGTGGACCCGCGAATGTTGAGGATGTTGTCACTGCTGAATGTCTTAAAAGATGCCTGTTCCTGAACCCAGACAAGCGTCGGAAACTGGCAACAACATTAGTTAAAAAAAAAAGATTGAACATCCCTCTTCACTCACAGTCACCTCTAGATAATCAAGCCTGTCATGTTCTGCACCCTAAAAGGTAGATAACTCTGTTTCCAGTAAAAAGCTATCCTGGAAAACACTGTTGCCTTTGACTGTGGAAATCTGGCCACAATAGAACATTTGTTTGTTTTCATATTAGTTCCATGATAAGTTGCCACAGATAATAATAACTCGGCCTACAGTTTGTACCGCTATCTCTAATCAGAAGAAAACTGGGTTGCTGTGAATAGTTTCTCAACAACTAGCAATGGGGAAGAGAGGGATGTCTGTATAACCATAAGAGTATGAGGATGTCTGTTATTTGTATAACCTACACATGGGACAGTGTATCGCAACACTGCATCTTTTTTACCGTGTACAGGAGGACCTCTGACGTACTGCGACCTATAATGTACTGAATATGCTCTATGTGATTGCGATCTGTACTCATCTTGACGCACCAAATCACCATATTCTTTCTGGTCGTCACAAGGTCAAGGTTAAAGTCACGTGACAGGTATCACTACACCATCAACCAAATCACCGCCAAACGGTACATGCTCCAAGATATTCGGCTGTGCATATGCAGTGTTTCTGTGGAGCCAAGCTAAGCTCAGCCATTAGTCAGGAACCAAAGGAAATCTACTCGCGTCTAGTAGACCCTTCCCCGTGACGTCAAGTTCAAGACACCAAGTTAGTCGTGGTGCTTTGTGCTCTGGGATAACAACGGCTGTCTGATAGATCTTCTGGCTCTATATCCGACCTATTGTAGGCGATGTCGGGCCCTTCTGTAAGACAAACAACGATGTGGAACACGCCACCTGACAGGAGCTGATGAAGTCTGGTGAGTCTGAGAAGAGCTGTATACACTATTCAAGATGTCACTCGTGACAAGTGAACGCTGACGGTCCTTACAGTCATTACTTCGCTGATGTTTCTTGCGATAAGCGATGGATATCAACCAGCATCTTTCATAATAACACTCAATGACATGCCAGCATGCCGGTACCAATACCTTGCCATATTTGGGCATTTGTCACTTTAGAAAGACAACATTTGCTTATCAACAGCGAAATCAATTGATGTTCCAAGTTATAGAGCTGTAGGTACAGTTTACTGAAACTTGATATGAGCTTAATGACGGGTAAAAGTATTGCACGTGATGCTCGCATTTGTTCGGAACATGAATGTTTTTTAAACTTCACGTGTGGTGCTCCCGATGGGTAAACATAATCGAAGAAACAAACATAGCTATGATGTGAATATAACTGGCTATAGAAATTCAAATCATAGGTTTTCGATAGTATTACTTCTTTTACATTTGTATATATGTTTACACATGTTGAAATACTTCATGCAAGCCTCTATCTCACTTCCACCCTCCAGTAGTCATGGTGATATATAAGCACATGCCTATGTTGTAGCTGAACTCAGACAGTGTTCTCTTTTACTTGTGGAAATATGTTTGTGTTATCTAACTTAACATAACCATCACCAGCACCATCCCAAAGTTATGGTGATTCATGAGCACATATCTATTTGAATATGAAATGTTAACAATGTCGAATGTAATAAAAGATTCATAAATGTTAGTCTTAAAGTTAGTCTAAAGAGTTGTGTATAGATTTCTCCTTATTTTGAATAAAGGGGATATCCTCAAGAATTTGTGTATAGATTTCTCCTTAGTTTGAATAAAGGGCATCTCCTCAAATGTGCATTGCTCAGGCACGCCACACACGTGTCTAGACAGGTAACCATGCTAGATGTTAGTCAACCTGTCTCGGGAGGCACTCGGTACTAAATTGACGCATGCGTGTTGGAAAGTGAATCGTAAATGAATGTTATGGTGATATGCGTCCTTTATTATAAGTACGTATGCTTACTGATGATCCTGATTGCATACGATTCCCTTTCTGTATTTGGCCATGGGGTCTACAATACATACGTGATTAAGAGAGAATTTCCTTTGTGTAAACCTGTTATTTTTTGACGCGTTCCACGATATTTGGGTCGACACAACATTCCAAAGCAAAATATTTACTACATCAGAGCTGTATACTGACTAGGGTCTGTGGGGTAGCCTAGGGGTTAAGGCGTTTGCTCGTCACGCCGGAGACCCGGGTTCGATTACCGACATGTCCCCCGCCGTGATATTGCTGGAATATTGCTAAAAGCGGCGTAAAAGTAAACTCATTCACTCACTGTAAACTGCCAACATAGCAACAATAATGAAACGGAGCTCCAGCTCAACCCCAGGGCGTTTCCTACGAGCGGCATTAACCTGCTCGCGGTCGGAATACCGAACTGGTGAAAATATAGATGTGAACATGTATATAGTATATATATATATATATATATATATATATATATATATATATATATATATATATATATATATATATATATATATATATATAAACACCAATGAACAGACGAAGACACAACAATGGGCAAATAAAGAATCAATAGTATTGCCTTGGATTAATTCATGTGATGGCAGGCACGGCCAAGGAGATGACCAACTAAAATTATGATTATGATTAATGAAAGTGACAGTACGTGGAACGGGTTGACTGACATGTCAGTGCACATTGCGGTGGTGCTGAGGATTAAGAATGGAGATTAGCGTCATATAAATGATTGAAATTAAGTCTTACATGTCTTGGCTATTTATAGTTTTGGGCCTGTAGAAATATTTGGACAATGACTGTCCTGAATCAGCCACTCTGGCAATATGCCATAAGGGCCAACTTTCAGAGCTACGTTTACGTCATGATCAAGTATGTTTCCTCTTGTGTAACGAACATCGACTTTACACAGACTACCTTACACATAACCTTGCTGGTATGTAAGAACCATTCTGTACGTCATGTGTTAGCTATGTTCCAAGTTGAAATAGTTTTCCAGACTCAACTGGTTCTCTAGTTGGGCTACCGAATCTATTCGCATGCACATAAACTACAATATCTGAATATCTAGGTTCAGAAATAATAAACCATACACATTATATGCATTCAACATAAGACAACAATAATATTTGTCACCTTGCCATTTCCGAAACCATGACTCTGTCCTTCCGTTTCCAGCCCTCCGCACTCACAAAACATATAGCTGATATTGTTTGCGAACCCTCATTACTTCGTGCTTCAATACAGGCTGAAGCAGCAGTCAAGGACCCAATCAAGCCACAAAGCCAGTCAGCATTTTCATTTGAAGTGGGGAGTGATGGCTACATGCGGAAATAACTCTTTAATTGGCATTGCGACAATCACACTGTTTTCGAAATCTATGTCTTCAAAGGCCAGTTACGCAACAATGGTAGGGCCCATCATGAGATCGGACTGAAGTGGGAGGTTGGAGAGTGCGTGCTTCTATGGCACATACACCAGACAATAACTACACTGTGAGAAAAAAAACCCTGCTGTTATTAAAAAGCAAAGATAAGTTTACATATTGCTTGGCGATGAGACATCGATAGCTCCATGTAAGCACGTCAATATCTTCTAGAAATCAAACGCTGAGCTGCAGGTCGATAAGAACATGCATGCTATATTGATTCAGATTTGTTTCATTTGTTTAGGAGGGTACTTGTATAAAGTGCTTCGCCCCTGGCAAGTCACACTGGAGAATACAGGAAACACGCTGTTTTACTTCGATCAAGTAAACTGACAGACGTATTTTATACCGGATGTACACATTTGAATTGAGATAATCGCAACTTATGTATTTGTTATGCATTGATTATGAGATTGTACAAACCGGCTTGCGTGAGTTTTACATCGTTTGCACATAATGTGAGACATATTTCAAATTTCCATATGTATGTGTGTGTTGTATGTAACTCACAGTGTACACTAAACACCAAAAGAACCGTTACCCCCGTTCCTTAGTGACGGAGGTACCTATCTTCAGCTGGCGTTATGATGCGTGGACGTCCACTTCTTGGTCTGTCTACGGTGACCCCAGTCTGTCTGAAGCCTTGAATAAGTCTTATAACAGTGATACGTTGGAATCCGAGGGCGTTGGCAACATCATTGTATGTCGACCCCATCTGCACCATCCCAATGGCTCTTTCTCTCTCTTCAGCAGTTAATCGTGGCATATTTCTCGTACTTGTGTATCATATCATGCATCCTAGGCTCTCTTCATACTCTACAGAATCATTCTACATGTGAAATGGATGCAAATACTGCTTGAATATTGCTGCGTTTGATCTATGTGTAAACAGAAAATGGAAAAATGTTACTTTGCAAGCAGAAATGTTGACAAAGATATTTTAAGAAGTTCCTAAACATGTTTTCACAATATCAAAGACACGTTTTACTTGTTTTCACTAATGCAAATCAGCAGAAAATGTTTTAAAAGACTGCAATCATAGCAATGATTATTTTACAATTTTACACACTCCACAACAGCTGTTTCTTGTTTTAATAGTTGAAAAAGGGTGACTTTAAACGGTTTATCTTTGTCTGAAAGCAGAATTTTATTTCAACCTTTCTTTTGGACATTTAATTCACTGTTATTGGTTTATTTCGGTATGGACGAAAATAGGAAAATTTAACTCTTCTGAAAAAGATGCATTTCACCTAAATATGAATGCATTTGATAAAATGTTTTCGTAATTTGCATAAAGCTGTGTTGTTAAGCTTTCTTGTAAACTAATACCTTTAATAGTTTTTAAATAATTCATAAAGGTGGGAGGGTAACTGCTGATGACCTGGTCCTGCAGTGATGATGTCTGAAGCAACTCCGAATTCTGACTTTGACTTCTAAGTGATCCCTCCCACATTTTACACTCTGAGTATAAACTTTAACCATCTGGTCGGCGTTATCAGCTTCCAAAACTAACATCAAATATGACTTTAAAATCTTTTATTCCATCAAGTATTGTGTTTTTAAATAATTATGTAGAATGTTTCTTCTCCTTTAACAAGGTGTTGCTTATTTATCTATTTATTATTGATTTGTTGATATGTAACTCTTGTCTTGTCTTGTCTCAGGTGAAAGTTTGATATGTCTGGTCATAGGTACCACCTGGTGGTCAGGATACTCTGTTCGCTGTTGTCTCACCAATGGATGGTGTGATTCACAAACCCACCCTCAGGATACTTTGTTGGATGGTGTGATTCACAAACCCACCCTCAGGATACTCTGTTCGCTGTTGTCTCACCAATGGATGGTGTGATTCACAAACCCACCCTCAGGATACTCTGTTCGCTGTTGTCTCACCAATGGATGGTGTGATTCACAAACCCACCCTCAGGATACTCTGTTCGCTGTTGTCTCACCAATGGATGGTGTGATTCACAAACCCACCCTCAGGATACTCTGTTCGCTGTTGTCTCACCAATGGATGGTGTGATTCACAAACCCACCCTCAGGATACTCTGTTCGCTGTTGTCTCACCAATGGATGGTGTGATTCACAAACCCACCCTCAGGATACTGTCGGAATCGTCCAATGGACTTTTTCTTATGATTATGGAATATTTTGTTTTCCCCTTTACTGAGTGTTGCGTCGTTACAAAGTTGCTGTCAATTTTTATTCACAATGAAGTAGACCCACAGTTAAAATACGATTTACTGTAGAGTATGTGGTACAGTCGCTAACGTAACAAGTCCTCGGTACAAGTGCGATATATGAGACATCCAAGCTGACAGGATGAACAATATTGTCTTGCTTTCCTGATATTCATATATATTCAACTAGGGTAAAGTAAAAGATACAAATCACCGGATGTATACTTTCAGTTTATGACCGGACTGACTCGTCTTTTTTACAATTTCACTCATTCTTACAATTACTAAAGTGACAAAAAAGTGACAAAATTCTTACAAGTAGTCTCTACTAAAAGTCCAATCTGCTACCCTTACTATGTCATAAATATGTAGTTATAAATCAGGAACAAAGAGTGCCCACCGGCACAAATCCATGCAAAGGCAAAACAATCGCTCACATGAAAAATAGCCATGGAAGCATATGGTCCAAGTAAAATACGGAATTGAGTCGAGGTTTTTGTCAAAGATACGTTATTTCTCGAAAGGAGGGACGGTGGGGTAGTCTAGTGGTTAAAGCGTTGGCTCGTCACGCCGAAGACCCGGGTTCGAATCCCCACATGGGTACAATGAGTGAAGCCCATTTCTGGTGTCCCCCGCCGTGATATTGCTGGAATATTGCTAAAAGCGGCATAAAACCAAACTCAGTCAGTCAGTCGAAAGGCCTTCACATATGTATCATAAAACCTTTTTCATGGTTGCTGTGACCTTGGATGTCGTAGCCATAAAGAACCTTCCATTTGCAATTCGTCTTAATAATGTGTTTTACCTATCTGTCAGCATCGTTGTCCGTGCTCTGAACTAAGCTCACATATCAAGACAATTCCGAGACGAAATCACATTTTTTCTGTAAGAAATCGAATTCAATCAAGATTACACAACAGCAGGGACATTATCACCAGATATGCAGGTGATCCATAGTGGCATGCTCTGCATTGATTACAACATGGTCTCAGCAACTCTACCCAGCCACCGGGTATATAAGTACGGCGCATGCACACAGGACATAGACTCGGGCGGCTTGAGATGGCGCTTCATACACTTTACATCTGTTGCTTTACTATATTGCTGGGAGTTGTGAGTGGGGCCTTGACAACCTCGGACTACGGTGACCAGGGAGGATTGGACTTCTCAAGCCCTGATACAAAGTCTGTTTCCAGGTCGGGGAACTGTACTGTAGATCCAGATTTACTGGGCGGCGAGATGATGTGTGACACATCTGATGTACATCCCGACTTCAACGACACCGACGGTGAGACCAAGACAGGGTCGTGCAGCAGGGGGAGTAACAACTGTGCAGAAGCGAAGACTTCACCTGTTTCCATCATCACGCAAGGACATCTCAGTAAAGCACAATATGAACTGGGAGGAGACGTATGTCGCTACCTCGTCTTTCCTCTGTTCTTCAGTGCAGGTCTCCTCAACACATTCAATCTGTTGGTGTACACGGACCCCGCCATGAGGAGTCCCACAAGCACCTACCTGATAGCTCTCGCCACTGACGAACTACTCTTTGCCTTATTATCTTCTGCGAGGCACATTCTTAGACAAATATACGGAACGGACGCTGTCAAGAAGCAAGCATATCTATATTTTGCTATGTATGGATCAAATTTCTGTTTGGCGACTCTCCGTGTCCTGATGTACTGTTTGACTGTTCTGGTGTCCACAGAACGCTTCCTAGCTGTTGCCTTCCCTTTGAAGTGCAGAAATTTTCGTCTAATCAAATCACCAATTATCTTCATAATATCCGTGACGATTGTTTGCTTTTCTTGTCATTTACCGGGAGCATTTAAATACGATATCGTTCCCAAACCCAACTCGACAGACTATACCATCACTCCGTCGGCGATGTACATAAATAACAGGGACTTCCTCCTTGGTCTTGGAATGGCCAACAAAGTACTGTACACCTATATCGTCCTCGTGTGCGGCCTCATCATGAACCTGTGCGTCCTCCTGGCTCTCAGGATGCACAGCAAGAACAGAGCGAAGATGAACACGACTGTGGACGCAGAGAAGACGGCAAAGCGAGAGAGACAGACAACAATCACCATCCTGACGTCGACCTTCCTCTTCACAGTGCTGGCAATTCCTCTGGCAACAGATTCGGTGGTCCAGACATTTGTGGCTGACTATAATATATATAGGAAGGAACATTATGTCAACATGCTGATGAAAGAAGTCAACGGTTTACTTATCATGTTCAGCCTTTCCACCGACTTCGTGTTCTACATTGCACTGAGTAAGGCCTACCGACGGACCTTCTTCAGACGACTTCCCTTCATGGCCACGATTTGCAGACGAAAGAAGTACAAGCGGGATTCTTCTCTCACCGAACCTCAGACGAAAATGTCGACCATCTCTGAGAGTGTAAGCAATGGTGCGTGAGCAGAATTAGTGTGAATACAAAATGTTAATTTATACAAATGTAGTGTAGCTTTAGTTTTGACGGACTACATGTATGCCATAGTAATATACAAATATAGAACGTCAATGCAAAATAAGAACCAGTCTTGTCTGTCCTCAGAAACAAATTCCCTTCGGTAAAGAAGGAAAAACTCGCTGTGAAAATTATATCAATGGATCACTGAAAGTCATTGCTGACACCAGGTGCCGGCGACACAGTAAGAATGTCTTTCCCTTCTGGTAGCTCTCTCCATTACCAAAATTAAAACAGGAAATATCTTTTGCCTGACGCTGCACATAAGAAATCCATGTGCAATGTGAGCAAATTCAACCAAACTGTGTTTTGTGATAGTGATGATACCTGGTGTTCGCTAAAAGGTGGTCGTATTATGCCGCACTGTTGGCACCAGTCACAAATGATTACAAAACCCATCGGAATGTATGGCTAAATAGGAAACTGATTTTTCAGGACATTATTTTGCCAGTGATTTTTGTCAAATTTGGAAATGCCCTCCATGTGTCTCCCATTAAACGATTTGAAAGCTTTACTGAGGTACTGAATGTTGTAACTGTGATCGACCAGATCCGAAAGAAGGGCTGCACACTTGATACTCATGAGGATGCTTTGTTTCTTGTCTAAATGCATCACCCCCAAATGTTTCGTGTCAATGTAGAAGTTCAGCATTTCACTCCACATTTTCTGAGTTAACATGCGATAACATTTGCTTTCATTTTTGACAAATAAATAAGAGGATAGATATGTAACTATGTCTATGTATTAACATCTGCCCCATGAATCAATGAATGAAGTTTTTCCTTAAATCTTAGCATATGATGCTTGAACGTCCAAATATGTTCGGACAGATCTGAACTCGATCCGTTTATGAAATAGTATAAATGCAAACAAAGAACACACGTGTTGGGGATAGAATGCCCGGTGATCTCAGCTTAAGGAGTTGTTCTAAATATTTGCCATATTTGCCGCCATTTTGTTTCTTAACTCACCAAGCGAATGTAGCAGATAACAAGAATTTTCCCAACGTGTATTTGTATGTTCTTATTGTGGAATGTTGATTGTTGTTTTTGTGGAGTTGACTGACTGTCTACAATAACCACAAGTTCCAGTGTTGCATTCCATTCATCGTTCAAAACCTACTTATTGTTATGTTATGTTCGTTATATTTGTAGCATTGTTTTGTGTTGCTGAAGGAAAATCAACACAGCTATGAGTCTTGTTTATTTATTACTGTTAATAACCACAGGATGTGTTGTTGTTGATGTTGTTGACAAGTTGATTTAGTCTCTGTTATGTCTTTACAGTGTTAAATAAAATATTAAAAACCCACTCAGTTTTGTGTAGTGTCCGTGTGAGTGAAATGTCAATGAACGGTCATTGTTTACACAAGAACAGACGTTGATTGTTCAACCATTATATCCTGTAGCATGTGGCATATTTCAGTTTACACGTCAGGTGAGTACAGATCAGAGAACAACCTATCAAGGAGTCGAACCCAAACCCACAGAGTGCGGTAACACGGGACAGTATTGTCTGACTGAATTTAGTTTTACGCCGCTTTGAGCAATATTACAGCAATATCAAGGTGAGGGACACCAGAAATGGGCTTCACATACTGTACCGAGCGATGTGGGGAATCGAACCCGGGTCTACGGCGTGATAAGCCAACACTTTAACCACTAGGCTACCCCACCGCCCCTGGGACACTATAGACTAACAGTATCAAACGCTGGTACAAGTGTATTTATCCGTGACAAACGTATGACACAAACACAGGCATATCATACAGCAATATACAAATTACAAAACCGGAAGGGGATTACGAAGTTTGTCGCCGTTGTTCACAAACAACATTGATTCCTTTGATACTGGAAACAATGTTATAATTGTTCAAAGAGGAAGTGGTACAGTGATATATCACTGTTGCCAAATGGATATCACAGGTTACAAAATTGTGAATAATGGGGTTTCAGAGAGCACTGAGTGTTCACTAAAACGAAAGAGTATTTCTGTGCAGCTGATCAATCACGTCATCAATGGTCACGATCACGAGAGGTATGGGGAGGAAAATTGAACTTAAGAAAAATGGGCATGGTAACTTACCACGGAGAACCGATCCGATTAGCGATGAGGAGATCGAGTCCTTGTGACAGTCCGGGTCCACTGGAATAAATAATCCGATGAACAAAATAAACTGTCTGTTATAAGTGTAATGGCCGTTATTATTGCTAAAACACATGGGATTGTTTTGAAGAGATGGGGACAATGAAGGAATCTGACTGTAAGTTTACTCAAAACCAACTTCCGACGGGATTGACTGACCGAATGCAATTACGTCATCGAACAATTCAAGTGACGTCACAACAAAACGTGACGACCTTGGCCTTTGACAAGACCATGGCCTGCAACATGTCAAGCTATGTCATACACAACGTCAGTTTTCAGTGTTCGGTTTTGGTCCAACAACAACGTTAAAAGTGCAATTATTAAGGTTAGCACCAGCAAGAAAGCCAATATTACCGCTAAAGCGGGAATTCGGGTTGCTTTGACTTGTTTGCCCCAGAATATCTGCCAGTCCCAAGCCAAAGTCGAACGAACCGTAAGCCCACGCACCCACTATGACGTCACTTGACAACAGAACTGATAGTGGCCCGTCGTTCAGGTTGAGCGATCCAATCATTAGAAAAGGACACGACAAGGAGAACCTCTTCTTTCAAATTGGTATCTCCTTTGGCAAGGAGCTCGATGTCATCCATGTAAAGGAGATGAGTAAGCGCTGTTGGGGATCTGTGCTGAGGAGGTCCGGGATGGTAATCCTCCTCTTCATTGAGCAGAAAACTGAAAATTTTTAAAGACAAACAAAAACTCAAAGGACTAAAGGAATCCTCCTGGGATATTCCTCTTCTAATTGGAAGAGTTTCCGAAGTCTGTACCTGCCCTTGCGAGTACACCTCGAGTTGAGTCGACCAGCAACTCATTAAAGACTTGAATAAATCAAGTCAAGTAGTCGCTCAGGGAGGTGAATACAATGAAAAAACTTCAGAATCCATTCATGAAGGACACAGTCATATGCATTTTTGTAGTCAATCCAGCATATGGAAAGGTTGCGGTGATGTTTTAGCTTCTTCCAAAATAATTTTTTGTACAAGAAGTTGATCCTAGCACCCCGCATCCATTTCCCGCCCCCTTCTGCTCTCTGTAAATCATATCATTGGAAGAACAGTAAGATGACACTGTGGAGACTTTTTATTGTGTATTCAAACATGTGATAGGGCGGAAGTTTTTGGGACCAGGCGTCTCCTTTATGGGGAAATTGTATTGTGTGACCTTTGCAAAACCATGGAGGAACATCGCCTGTGTCACGACAGAGACACGAAAGAATTGAAACAGTTAAGTAATGGTTCTTGCACACAGGGCAACAGTTTTCAATACCGGTTTCAGAAGCCATCAGGCCCTGGAGCCGTATTAGATTTGGACTTTTTGATAACAGTTTTCAGGCACCCTGGTGAGATATAACAGACAAACGACCCAGTTATTTTCTCATGCATTGCATGATCGTAATCACGGACCCGTGGTGCCTCAAGGTTACAGCCGCCGGGTACAGACCACAACTGTTTCCAGAACCTTTCATTGGCATCCATGGGAGGCCGTTTATCATGCTCACCTTCATCCTTTGCTTTGAGTTGCTTGTAAAAGTGTTTTTCATTAGTTCTAAAGAATTTATTCTGTTTGATAAATTTATTTTCTCTTACCATTGTTTTCTTTCTTTCAGTCCAAACCTTTATATTTGCCTTCAGGGAATCGACAATTTGGTGAAGTACCTTTTCTTTTGTTGTCTTAAATTGTAATTTCAATTTTCTCCAAATTGACTTTTGTCGTTTAGACATGGGTTCCCTGGCGATTTTATATTAAGGCACAGCTCTATCCAGGACATGTTTTTTCTAGTTTCATTAAGTTTTACTAGAGACCGTGTGTCTTGTTCTTAGCATTTGATGTTTTTTCATTGGAAACTGCGTGAAGTTCCTCCAAAGTTCGAGCGGCGGCATGGACACAACAATTAACTTCATGTTCACCCAGAAAGTTTTAATGAAATATCTTCATTTAATAAATCAATTTCATTTTTGGGAAAAAAACCGTTTAGTTGTTTAATTGGCCTCCTTTCTTCCAAAGGTAAATCACAAATTTCCTCATAAACAGAGTTAAACAAAATACAATATTTCGGAAAGATCTGAGAGTGAGGAAGAAGAAGAGGGAGGGTCAGAAATGTCTGGGCCAACTAGCTCTATGCTGGAAGGGTTTCCATCAGAAGGGAAAAGAGGTTAACGCGGGCGTCCATTGGAAGTTTGGGGTCTGCTGCCACTTGAGGAGTGCATTCTACTCATACAAAAGTTCCTGACGGGTTCCAGTTGTGGCTTCAACTGGCTCACTGCGCATGTGATGGTTAAGTTGCACTAGTTGATCTCGGGCATTTTGCTCCGTCAGGTAAGCATACATTAGCATGGTATTTTCCCAAAGCAGCTTAAGCGACTTGCCATTGATGCCATCCTGTTGCTTTGGTACACTCGAGTAGTGTGGTTTTAAGATGGGTGGACCAACCTTTTTCTTGGTCGGGTTCTGTGCCTTCCCCTGGGGCAAATCCCATCTCCAGTGTGATTGGTTTGATTACCGGAGGCTGATTGGGCAGCGGAGTATTCTCCTTGTGTGCTTTCTGCAGGTGTATAGGTTGTATGCTTCTACCCTTAGTCGAGCAGGTCCACATGTCATGTTGCATATTCCACTTATCACTGGTATCGGTCCATTTGGCATGTTGATTGCCATCTATCACTGGTGTCGGGTCCATTTGGCATGTTCATTAACATCTATCACTGGTATTGGGTCGACTTGACATATTGATTGTCATTTACAACTCGTTATCGAGTAAAGTTTTCATGTTGTTGACACCTACAGTTACCAAAGTCATGCACTA